TCATACGATTACGCGACAAACGTGAAACGGACAAAACTATATTCATGTGAACTAAGATATTTTCTTTATTCGTGACAGTAGTATAATATTACAAAATAAAATGCAACAGCGGAGATAATGATTGTCCTGGTCCCTATTCTCCTAACCACTATATCTATCGATGTAGAGACAAATGAAATAGCTGGAGATAGATGTCCGAAAATGATAACGGTCCGAAAGCGTTATTTTTTTAATACCAATACTAACATTTTTAATATTTGAACAATAAATACTACTACATTTAATTATAAAATTATCTCTTCGTTTAGGGGTTTTAATCGAAAATAAACTCTTATTTGTTATGCAAAACCAAGTCGGGCAGGCTTTTATTTCGTGTGAAGTATTTTAATATGCGACCTGGCCGCGTTACGCGTCCGAAAATGTAAGAATCATTTTCGGACAACTGCTTATCGCCGACCTCATCAATAGTCATATTTCAGAACTGTCTACAAATAGATGTATACTATGTTCCTTTCTAACCAGTTCAGCGAACGACACACAACAAAAAATATAAACAGCGCATACATCCAGCGTTTAATTTAAGAATACCCCCGGGAAAACCAGTACCCGACAATACAAGTATGTTTTTAAAACTATTTACGACCAAATTTTATTTTTTACTAAAATACTTGAAAAATAGAATTTAAAAAATGGAGCCGAGGAGAGTCAACGGGTGGTACAGAGATTTTCAGAGCGGGTCATGGCCCACCCAGACCCGCCCTTGTTACCAACACGGGGTCATATCGTCTAAAAATGGATAGGCAATTTATTACCCTTTCCTACTTCCTTCAGTCTAAATTTTAAACTCCTATAATATATAACTATCGTTTAAACGGTATTGCCGTTATAAAAATGTAGTGCACCAATAATAAATCTTGTACACAAGTTTTCTTTTTTCGAATATAATATGTTGAAACGGGGATAGGGTGGGTTTCTTAATACTTATTTAAAATTTAAAGAAAAGGGGTCTGAATTTTGAAAATACTGTTAAACTATAGCTTAAATATAGCTTACAAAACATATTCTATAACTATAATGATTGAAAAGAAAAAAACAGAAACCATTCGAACTTAAATAAAATTCTCTGAGAAAATCGCTGGAATGTAACAAAAAAAATAAAATCATTTTGTACATAATACGGGTGTATTTATTTTCTACGAGTAAACGTGGTATGCTGCACGAACAATAGATTTACGGTAAAATTATGAGAGAAAACGAACCGGAATGACCGAAAAGGATAATAATTAAGACAATATGAAACAGAAACACACTATGAATATAATATAATAATAATGCGAAACTGACGCAGAATGACAAATTAACCACAAATACGCTTAAAACTAACCAAAACCAAACGTCAAGATATTGCTGATGGGTGACCCGTGAAAATATTTTTGTATCTAAATGAAACTTTTGAAAACTACGTTTAAATTTTAATTTGTTATTCATTTTGCACTTTATAAGTAGGTCTATCCAATTTGTTGTAACTATAACAAGTTTCGTGCAAATTAGAATAAAAAAATACTTATAAAAAAAAACCTGCGATATTAAATAATATATTTAATCGAATTTTAGAATTTTTTTTACTAAGTCAAAAACAATATACATTATACATATTCACCTAAATCGAAACAAGCCCGAAAACGTATCGACAATAATATATTTAAAAATTGATTTTAATAACTCAACAAAAGACAAAATAATGTTTGGGAAAATACAACGCGTCTAATGTCAAACACTAACATAAATAAATCGTTTTAACATTTCAACAAACTGATTTTAGCAAAAACCGGCGTGCATTGTTACATTGTTCCCGTTTCTCCGACTTTTTTCCCGTTATTCCGGAAATTTCAAAAGAATACCTTTCGCGACACACCGACTAGATCCAAAACTCTACAGAAATGCTCTTGTGAAGTTTTCAATTGAACCACAATTATATTGTCTGAGTCGCAAACTTGTTTACAAAAAACAAGAGTTGTGTATATAGTAAAACCCCGAGTAAAACCAAAACGTTCCTAACTCCACTCTAAGTAATATGAAATTTAAAGGGAAGTTCAGCTCGCGACACTTTGCAGGAATGTTGACAAATTGACTAGGTATTTTTGAACACCCGCAGTGAATGTCAGAAACGTGAAATATAACATCATAGAAGTATATAATCTTCGCAGTGTAATAGTACTTATTGTACATAGGTATTTACCGGAAATTGAGGATAATAAAAAAGTCTAATTTATTAATTATGACTAATAATGATCATATTGAATTTGGTATAAAATTATTAACACCGCTGGGAAGGGGCTACAATATTGTTTCATTAACAACCCGAGTAAATATACAATTTCAAACACAGTCATCATTGTTTTCAAATAGGTACATTCAAATATTATAAAAAAATATAATTTGGAAACAGATGGGAAAATATTCGTGTTCACGCATATTTTTCTGTAATCATTTCAGTTTTTAAATTGTTTAACAACCTTTTCTTGGTTTAAATATATAATGTAAAAATTACAGTTCAATAGTTAAAGCTCTAATGCTCCGGTTTATATCTCGCGTTACCGATTTGTAAATAATAGGGATTTTAAATCTGTCCATACTATTCGAGTGACATACGTCAATAGTATCACGCAAACAGAATTCAAATATTATTATTAAGACCGGATATAGAAGCTTTTAAAAACCACAAAAAAACACTTGAAAACGTCAAAAAGCCATGAAAATGGCACTCAAAAAATATTTAAAAAAACAAAAGTAATAAACGGGTTTAAAAGTTCCCCCTTTAACGGATTTAACTTATAAATACAATTTTCGAACACTATAAAAATGATTAATAAAAAATAATTATTTTTTATAATACGTACGATTTTATTTAAAAGAAATTAGTTTGTATGAATCATTATTGTAGAGTTGGGAAATTTAATTTTATAAGTTAGAGCCTTTAGTGGGGGGGACTTTTAAACTCCTCTATCATTTTCGCTATTTTAATTGTTTGCAAGTCCTTTTTTCAGGGATTTTTTTAACGTTTTAAAGCGCCTTTTTGTGGATTATAAGAGAACACAAATCTGGTATCTAATTATGACTATGGCTTGCGCGTAAATTATTCGTAAACTTCACAACAGTGCGCACGATAATATGTCAATGTGTTTGTTTTAATAAATTTAAATTCTATTATGCCGAATAATCATTTACTAATATATCGATATAAATAGATTAAGTACAACGCCTTTATAGGTAGGTACCTAATTTTAGCCCGGTCGAAGAGATTCAGTCTGGTCAGTGAAATCCGGGTTAGAAAACGGGTACATCCCGAAGGTAGTATACCCGAACACTAACTAAATCTAACGAGAAACTTTCGGGGAGCGCGTTGAGTTTAGAAACTTTCAAAAATTATTATTATATTCCCTACACGCATTTGTTCGTACAAATCGAATACCACAATAATATAGGGCTTCTAAATTAACTCCTTCTCCCAAAAGAAGTATCGTCTGCATATTGTTATTGTAGAAACTGTGCTCAGTAAAAACAATTTGAAACGGTCCGATACAGAATTATTTTGTTTTTTTAATAAAACTAATTTGAATTTTTAAAAAATTTCGACAAAAATACTTCAGTAACAATAATTAAAACCCCATTCTCCCCGCCGGACTTAAACGACTGAAACTAAAGGGGACGGAAGAAAGGGAACTCCCCTCTCCCTTTAATCACCGGCAAGTACCTAATCGAAATGACCAGTTTTCGTACCGAGTCAACAGAGTTTGAATTCTATGCGAGTATTTTGTGGGCATTTTTTCACCGAGATTCTAGACCAGTTTTCGTACCACGCATATACATTTTGAATTATATACGCGATACGGATATTGCGGGCATTTCTTCCGTAACGAGATCTAATACTAGTTTCCAAATTGAAACGTACCCTGCGGTATACCTACGTGCCCGTTTGGCCTACCTACGTCATGGCATATTTTCATGACCTGTGAACAAAAAAATTTAAAAAAAAAATATTTTTCTTACACACGTCCCCCCCGCCCACCGGTTATACGACGGAAACGGTTTACCGACTGTCATCATGCTATTTGTCCATCTGGCAACGCGTTTCCTGCGTCGTACCCGCGTCGAGACTTTTAATTATTATTATGTTTTACGTCCTGGCAATTGGCGGCGGCAGATTGATGGAATTGTTTGATTTCAATTTCGACGGTAAACGTAAATATTTACGAATCACGCCCGTCAAACAAAATAATAATACATAATACTAATATCGTGTAGGCGGTGTAATGATTGTATTGTGCAACGTCTCCCTCGCGAAATAATAATTTACCGGACGCTATGGCCTGTGAAATTTCGCCAAAGGAAGTCCTCGATTTTTCAAGGTGGCTACCGATTTTAATAAATTGTAACCCGTCGGGAGACTGCTGATAACAGACAATAGCGGAAACCGTTTCGCCGGGACAACATTGAATTACCCACACACAACCGTGTCCGAGACATTATACGACATGACTGCCAAAAGGATAATAATAATTATTTTTATTATAACAAGGATGGTTTTTTTTTTCGCTCTATCTGTGATTTTTTTTTTTTTTTAATGGCACTTACGTCGAACGTCCGGCAAATTCTCGTGATCCCACCGGCGGCGGCAACGTCCTGGCGATGCTGCGCGAGGCCGTAAATTATTCGAGCGCGGACCACCAGATACGCGGCGTTTGCAACCATACCGACAGCCGTGCGAACAGCACGATTGGACCGTATAAACTGTCGCAGTACACCGCGCGCGTCGTCTGGTGCCCCCGTTCGCGCGCCACCGCCCGACCACGAACACCGTCCTGCCGACCCGTAGCCGCGGACGCCAAGTCCGGCGGCGGGCGCGTGATAACGGCCGCCTGAAACAACGCAACTTGGTGACCGTCGCGCTTTGTGATAATGGAAAATATATTACGTTGTGGTCGCCCAGTGCAACCGCGACCCGGGAATTTTAACGAAGTCGATGACGCCGACAGCAGCAGCAGCAGCTGACGGTCGTACGATAATCCGCCGAACACTCCGTTATCAATATCAATTTGTTCGTCCTCGAGTCGAGAAAATTCTGTTCGCAACAACCTTCGCTAGTTCGCTACGACATTTTTCTACGTTTTTCACGTCCGCGTAACACGAAAATATACCGTAAGTATTATACATTTTACTTTAATGTTCACGCACGGCGCGCAGCAAAGTTAGTGTACACGGTTGAATCCTTTGTCCGCATTTGACGATTGGTTCGTGTAACCCGTACATTGAAAATATATATATATCATTAGACATTCTAGAACATAATATTATGTACCTATCTAATTTCTCTATTCGGATAATTGTATCGCACAATGTTAACATTAGATACAGCCTATAACTACTTAAAACTAATTCGTACTTGTTTCTGTGAAATTGATAGACGTTGATGATCAGTACATCTAGATAATTATTCCACCTAGGGTAACGGCACTAGTCTTTGGCATTAACCTAGTTTTTAACTAGTAACTAGTAGTTAACCTAGTAATTTTGGGTTTAATAAACTGTTTGGATTCAGAAAATCAATTTTACTTGTTAAATTTAACCAAGGTGCCAGTAAGTTAACATTTTGATGGTAGCCGACCGGTCAACTGAACACAAACAACTCATCTATGACATATTAAACACAAAATTGAGTTATATTGCCAATTACTGATGCTGTTTACGTACCTATACTTTTTTTTCCCTCCAAACTGGAAAGGGCTTATTTTTTACGTTTATTTTTGTTTACTTACTAATAAAAAAATGTATTTTACATTTTATATATCATATTCTGAACACTTTGATTTTGAAACGTCTATAATTATACTAATACAATTTTAATTATTTCAGAAAATGGGTGGTGACTTTGGACAATTAAAAAATGACATTCGCGGTGTCATCACTACCAAATTGTCTCCTTATGAGCAAAAGGCGTTTAAAGGAATCATCTCTCACGGTGTACCTAATGCAATCAGACGAACACTTTCCAATGTTCCATATATAGTGCCGCCATTCATCATCGGCTATCTGGTTTACGATTGGATTCACCACACCCACCATAAAAGTTTAAGAAAGAACCCAGCAGAATTCGCAAATGACCAATAGTTTTTTTTTTTTTTTTCATTCTACTGTCTGCGTAAAATAAATCATCTTAATGATTGATTATAGATAATAGAAATTTGTTTGTCAAATATAAATAATATGTTTAAAACAAACAATAAGTAATAAAAATGTTTAATTGTTACGTGTTGAGTTGATTATCAATTATTATGAAATAATATAAAGGTTTAATGAATAAAACAGTTTAAATTCTGTTAAAAACATTAATTACTATAGTACATAGGTACTATACATTACAAAAATGTATCTAAAGAAATATAAGAGTATGAGTAATATGTTAACTTTGATGATAAACTATAATTTCATATTTACAAAGGTGTTATAAATCACAAATCTTAAGATTTAAATAATTATTGAACATAAACTTCAATAAAAACTTAGGAAAATTTTTGAAAATAAACTAAAAAATATAGAAAAATTTAAACACTTAGTCAAAATATAACATACATTTATATACATTTAGAATGTTTAGTTATTGGTATTTTCTACACTAGGGAATATTTGGCCATATAATTTTACTTTTTACATGGCAGCAACGATTACAAATGAAGTAAACTATTACGGGAGGATGAAGTCCTACTGGAAATTGTGTATAAGGTACATTTTAAAATAAACACTAATGCCTACCCAATTTTACTTTCAGTATTCAAAAATGTTTATGCTTTTAGGTATTAAAATAATTTATTCTCAAATAACTACAGAATTACTGAAAATAATTATCATTATCAGGGTTTGGGACTTAAAGCACAACAAAACCATACAGATTACTCTTTTTAACATTGAACTATCAATCTTCTTGTTGGATTTGAAGTGAATTTCATTTATGTTTTTAAAAATTATAGAATTTAAGCTTTATTTTAATATTATTTTTAATGCTTACCCTTACTCCTTACACCTGAGTATTCACTTGAGATTTTAAAGAGCAACCTCCCCCCCCCTTTCAATCACAGTTTCAAATAGAGAATATTTTTTTAGACATTTTGATACACATAACAATAATATCAAATTTATCATTTATGATGTATAACAGTTTAAAGTTTTAACCAAAGAAATAGAGAATAGTAAATACATATTATCTATATCTATTTTTAAACAATAAGTTGATAACTCTTTCTTACTCCTCTGGTCTAAACGATAAACTGTTATAACTTGTAAATGGCAAATCTAATCTAAAGTGAATACTCATCTCAAATATAAGGAGTAGCAGTAAAAAATTGAAAATAGTGTTAAAATAAATCTTGAACGATTCCATAATGATGAAACAAAACAAAAACGCAATTCATTTCAAATCCTACAAGAAAATTGCTAGTTTATGATAAAGAATCACTATGTATATCCATCAAAATTAAAATTATTTACTACACAAATATTAATGCAACATTTTAAATTTAGAAAAAGTTACTTTAAATTTTAAATGAATCTGCATTATTTGATAAAATAGGTGAATTATGAAAATTATGAAAAGCTGTAGATTTTAGACAGCAAAATACATTATGTTAATAAGATAAGATCTTATTAAGATTGCATTAATATTTTATACATATATTCGGTACTTTGTTTAAATAATTTCATTGATCAATTGAAATTTTCGTTTAAAATTTGAAGAAATTATTAACTAAAAAATAAGTACTTAACTGCAAAATGTATTAATATCCAAACATATACATATTCAAATTTCAGATTTAATATGGCATCAAAAAATTAAATTATTTCACACACTACTTACTAACCACTTACAATAAAAAAATATGCAAATGGTATAAGTCCTGACTGTGGACAGTGATCATTATTATTTATTATTAGGAAACAGCTGGGTATGGTTAAATTACAGATTTGCACTGTCTACATATCCAAAATTAACTACATATATGTGGCATATACATTTTGAACGATAATAGGAAACTAAATATAATATAAATTGTAGGTACCTACAACCTACCTAAATAATTATTGTTATCATTATTGTTTTTAGAATTAAATACAAAATGTATTTTCTTTTATTTAAAAAATATACCAAGTTCCTGATGTAAATTGGTATTTGCTGATGGAAAATAAAAAACTGTAAAAATAAAAACTGACCTTTTAAGTAGAATCTTGATGAATCTTGATGTCTGATTGATGTATTAAAAAAAAAAAAGGTAAGATAATGGGGACGGGTGCAGCCACAGGTGTAGGTGGGAAGTTGAGAAAGTAGGATATAATAATTTAATATATATCTGTAAGCAACGATAAACCATTGCTTACAAAAAAAAAAAACGATTCTGAGCGGAGTTCAGTTGATAGTGATGTGTTGTCAATAATATATATGTCATTTTATAGTAAAATAATTATATAGGCTTTATAGCACAGATAGAGAAAAAAAAACATCTTTGTAAAACCATAGACTTGTTCGCTCCACTCAGAATCGAAAATGATAAATTATATTATTTTAAAATCACGAAAAACAATTTAATTTTCAACTTTCCATACATTCGCACAGTATAGGTAAACCAGCAAGTAACGACTAAATAATTACTAAAAATAGTTATTTCCACAGAATTATTGAATACATTTAGTTTATTCTATGTATCTATTTTAGTTAAACAGGAAGAAAGATACGCAATGTAAATTACATTGTTTTATAACGTCTGTGATCTTTCTCCAGAAATAGGTATAGTTGAAACTGTGATAGTTTGGCTATGGGGATTCTATTGATTCTATAAATCTCCGATAGCCGATAGACGCACATTTTTATGTACCTAGGTAACTAGTAACCAGTATCTATACCTAGGTATACTCGGTCTCTGGGGGTTCCTTATTTAGTATTTATATTATCCGTGATAATCACAAACAAGATATTATTACTTATTAAATAATACAAATAGGTATTGCATAGAACTATTGGTATTGGTGTTAGAGATACTGGTTCTATACTATGACGTGTGTATTATGTTCATGAACCGCAAGGTGATGCTTTGTAAGAGGGCCTTTTTTTTTTTTTTTTATTTTTCTCGCAATTTGTTTAATAGTTGGGGATACGTGAACATTTACGCGATTAACGGCGTCCGTTGTTTTCGATTTTGTTTTTAAGTTAAAAAACGATATTTGATTATTAGTTGAAATTTTCACAAAGAACTATTTACCCATATTAAACCTTTCTAGACGTGGTACGATTATCAAAACATTCCAACGATCTTTGAGTAATTCATAAATATTTGGAATTTTCGAAGTTTTATACGTTATTTATTGATTTACTATGATGTGTGTTTTAGATTCTGATCGTAGCGAAAAAGAAAGGTAGGTATTGGTTTTACAATGAGATTTATTTATTTTTTCTGTGGACAACTTTTCTACCAACAATTTTGCTTAGATTTACAATGATACCTAGAACTTTTTCTAAAAGGAAATCTGACAGGAAGGTACTTTGGATAGATTATTTTTTAATTTGCCCAGGAGTTTTCCCAATAAATAGGATAAACCGGGAAAATTGGTCCTTACAATATTAAAAAAATATTATTAAAAAACTAATAAAATGTTTAATGCATATTATGTAATTATTTTACCATAGTATGACATATTATATTGTTGACAAACTATAAAGCAATACTATCAACCGAACTCCGTTCAGAATCGATTTTTCGTCAGCATTACAATTGTTTACGCTTTTCATTTTCTATCAGGAATATTGCTCCAATAGAAAAACAAGAAATCTTTTTGTTAATTTTTTAATCTAGTTAATAACCAAGAAAGTCATTGTTTGCTTTTTTTTTTGTAGTTTTGTTTAATAATTGAGTAAAACCAAAAAATACGTAGAAGGAACGGGAAAATTTACAAAAAATAATATTTAAAATTTTGTTTTTATAAACGTAATTCAATTAAAAATATTCGTAGACTTTGAATTTTGACGGAAAACTTATATTTGCTTTCTCTAGACGTGATAAAATATTCGAACTATTTATAGATATTTTAATTTCACGAGTTTTTACGTTCTTTTTATTTGGTACCTAGATAATCTGTGGATAAAATTGTTAGACTAAACATAAATGCATAAAAATTAGCAGAGGCAGCATTATAAATCATTATTATAAACCATTATAAAGTTCATTATAAATCGTACCTACTTAGTGGTCAGAAAAAAAAAATGATTGTCATGCACTTGGTATTTTTTATTTTTATAAGTTTTAAAATCAAATATTGACGAAAATCGTAAATATTATCCTTCGAAACATGTTTAACCGAACTTCGCTTCGAACCATTTTTCGTTGGTTACAGGTATAAATTATATTACAACACAATGTGTTCCACCATAGGCGTGCGCATGAGAGCAGCAGAGGCAGCACATAATGCCCCTGAACTTTATTTAGGACTACTATTATACTACAAATATTAAATAATGGACATCGGTAAAATTATTTTTCCACAAATGATGACCATTGTAGATAAAATAATCGTACAATTTTTTATTTTTTTTGTAAAGTATATAGACAAATATTTTATGATAATAGAATACACCAGTATAAAACTAATAGGCATGTCCATTATAAAAAATAATTGTTTTCTATGTTTAAAAATGTTTATTAATATCCCTGTCACAAGTTGTGGTTGTGAGAAGAGTTTTTCTAAACTTACCATTGTAAAAAGCAAACTTAGATGTACCATGATACAGGATAGACTAATGTATTTATTTTGCTTTTATTTGTCAAACAAGAATTAATTTCTTATGTAAATATTAATAATGTAATTGATGAATTTAAAAATGTAATACCTGCGTAGATATTATTATTATAAGTCTATGAATATTAATAAGAACTTTGTTTCATTTACAACTTTAATTATGTACCTATTTGATTTTTTTTTTTTTTTTTAAACAAACTTCTTCAGTTTTGTACCAACATATTCAGAGTTTAATTATTTTTAAAATATATATTTTATACTGTTTTTAATGTTTGTTTATTTTATTGTATCATCAATAATAAATATTAACACATAAGTACCCTAGTGTACACATTTTTATCCAAAAAATAAATAACCAATAGAATTTTAATTTTGATACCCACTAGTAAAAAAAGTAAAACTATGAACTGGTTTTAATGGTGAATTTGGAGAATTGGCCGAATTAATCTCTCTCTGCCCCTGAAACTAGAGTCTGCGCACGCTTATGTATCCCACCTTCCACCTACAACAATGGCCGTACCTGTCCTCAGTATCAACTCTTTTGAAATAACTTTGTCGATTCTCTCTAACTTTGTTAGCTAATTCACTATTTGGATACATACAACATATTTATATCATCAAAATATAAAATTGTTTAATTGTTAAAAACTGTAAAATTCTCTATTAGAATACCTACTGAAGTGATGACATGTACATTCACAATTCATGAATTCTATCTCAACATTTTTCTCTATCATAAGATTTTAAAAGTAGAAATGGAAAATATTTCTGTGTATACTGTAAATGGTATACCTATCACCTAGGTATAGGTATAAGATGGACTTACTATAGTAGTCAAATTGATCGAAAAGTATTTAATACAGAAGGTACATAGTACTACAGTACTATGCTGCAGCACATTACAATTTAATTTCTAATAAAATATATTTTTAACATACCTACATAAATATTTAAACTAATTGATTTTTATACAATAATAAAACAGAACTTTGTCAAAACTAGAAGTTACCTCAAATGTATTATTATTCTATAATAATTGTAGGTATTTAATATTTAATATTCATATAACATGTTATAATAATATTTACCATACATACTTATACAAAAATGTAATTATTATTATATATATATATTTTTTTAACACAATCAAGATAAATGATAATATCACCTGTTTTACTAGTAAAATATTAACTTACTTGGCCTAGTACATTGAATTAGGTGAGTATTATAAAATGTTGTTCCTGTTGCTATGGGAGAAAAAAATCAATGATAAGGTGCCCCACACTTATGCATTTTACTATTCAATAATTTTATCTTTTTAAGTAGAAACACAATATTATGACATAACTTTAATTTCATTTGTTTCAATTTAATTTATATTATATAAAATACTTCAAAAGAATAATTTGTTATATATTCATATTTTTTGTTTACCAAAATCTAATGAATAAAAATAATCAAGAGTCAGTTTTACAATCTAATGACGAATACCCCTATTCTGAGTAGGTATATACAATAAATATAATAAATATGTAAATATTTTATGTTCACTTTTGTTCAGAGAGATAATTGGAGAGTTTGTGATGGAACTACCTGCCTTTAATAACAAAAAGATCATCAGTGCTTCAAACCAACAGCGCAAGAAAAAAGTTTTAAAACCACTGCGTACACATACATTGTCAGTTACCAGGCGACGACAATGTATGTTTATTTATTTAAATACATTATATATTAAATTTATGATAATCAACAACATTTTATCAGGTACGTCTAATACACCATACCAAACTACTTATACTAATGGTACAGGAACTCATTCAAATAAATCAAATATGAATAATTTAACGAGTAATGACCATATATTAAAGATCAAACAGTTGGAGAATGAACTGGTTGAGATTCGTATGAAAACACGTGTATGTTAATATTTATTAAATTAAAATTAAATAAATTAAATATTTATTTTATGTTATGTAAATTTAGGAATTGATAATAGAAAACCGTTTATTGAAAACTTTGGAAAAGAGACACGAGAAAGCATTATCTCTATATGAAGGTAAACAAGCCAAACTACCACAAGTGATTAAAACATACGAAGAAGACAATCGCATATTACAAAACCGAATACGCCAAATGAAAATTTCATATAATGAAATGGAAAATAGATATAAATCACAGAGTAATGAATTAATAGTTATACAAAAACAACACAGACATCTCTTAGATTTATCTAAAAATAAACAGCTTAGCAAAAGAGAGAAACTATCTAATCAATTAGAAGAAGCTCAAAATATAATTAAAGAACAAGATAATAAAATTCAGGTAAATCTTTAATATGTCTAATAATCATAAAAATGTATGCAATTTATATTCTAGAAATTAATGAAACAATTGGAACTTCAAAATAAAACACATAAACATAATATAAATTTAGAAAATATCAAAATCAAAGGGTTACAACTTGAAGTGAAACGTCTAAAAAATGAAAACCAAAATCTTGGATCACGTGCAGACGGATTGAAAACTAAAATTTATAGTGCCAGACAGATTTTTTCAAGAGGAGTAACTGAAAATTCAATAAATATCACTCCTCGGTAAGTCAATTCAAAATTTTTTTTTTCCGTTCTTAATTTATCTATTAATTCAATAATAGAATAGTAAACTCTGAGTCACCCATACAATATAGACAAGGTGATGGAATTGATAAATCTTTGTACAAAACAAATGGATCTCTCAAACCAGAATTGTTGCATGGAAAATATGAAGTTAATAATTCTTTAATGGAAAGCAACATAATCAAAGAATCTACAAACCCGATAAACAAAAGATACACATCACATTTGCCAGGCAATATATCATGGCCATACAATAATAATTCTAAATTTTTGAAAGTAAATATCTATTTATGTAAAAATATCAAACATAAATTGTTGTTACATAAACTACAAATTATTCCTTATTGAATAATTTTAGGATAACAAACCAGAATTACCAAGCATAGAAAATAATAATTATGAAAATCTAAATGAACACATAGCTTCGCAATCAATACAAGAATCCTTCATGTCTAGAAAACAAAAAGACTTACTTTTAGCTAAATTAAATCAAGTCAGTGAGGACGAAGATAATAATTACGAAAGATACTATAAACAGACATCGTCATTGAATCAGTCATTTGATGAAAGATCTCTATTATCATTTTCTGATGGTGAAAATGATAAATTCTCTGATATTAGTTAGTATTGATTATAATAGGATAAACTAAAATGTTTTACTTTGATTGTTTAATACATATTAATTACATTTATTATTTAGCAAATTGATTATTTTTTCAATAAAACAATAAATTATTTTAACTTTTAGATTTGTTCACAGTGTTTGCCAATAGTTTAGTAAATTGGTCTTCTATTTTTCTTATATCTTCAATACAAGACTGAAACTTATGGTTAAAAAAATAATATTATGTATTAATACATTGTAATAAAAAAAAAATTATCAAACATACTTCTTTTTCGGCAGAATAAAGCCTTTCAGACACGGTATTATGAACAGTATTTGCTGCTAGTGTATAGGACATTTGACCGGTTGATTGTCCTAGTTGTAAGGCAGTGTCCACAGTACTAATAGCATCCTAAACACAATAAATATAGACTAGGTATTGAAGTACAAATATAAACATTTTAATAAAACATTAAAGTAAAATATTTACTATATACTTACCAAGTAAAACGTTTTGGCATCTTTAATATGGTATCGGGATTCCATTAGAACATTATCTAATTCATTTTCAGGGTATTCATCACTAGCCAATATGTCTATGACCTTCATAAGTTCATTTCTTCCAATAACGTAGATATAAAATATGTATTACAAATAAATTATAATCAATAATCAATAATGTTTCTACAAAAGTCACTCACTTATACTTTTGAGATGCATCTGAAAGTAAAACCAGGGCTAATGTAATCATCTGACAAGAAGAGTTCACAGATAAAGCACATGTTTGCTGTAACAAATATTTGTGTGTCATTTGTTCAGGTACTTGTTTTAGTTCTACAACTACTGGAGACTCGATCTTATTCTCAGATTTTTCTGTTGTCGTTTGACAGTATGCCAATGCTACCGCTAACCGATGCCATCGCATCTGTTTGCAAAATGTAGTCTGCATTGAAAATTAAAAGTGACTTCAGATACCTACATAATGTTATTATAGAAATACTTGCCATTTTAAACATTGTCCTGTAATCCTAGTCCGTCATTTCTGAATAAAACTCGAATATTAATTTTACTTGCACATGATACCTATTGTCATAAAATTAAAATACAACATTGCGTTACTAGTATTTATAGGTATTATGATCTAAGGATACAAATACAATTTAAATAATTTAAAAATCATAGAATATTAAAATACTATTACTTTAAAAAGAAAAGGATAATCGAAAGATAATAACAAAAACCAGGCACCGGCATCGTGTGATAAGAAACAACGATTTTTATCTAAATAAATAGATATTTTTTTAATAAAATGGCGCGGCCAATGCTCTTGTATGGTAAATGGTAGATTGGGTAAATTATGAGTAAGGTAATTTAATTTATATGGGTACATAATGAAAACGAAATACAATTCTGAACAGTGTGGTTGAAAATTTTTTTTCAATACAAAACTAATATATGAACCATTTTAACCAACTATATTAACTACAAAATTAATTAAAACTGCTCGTGTTCAACAAAATAAATAACAAATTACGAGATTAATCTAAAATATTTTTTTTTTTCAGCACAATGTAGCCATTATAAATGAATTAAACTAGTAGTTCAAATAAGTTAGGTAGGTACCTACTACCTTGTGATGAACCTTGTAACAAAATTTTGGAAATTAATGGTACCTATACTTTAGAACTTGGTATTAATGAAAACATATTAGGTAGGTACCTATACCTCGGTAATTAAGTAGGTACATAAGGTACCTACTTAATTAATCTAAATAAAAAACTAACTATCAATGAACAATGTTGATGATTTACGTTTCTCGTTAAAATATAATCTTCAAACGCTTACATAAGAAAAAAAAACGAGCTAATACTGGGAACAGATTTTCTAACTGAATGACATTCAAAAACCAAAAGAATTACATTTACGTAAATTTTCCTGTTCTTTCTACGTACTTTTCGGTTTTGCTCAATTTTTAAAAAAACTACCAAGAAAATCAAAAAACGACTTTCTTGACCACTAACTAGATTAAATATTCAACAAAAAATATCGTTTGTTGTGTTTCTATTGGAGCGAAATTTCTAATAGAAAACGGAAAGCGAAAAAATTTTAAATAATGAAATCATTGCGACGTACCTTATTTGAAAAAAATGTTTCTTCTATTTTGGTTTTCCCTAATTATTATAAAAAATACTTAAGATATTAAAAAATCACCTTCAATAAAAGTGGCTATATGTTAAATGGAGCAAAATCGATTTCTAGTCATTTTTCGATTTGGAGCAATATTCTGGTTGAAAACAAGTTGCAAAAATTAAAAACAATGAAAACGTTTACGGCGCGGCTCGGCGTATCATAATTTTCTTTCGGGTTTTTTCAAATTATTTTGAAAACCCCTTCGAAAACTGAAAAATCATCTCCCCAATGCACCAATTAGAGTTAATTATATTTCATAAAAGATCTTACACTTGATACTTCGGAACAAGAATTTTGGTAGAAAAGTTGTTCATAGACAAAAGAAAAATAAACTCTTACCTACCATAGTAAAACCAATTGATTCCTAGCTACGCTCTGAATCTAAAAAATGGTTATAGATTTACGATATCTTTATACTACCTACTTACTAAAGACCTGTAAGGACGGGGTTTTTTTTTTTGACAAAAACATGCGGGCTGGGCCACGTTTTTAAGTTTTAAATTTATTAAGGGCCAGGCCATTTTTTTACAAAAACTTTAAATCGGGTTGGACCAAGACTGACTATTAATAATATATGCAGAATGAAACCGAGATCACTCTCATTATTTTACAACTTGGCTGGGTCGGACAGGGCCAGGAATTGTCAGCCCCCGCAGACTAGGCAGAAATCCAGAGCAAACATCTGACGGGGGCCCAACAATTATTTTACAACACAAATACAATTCAAATATAACATAATATATTATTTTATCATACATATTAGTGATTGTAAATATAGTAATATCAGGATTTATACAATTATAAAAAATAAATCAATATTTTATAAAAACAAATAATACATTAAACACATTTTTTTTTTTTACTACAAGGTAAGATTTAATGAACCTCCTGTTAAATTTTCAAACATTTCTGTTAAGTCTAACAATTTTACCACAGAGTACCTACCGAATAAAAATTACGTACAATACTCGCAAAATTAAAATGTCTATCAATAGCTCAAAAATGGCTTTAATTTTTTGAAAATTTTACCACGTATAGAAAAGGCAAATATAAGTTTTCTGTCCAAATTACAAGCCTCTATGAATATTTTAAACTGAAAACAACAAATAACAAAATTGATAAAATAATAAAAGCATTAATTTCGTAAATTTCCCGTTTTTCTTACGTTTTATCCTGGTTTTTCCCAGATATTATGAAAACCGCTTGGAAAATCAAAAAAATTTCTTCCCACGAGTACCATCTAAACAACATTCGCTTTCAGAAATGGTGCCGCGCGTATAAATCTGAGCAAAGTTTATGGCCGAATTACGTTATACGTTTATCTGTACAATATTAGTATAAACTAGGTATTGTATTTAATTCGTGATTTAAATTGATAATTTAGGACCCAATGTACGTAAAACAATCGTTATGGTTTTTAATTTGTACACATTTCTAAAGCCTTTAGACTAAAGGTGTGTGGGGTCTATGATCTTATAGATCCATTTTGTTTCGAGTCTGTAATGCAGAGCGAATAAAAAATTTAAATATAAATTAATCGCCATTGGAAAACCAACACAGATTTAGTTGTTAATTAAAAACTATAAAATGAATGCCCTTTCGGACTATTCACACTAGAATTTAGGAACCATCCGTGTCGTATTTGAATCCGGGATTTCACTGTCCGGGCTCTTATCGTTCCGGCAAACATTTACATTCCGGTTTATCGCAGTCCGGGTTTTTTCTATCGTTCCGGATAATATTATTGCATTGCCGAGTATTGTGACCTGATCGTGTCCATTTTCAGTTTAGATGGTTTAGATTCGGCTCGTCATTATACTTGTTGAATGTCGCACCTGGTTAATTCAATAAATACGCCAACACATCGGCGAAAAACAAACAAACCCGTTACGGGTTCACGTGGGTGCATTGAAGTCGGTGTACATCAGTCGTGCCTAGGGTAAATGATACAAATCGTAGTCGGTCGCCGAACAGCTCGCCGAGATTCGCCAATTCGAATAACCGCGCGAGTGTTCATTATGGTATCGCTATAAATAACACGCACTGCTCCCGACCGCCTTGCTATTTTGCTTATCGGTTTCGAAATAGCGCGCAGTTTTACGGATTGCGGCCGCACAGACCGCGAGTCTCGCGACGTTTTCCCGATTGTTACGAGAAAACCGTACAAGGAGAATCACCTTGTCAATGGGCCAACTAAAGACGGCATTTTCTACCGGAAACCATCCACACCAAAGTTGACGATCGGAGCAAGATCTCCGGCGGATAAGTTGTTTTCAGAAACAAAACAAAAAAAAAATCAAAAATTATAAATGTGTGCACATCATACGAGTAGTAATAATAAAACAATCACCACGGTTCTGCGAATCTATAAGAAAAAAAAAAATAAATAATAATAATACGTTCAAGGTTAACATTTTTAAAATAGACTAAATATGTGTGTTTCGGAACACCCATAGGCGCAAACAGGGAACTAATCCCCTCCCAGAATTCCACTTATCCCTTCCATATTCCAAATTGGGTCGATTGGGTTGCAGGTCTCTGGCTTTCGGACCCGGGAAATGAAAAACGAAAACATTGAAAATCGTGAATTTTACCGTAACCCGCGGTCAAATTTTAGATTTTTCAAAAATAATTGCACGAGTTTTAACGACAATTAACATTTTTTTCGACACAATTTAAACACCGCGAAAATACGTACAACTTTTTCTCGGTATGAGCGCGCAAATCCGAAATGCCCAAGGGCAGTGTTCAAACGAAGCGATACGGTTTTGTTTTTTTTTTATCTCCGCTAGCCGTAAACAAGCTCATTTCCTCGTCAGTCGGAAAATTCGGTATGTTCGCCCCAATCCTATACCGCGTCCGTCGAAATGACGCCGCAGACAATATCGTACGCGTGCACGACTTGTTTACTTTTTAAAACAGATCCATGGCGACTACGACAGAACTGCTGCATTCGTTGTAATATAAACCACTTAGAAAAAAAAAAAAAAAAAACAACAAAACCGGAAGTGTTCAGGAACAGCGTCAACAGTGTGGTCCGGCACAACGCAACACTAATGGGTTCGCATCGCGGGCGGGAGCGTTAATTGCCGGAATCCCCGGTACACGCATCGCGAAATCGGTTTATAGCGCGTTTTCCGCATGCCGCCGCAGTGCAACAACCAGTACCGTGCGGGTTTCGCGAGTGTTAGCGCCGGCGCTGCCACGTGCCGCACTCGGCTGGAACACGGACGACCGCAATCCACCGAAAACGGTTTGCCGATTGCTTCTTATCACCAGTGTTGAATTCGGAGAATTTCTCCGGGGAGGGCGCACTTTTTTTTCCATCGGTCATTTCGATGGAGTTCGGAAACAGTAACGAGGTACTGCTACGTTCAATAAATGATACATTTTGTTCGCAGTCATTGTGTTTTTAACAGGGGGCGTGAATGAAATTCTAAAGCGGGCATTTTCCTCCCCTCTCCCCCCACCCCACGACCCGGAGTGTACCCGGATTCAACATTGGTTACGGTCACGTATGGACAATGACTGTTAAAAGCCTGAAATAAATTCACACTTCACACCGCTCTAATTGTCATAAACCGGTTATTTAACACTTGATGATGACGACGACGACACCTCTAAAACCGTTTGTAATTTACGAACTTTTACCACACCGTTAACAACTCATAGGCTGTACACCGGCGGTTCACAAATCGTTTTCATTCAAAGCTCCCTAATATGTTCACGCCCCCCGCAAAGAATATTTGATAAAACAGGTTAACAGTTATTTTATATTTACGAGTTAACAGTAAACTCATTATTTTATTTTGTACAAAATAATTGATGCGAACAATGCGCTTGTTTTTCGTTTGTTAATTTGTTCAAAATTAAGAATTGACGTAGTCACCGCAACACGCATTTCTTTTTCCGCGGCGAGTCCGGACCTGCTGCCGAAAATCCTGTTTCACGCGAAATACGATGTGACAAACTCCAGGATATTCGTCTTTAATACTGTTCCAAAATCCTAAAAGCGAATACGAAGAAAATTGCACGCGCGGCGAAGAACCGGACCGGATGTGATAAGGCAATCGTTTCTATGAAATTGCTATCGGACGCATAATTCATCTAAAAATAACTGCACAGACAAAATTCCAACCGCGCGCCGCGCCTCCGCTGTTGAGCGGCTCGCGGCTCCGTCGGGTGGCGCGCCGCACGGCCCGGGAACCGCCGGTCCGTAACGGTACAGCATGCAATGTGCATTGCAAATAGTACGGCAATAATGTACGCTACCGGGTGTTGGTTAATATATTGTCGATAGAAATCCAAAAACCGTGTCGCGTAGCTCGTGCGCCAGTTCCGCGCTCGGCGCAAAGGCCGAGCGCCGTGTTCTGGGACGGGCCACGCGAAACTGGGCCGGCCGCGACGATGTTTTTGGAGGCGGAACGCGTTTTCAAACGCCCGGCGCGCGCTGGGCGCGATACTCCGGGCGGGCGGAAAACGCTATTAAATTAAACACGTTTAAATGTAGGTAAAAATATATTATAATTTAAACGTTATTTAACGTCATGCGTCACACTGGTGTACATTAACAATATTATGCATATGGGTGTGAGTCGATCATATAACACAGTCAATACGGTCGAATAAATAACGTAAACACGCGAATACAATAATAACAATAATAAATAAAAATAAAAAATTCCAACGATTTTTGGCACGCGCCGACGATAACGTACAACCGGTGTTTGGCGATCCGGGTAAATACCTGTTATAGGAACAGGCGGCGGAGTGCCTGTCGTTTCGTCAAATTCCTGTCCACGCGTGTAACGTGTTATGTGTAAAAATACGTGGGTACAAAATAATTGTATAATTTTTTTTTTTTTTTATAGCGTTTAACTGCGCGGCATTAAAATGTTCGGCGGGCGTACAAAAATGTTACGACAAAAAAAAAGAAAAAAACCGTCGTAGTTTAATAATAAAAATAAACTACGTCGAGTCGCGGCGTTCACACCCGTGCGTAAAATCTGCACGCGGTCCTGTGGCCGTCGTCCTACCGACGGCGGTCGTCGTCGTCACCGGAGGCCGACAGCTGCATCAGCGTCCGCCGCTCCAGCGGCGAATCCTGCGGTACCCGATCGATCGGCGCCGGTTCGTCGGGCTGTTGCATCAACGGCACCAGGGCGCGGCGGAGCCGATCCACCGCCCGCGGCAGCGCGACGTTGACCAGGGCGGCTCGATCCATACGGCGGACAGCGCCCTCCGAATCCGTCACCTCCGACGCCGCAGCCGCGGATGACGATAAGGACGGCCGACTGTTATCGCCTCCGCCGAGCAACTCTTGCCGTTCGTACGCCAATATGCGTTCCCGAAGTCGACTGAGCAGCAGCAGCTGTTGTTGTTGTTGTTGTTGTTCACCCGCGCCACCGTCGGCTCCGGATAGGCAAAGTTCGTCTGAACCTCGCTGTGCGTTCACCGCCGGAGCGACGGAGGCCGACCGCGACGATAACAGGGGTGGCAACAGGTCAGCGATACGGCCGCGGACAGCCCGGGTGGCCCGTCTGTACGGTTCGGGCGAATCGGCCCGGTCAGAGTTGGAATCTACAGTGACGTCGCGGGCGTCTGCGTCGGCTGGATCGGATGGCGGAGATTTCGGACCTTCGCGGTCGTCGTCGTCTTTTCTCCGGTCGCGTCCCCGTTGGAGTCTCAGCAACATGTCGTACAATCGGCTGTTTTCCCGCCGTCTAGCATCCAGTTCACGGCGCAACAATACCAACTGATCGTTGCCGGTCTTGTTGGATTTGGCCGCGCCACCGTTCTCCGGGTCGCTGCACTGCACTTGCGCGTCAGCCGTCCCGGCTCCAATCGCTGACGGACTGTTTTTGACGCCACCGCCGCAACGGCAGCACATCGAGAACCGACCGAGTCCGCTCGATGTACGTCGCCGCCGACGTCGGCGGTGCGTTCGTCGTGACAGCGTTGGAGACGTCGTCGTCGTCGTTGTCGTGACGCCACCGCCGCCCGTCATCGGCACGGAGTCGGTAGACGACGATGTCGTCAAGACCGTTACTGGCTCGGCACCGCCCTTGCGCCGCTGACGTTTTCGCGGGCGAACAGTCGGCGAGCCCGCTGTGACCGATGGCGCTGTGACCGCGGCCGGCACCAACCGAACTGGTTCATCTTCCTCCACGTCGTCGGATTGGTTCGTATCCTCTTCTGCCGATGACAAAGTGTTCGACTCCGATTCGTCTTCTTCGTCTACTTCGTCGCAGCTGAAGAAAAAATTCACTTCCGAGTAATCGGGTAACACGGGTGGCGGCGTCGTTATGACCGCCGCGGTACCCGCGGCGGTCGCTGCTTCGGCCGTCGGCGGAGTTTTCGTTCCTGTAACGGGAGACCGTTTCACCAGTATTCCTTTTGTCACGGGCGGCGAAGTTACGGTTGGCGCGGCTTTTGAACAGGACTGGTCGGGGGGGACGGCGGAGGCGGCCATCATTTGTTGCCGTTCTCGTTGTGCCGCGGCATCGGCCACCTGCGTAACGTACCGTTGCTGTTCGAGTTTTCCGATCTGCCGGTTCCGGGCCCACAGTTCGGTGTTGACCAGCTGCTGTAGAGACCGTTCCAACCGTCGGCACCGGGCCCGTAAACATGCCAATTCGCTACCGGGACTATCGTTGTCCGCGGCGGGATGTTCGTTGTGTGCGGGCGCCGGTGTCGGGGTTGGCGGAGAAGACGGTATTTGTCGTTTATCACTGGCAGCCGTTGCTCGTTTCGCGGACAGCCTGGTCATGCACGTCTCAGAATCCGTCGTCGTCGACGAGTCCGTTTCGTCGTTGTTCGAGTCTTGTCGCGTTTCCTCGTCTTCCTCCACGTAATCCTATAAAAGGGAAGAGTATGCGTACACTCCTGAGTTACCTCATATATCAATTATACATGCATAATATATGTACCTGATCGTAATTATCGATGTGATTTCTCAGCCGTTGCCAGCGTCGTTTGTCGCCAGCGGAGACCGCGACAGCTTTAGCCGACACCGTGGCCGCTAACAGCGCCAGTAACCGCTTGTTGACGGTCAACAAGTCGTGGATGGTGCGTACGGCCGCTTCGGCCGTCGCCTTGGCCTTTGCCGCAGCGATCGCCTGATCGTCATAGGAGACCGCCGTTTTCCCGGCACGAACGCCGCCGCCGCCGCCACTATCGTCGGTGGTGCTGTCGCTACCGGTGCCCGTGTCGCTATCGCTACTACTGTCGTTGCATTTCTTCGGATTTCCATTTCGGGACGCGGAGAGCCGGTCCACTCGTCGTTCGGCGTTGTAGACGCGCAGTCTTAGCTGAAAATTGTCGGTCCGCAACTGTTCTAGTTCGTCGACCAGCGACGTGGTCGTCGCGTTGATCGCGGCGTTGGTGCTGTTGTTGCTATTGTTGTTGTTGTTGTGCCGGTCGAGGTGCTGCAGATGCTGGTCTCCGTCGCCGAAATCGTCGTCGTAAACCAGTCGGCGGCGGCATCGGACGTTCTGTGGTCCCGTAAAGCCCGCGTACGTGGCCGCCTTGGTCAGAGGCGTGCTGGTCGACGGCCGCGACGAAGACCGTAGTAATTTTTGATATTCCATTACGGGTGTTTCGCTGCCCGGTCATAGTGATATAATTTACAACGCCATTGTCGGCGGCCGCTCGTGAATAAATAATAGAGAAAAAAAAAACACACGAAAAAATCGCGTTTAAATCGGACGAATTCGTTTTTGAACAGCGGGGCTGCGGTTCGTATTATACGGCGACGTACATTCGTACACGGAGGCGCGGCACTCTTACGACACGGCGGAACCGCCGGACAGACTGAACTAATTATTGCGCACCGACTGTCCGCGGTCGATTCGGTCGGCACTGCTGCGATAACGCACGAAAACTGTAGAGTAATTTATTGCTCTACGACGAAAACACGGTCGTTACGACGACGCATTGTTCGAGAGCCGATAACGCACAGATAACGCCGACGGCCGTGCGGTACTGTGCGATTTAGTCCCGTTAAAACGATATTATTCTACAGCCGCTGTTCGGTAGGTACGACGATGACATTATACTATACATATTACGATTACGTTAATGTTGTTATTGTAACCTCGTCCGCGCGGATTGAATTAGTCCGGTACGGAATTGTCGACGCGGCGATGACGGACGCCGTGCAAAGGCGGACGCGTGCGTAACACTACAATGACGGCAGTAATAATAGCAGAGCGGTACTGGCGTTGCAGCATCGGCCGCACGTGACCCTCTTCGCGCCCGCGCGCCGCGGCCAGCCGCCGCCGGGAGCGGAGCCGTTGCGCGCGGCCGCGCGTATTCATTCGGTACGCCGTAATCGTTTGATGCGTCGTGTGCGCGTGCGTTGGATGGTATAAATAATAATAGAGTAGACGAAAAATAAAAAGTCGCCTTCTCCGCGCCCGCGCGCGAGTTTACGGACCCTATTCGAGTTCGGTCGAACCGACGCGTGACTACGCCGGAGACGCGCCGCGACGTTACGCAATTGCAGACGGTTGCGCGTACGCTCGGTCCCCAAAATATAGGGGCGCCCGAGGCATTGTTCCCCGTGGCCCGGCCCCATTATTTTATTGCAGCCGAAGGATTCGTATTCCTGCGAAGCGTACAAAGTAATACAAAAAAAAAAATCGAATCAATTGAAACGTTACAAAATAAAGGAAAATCGCATAAAATGTATTGATTTATTAGTTTATGCGTTTCTGCAGGGAAAACCGTAAACGGCTGGGTCGTTTTTACGGAAACGAGATCCAGAACATCCTCAGATATTGCGTTGATTTCTGTATGGATGCCGGTCCGTTCAAACTAAATATAAAATACAGATAAAATTACAATCGCGTATCAACGTTACCGACTGTCGTAATAATCGGCCTGACCGCGATTTGAACGACGATTTATAATCATCGTTAACTCGTATTCGATTCCGTTCTCAGTGCAGTTTATGCGACGAACAACACTGACACACCGAGGTAATACGCAATCACGGCGCAACATGCGACTGCGTCCCTCGAGCTTTACGGTCTCGCCGTTTATCCGCTCTCTTGTCTTTAACGGACTGGAATGCGTGATTCGCGCCGAAAACCGTTTGACGCGTTGGACGATATTTATATCAAAGCACGTAATCCGGTGGCACGGGCGAATTTTTTCACCGCCGAGAATTTTTACCTCGCGTGAGTGGAGGAGGGGGAGGGGCGGTGAAATTTCGACAACGGTGACCGGCGAATTTCACCACTCCGCCGTCGTTTTTAGCCACGGAGAGTACAATTTCGCTACGTAAAATTCACCAGGGACACCAGAACGTTTACGTGTGAAAAATATCATTTACATCATATTTATTGTGTGCGAGACGATTTCTGTAAAAAACGATATTTTACTTGTCTGAACCCAGTATACGAGTACCATATTCATTTACGATGACCATAATAATTAATACGTGTATCGGGTAACTGTAATATTATGACCGAACTTTTACATTTTTTGTATACATTCTGCGTTGCATTGTCGAAATTCCTGTAAAAATGCACTGCTGGTAATTAACATCTTGGACAAAGTAATAGTTTAGAACTCGAACAAATTAAAAATAAATGTTTGAAAACCAATATGTCTGTATGAATATCGTTAAAATAAAATTTGTTTGTACACTATGTTTCATAAATTTCCATTAGTATTTGTAAAATAAATAATAAAATGGTACATTTTGATAATATTAGAAACCCGATATGCCATTCGGTAAACTGATAAAAATATATTGGTTTCGTTCCGTTGAAACTTGTGAGTAACAAACCGCTGTGCAGTAAATTAAAACTAAGAGCTGTTGGTAAAAATCATAAGGTGGACATAATTTGACGAAATTACAAGGGGGTAAAATTCGGCCGTCGGCGAAATTATAAATCCCCTCCCCCCACCCCGAGGTAAATGTATAACGAGGAGGTGAAATTCCCACGGTACCGTATCGAAATTTCGCACCTCCACTCCATTACCGTGTAGAAATTACGAGTTGGTGAAATTCGCCCGTTACACACCGACGTCCGATCTCTTTGCGAGCGTTACCGGATTTCGACCGACGAGTGCCAATATTGTGTTTTGTGAAACCGTTAAAAACATTTCGGTTACGTTTCGACTTGGGCCGAACGCGGATAGGGTCTGTAAATACGCCGCCCGCACGACCGCGTTCAATACACGAGCATAATTTTGCCGGCCGTGTAAATAATAATACTTATAATAAATTATAATATTACACCGTCGCAGCATTTCGCAATGCTCTCGTTCGTATTACTAAACAGTAGTCGGCGCCGACGTCACCCGCCGTCTTTGGCTGTTTAATAGCACTCGATGGCCACGTCGATGGCGGCGCCCGAAAGTCGTCTGGGTAAAACAAGATCGTTAAGCGGCCCGAGACCGAATAATATTAAAAAAAAAAAAAAAAAATACACCCGGACATACATCGCAGTTGCAGAGAAGTTGGAAATGTAGAATGTTAGGACGGTCGAGTTTAAATACACTAAATGCGTAAAGATAAACCGTTGCGAACGAAAAACGATTCTGAACGGAGTTCGGTGAAATATATATTGGCCATCAAATGAAATAATAATTTTCAATCTGGTTCACCTGTATAAACCGTTTTGTTTTTAACATCTGATTATCCGTGAAATTTGGTAACCGCATTGGTACCACCATGTATAGAAATTAAAAAAAAAAAACAAAACAAAAATCAACCGAAGTTGTATCTTAAACGTCTGCAGTTAGTACTTGGTTGTATCAAGGTTAGATTGGTTACACCATAATTTTGAAACATAAAACATCAAAATATGTTATTCAATATCCGCCATTCATATTAATAATAATGTGTAGTATATACTTACATACTTCCTACGTGTCATTCGACCCCGTGGTCGCTGCGTATTAGTTATTCATATGTGTTGATCAAACACCTGAACGACCTACCTACAAATTTAATTAACATATTAGATGAACTTTCGACAGTTTTGCACAAATGAAGTGTGTGTATTCGATTAGTATCAAACCAAGTAACATCAAACGTATCAAACGCTGTACACTTGTAAAAATTATTGTATTGTTGCGGGGGCTGCCATTGAAATTCTGGACGAACTTTACAAAATAATTTAAGAGAATAGTCAAAATGTTTAGAAATTATTTTATTCAATTATTTCATAAAATAATATATTGCCATCACATTTTTTTTTAATAATTCACAAAACAATCTTACTTGAAGGTGTTCACAGTTAATAGCTCATAACTCGCGAATTTGTACTTTTTTTTTTTCTAATTTCTCTCGCGATTTATTTCGCCAATGTCTAATGCACTCTGATTTTTCTCTTGTCGTCACTTTTTCGTTTTTATTTCGTTAGTTATTTCTTTATTATCTATTAAATCAATCAATTTTTCCGTGCTACTTGTACTATTGATTCTTTTGATTTTATTTTCGTTCGCACCTTTTACGGTTAAACCGCCTGAAGATTTTTTGTCTACTTCACTAAAACTTTTAGCTGTACACAATGGACCCAAGGGAGACGATCGAGCTTCACTATTATTACCCGAGATCCAAGCTTACATCAGAAAATATCGTAAGTGATCCTATTCGTACACCAAGTTTGCTGAAATGTAGAACTATAATAATACTATTTATCTTTCCTATACTGGTTGTAGAATGTGAGTTGGAGATTATGGAATCGCTGGAATCGTATTTGCGCTTTACAATGTATGGATCACTGTGTGACTATTACGATGCGATTATTATTGTCGACCGTTGTACGGGTATATCGGTAATCGGTCGATAATAATTTAATTAAATATACTAAACAAAACCTAATTAAAGTACCCATATGATAAAATATAATCGTAACATGAATAGATTTTAGATGTTTTGAATCGTAATTATAATGCAAATAAAATGTACAAAATTAATATTTAATATTACAATGCTTTTATTTTTGAAATACGCACATTTCACAAAAAATAATAATAATAAAAAAATGCAATTTATCGCGAGTCGGAGTTGCGTTTTGTTAAATAATTTCAACGGTTCGTGTGCCGCTTCCTGTACAGCGCTCTCGCACAAGACGAGAATAAAATGTAGTGTTATACCATATTATTATTACACAGTCGCATGCTCTATAATTAGTGATCTACACTAAAAACGATTCCAGACCAACACACGTGACGTGAATATAAAATTTAAAAAAAAATAAATTAAAACTATTTGTAACCTTATGAAATACGAATACGATGTGATACTTGTACGCACCGCATCTGTTTGATAATCATTTACACACATATCGCCAATATGGTAAATTAATATTGTGTAGTTCGTAATATCCGTGGCAGGGGGCGTCAACGTGTTTCTCGAGTCACGAGACGGGATCTAATAGAAAAACGAAACGACATTTCAATAAAATGGCTTTACGTAGTTTCCGCGATGTGGATAGGCCACTGTTGTAAATGAAAAGTTTGGCGGGTGCTGTTTGGGCTGCAGGATAATTTGGTTTAGGTTATGTCACTTATACGCTATGGGCCGCACTCATTCAGAATCCGAAAGTAAGGGGGTGGGGGAATCAATTATTTGAACAATATTGCCGTTGTATAAGTAATATCGCCCTTTAACTTATTGTGTTTCGTGGGTTTGACTGTGGTGTTTTTTAGATTCGGGGCGTAGCGAGGAATCTATTGGTTCATTGTGTATTCATTTTTCTGCCTGTAAACAACTTTTCTACCGGGAATCTCGCTCCGATATACAAAGCGTACCACCTTTTCTAAAAGGAAATTTTATCTAGTTGGTGTATTAAGAAGGTCATTTTTTGATTTCCCAAGTTTTCATAATAATTGGGAAAACCAGAGAGGTACGAAAAATGAAAAACGAACAAATCTACGGCGTAAGATTGCATTATTTTAAATGTTTACGACTTATGTTTTCTAAAAAAAATATTGCTCAAATAGAAAAATCACAAGAGATTTTTTTTGTTGAATCAAGTCGGTGAATAAGAAGGTTGTTTTTTGATTTTCCCTGTAGTTTTTTTAATAATCGGGCAAAAACGAAAAAAAAAACTCAGAAAGAACGGAAAAATTTACAAAAATAATTCTTTTATTATTTCAATCTTGTTTTTTGTTGTAATTCAGTTGAAAACATTCGTAGACTTGAAGTTTTGACACAAAACTTTTATTTGATTTTTCAAACGTGGTACAATTTTAAAAACATTCGAGCCATTTTTGAGCTATTTAGACAAATTTTAATTTTGTAAGTTTTTCACGTAATTAGTATTTGGTGGGTACTATGTAAATACAATAATTATTAGACTGAACAGAAATGCTTGAACATTTCTTAGGAGGTTCATAATGAATCGTATTCTATGATTAACTTTAAAAAATTGAAGGTAACGAATTATTATTATTTTTTTTATAAGTTTTAAAATCAAATTTTGATGAAAAACGTAAATATTTTGGCCTTTAAAAACATGTTAAACCGAACTTTACTCCGAATCGTTTTTCGTTAGTAATAGTTTATCGTTGGTTGCAGATCTAAATTAAATAGTTTTATGTATCTTACTTTTTTTTTTTTTTGTTTTTATAATATGCTCTAAATGCCAATGTAAATATACGTAGGTTATGACAGTCGGTCCTTAAAATATTTATGGAATTTATACTTAGGTAAGTACTGAAGTACCTTCTTTATAGTGTACCTACTACCTACCTATTGTAATCGCATTTACCGTAATCGATTGATAAATCATTATTGAACTAAAAATACCCATAGTGAAATCGTTTATTAGTTACCCACCTACCTTAAAACGTCCACATGAATTTATTGAACATAAAATAATAGAATAACAAAGCAAATAGTAACGAATTTTCAGGGGTTATATATAGGCAATAAAGTTGAAATTTGCATAGTGAAGCTTTAAGATATTATGTAATATTTTATTAGGTACTACGTACTCATAAAATCATAAATTAATATTTATAATAACAATATTTTGCCATGAAAATAAAAAAAAAAAAAAACACTAGGTACCTAGTTTGATCTATTTTAATTGCAGATAGACAGTAATAATTATACGGTGTCCGTGAAAAGGTGCCAAAGTCACATTTTATCAAACTTTACATTGCACGTCAATTTCGTAGAAAATGTCATGACCAATTATCGATTGGTGGCGGTCCTGAAATTTGTCCGTCTCCTTTTAATGTAATGTAATTACCGTGTGTGTTTAATTTTAGTCCGTATAAACAACCTGTAGTGAACTATTCAGTTTTGTTGGTCTCCTTAAAAGTTATACATATTTTACTTATATTCTTGTACAATTTCAAAATGTTTTTTATTGTAAACACCTATTTATTAGGAATTTAAATTAAATATAATAATTTTAGTTAATTACTAAACGTATTTTTGTGTTTCTTGATGTTAAATCTTTAAATAGGTACCTACAAATTATAATTCAAGTATATTTACAGCAATGTACGAAATTATTTTATTTCTACATTAGAATTTGTTATCAATTGTTGTATTATTGCTTAACTAATAATAACATTTTAAATTACTATTTGTATTGCTTGGTTGAAAAACTTTGTACCTATTTTTACATGATAACTGTTTCTTAATCATCTGGTCTAATTTATAAGCTGTCATAAATTAAAATCGGTATCTACCTACCGATATTTTTTATTTTTAAGTTTATAAGTAAATATTGGCATATACTGCTGTTAGGCTAAGAAGGGCAGTTTTGTTAAACATATCATGTTCTTCTTATTTCTCTTTGTTTTTTATTATGCCAACCAGTTGACAACCTATAGCTACATTATACGTACCCATGTCGTAAAATGGGGAGACCCCAGGCAGATTTTAACATTTTTCTTAATTTATTTTCAACATATACTCGATAAAATATCGAAAGTAATATATCATGTTCTTTACCTTTTTTAAATTATCTGACAGAAAAATAATTATTAAGTTCATTAAAGTTTGTACTTTTGGCATAATTTTAGTTTAGCTCTCACGTGAGTTTTCGGGGTTTTTTTTTTTCAAAATGTGTGTTTTTGCGTGTGCATAGAGAATGTAAAAAAAAAAAATGTCGGACGAACTTCGTTTGAATGTTCTTGCAGGAAAACTTCATGAAATTCGGGTTTTCCGTTTAGCGTATTTCTTAGTTAGAATTTAACATTTTCCAAAATGTGTATTTTTTAATAATCACGGCGCGTTTGAACGTTTGTAACTCCAAAACTTAGCCAGATAGACTTATTCTGACTTCAATAAAAAAAACTTTGTTATCAAAATATCAATCAATCAAAATATCTATTTTTGACCACATTTTGGTTTAATTCCAAAAAACTTTATTTTTCAAGACTAATGTACAAAAACTACAAAAGTAAGTATGATAGATAAATATTGATTATACCGATGTATTAGACATTAAAAAATACACATTTTGGAAAATGTTAAATTCCAACTAAGAAATACGCTAAATAGAAAACCCGAATTTCATGAAGTTTTCCTGCAAGAACATCGAAACGAAGTTCGTCAGACATTTTTTTTTTTTACATTCTCTATGCACACGCAAAAACACATATTTTGAAGAAAAAAAACCAAAATATCGCGTGGGAGATAAACTAGAATCGTTCCGTACTTTGCTTGAAAGTTGAACTTTGTCTTGATTCACCCCTGAAATAGGATTACTTTGATCACTTGTTATTTTTCACTAAAAATTGATGTTAAACTACTAGTTGTATCAGATTTTGGATTTTTAGCTGATTAGCTGATTTAGCGTAAATAAACAAAAACTACATTCTGTGAACCACTAGTTTAAGCCGTCTTTATAAAGTAGGAAAGTAGGAAGTTGTCAGACAATGGTTTGGTACATGCAGAATCATATTAAAATTATTACTGAACTTTTGAAAAAATCATAGTCTAAATATGAAGTTCTCACGAAAATATTTCTGTCTGTGTTGCAAAACAATTAAATATAATTTATTATTTGGTATCGCTTATATTTATTAATAATAATCATTATTTTACTAACATCAATTGATTATATTATATTTTTTACTTATAAACTTGATTTTTACATGTTATACACCAACAAAAATACTGACTAATGTGAACAATTGAAAGGCAACTTACACAGTGAGCGGTCTACTTATTTTTAAATAAAGTTGTTTTAATAAATATAAGTTAAATAGGACCTATTATTACAAGACCACTGATAGAAACACGCATGATAGTGTATCAACATGGGTTAACTAAACATTTAAATTAGACTAGATTAGGCCAAACATTTAACATCTTCCTTTGATTTGTCCTTGTTAAAGAACTTTATTTTAATAGCACAGACAAATATTCAAGTACTTCAGTAATTATTGCTAATTTATATTTCAATAAAAATATGTTTAATTCTAACATGATGATAAATTAATTGTTTTAATGGCTATCCCTTAATAAAAATGTAGTCTTTATTTTTTCTATTTGTATATTATTTAATATTATATAAAATAATATGATTGTATGTAGGCGACTTCGATAGATAATATATTTGTATTTTCAATGTTCATTCAGACATTGGAATAACCATAGTTGATCAAGGTCATTGTTTCTTATAAGTGAATTATTTAAGAAATATAGTATACTATAGGAAAATAGAAATCAAATTAGCTTAACAGTCTATCAGAGTAATTCAATATTTAAATTTTTATTTAAAAAAAATATAATAATTGATTGTATTTTTCACGTTAACATTTAACAATATAAGGCTTCCAATAATAACAATTAACAATTCAATATAATTTATATTTTTAATAAACTAATAAATATTACAAAGCAATTTTATGCACAAGGTTACTGTATACTAAATGAATACATAATGAATACCCTGTAACGTTACAATAGTATCAATTTTTAAAATTAAATAGTTTTCTAAAACATTTTAAAAAATTAACAACAAATACAACATATAAAGCTTCACGTGCCTCCCATTGCAACAATAATATTGGACAAAGCAGTACGTGCATCACTTTCTTCGAAAACTTCTAACACTTCCATGGCCTTTTGAGAGTGGTCTTTTTGCAATTGTTTGGTATATGTGATTCCTGGTCCTTTCATTACAATACTGTGTATCTAAAAAAAAAATATATATATATATATAGATATGTAGAAAAATATTGAAATAATATCAATTTTAAATGTTTTTAATACAATACAAAGTAGTATCACTTCATCAAGTAATCAAAGTATTTTTTAACATATTTTTAAATAAATAGGTTATGCTCTATTTTATTAGAATCATTTTACAAAGAACACAAATTTTAAGGAATAAAATTATTGGAATTAATGGAAATAATATATTAGATGAAACAGCCAATTGTTGAAATTTCAATACTTTGAACAAACATTAGATTAACTGGACCTCTTTTATTACAATACATGGAATCATTTTTAGAATAAACATGTATTATAATTTTTATATTGTTAATTATTAAGATAACTATAGAGAAAATCTAAAAAAAAAATTTACCCTTACCAAATTTAACTAAAACAAAAATACTGAATATACTTTATACGAAGGGTGGCCTACTGTTGTAGGTGAGAAGTTGGGAAGATAAACTATGAACTCTTAGAAAAATTAAACAATTACCTCCCTAAAATACCACCTTAGTCAGATTTCCTTTTAGAAAAAGTACTTCACTAGAAAACCGGAGTAAAATTTCTGGTAGTTCATAGAAAAAAAAATAAATGTCACTGTAAAACCAAAATTATAATTTTATAATTGGAGAAAGATCTCTGGTTTAAAAGTTATTTATAACACAATCAATTTTATTTCCATTAAATATTTAGTTAAAAAATATCATTCCATGAAATGTTTGTTCAACACTGTGTAAATCTATTTATTGTACACTCAAAACCATATCATTTTATGAAATGATCTGTTCCAAGAAATGATTTCAATACTTTGGTTGTTTTTATTTAATATATGTTTAAATGTGTATCATTTCATATAATGTTTGTTCAAATAAAGATTATTTAAAGGCATAAAATCCCATATTATAATTTTCTGCCTTATCATTAAAATAAAAAATTCCACTCATTCTCATTCCGTAAAATGTATGATCCAAATAAAATAATTCCTTTACAATATAGACATCTACAAATAGAGAACAGAATCTTACTTTAGCATAATCAACATTTTGAACAGATTCAATGCCTTTATCAATTTCTTCAAACAATGATGGATCATGTTCAAGGTGGAACATAACAGGCGCTGATGTTAAATTGAAAGAAATGCCCAATGAATAAGGTGAGCCAGGCATAAACGGCTCTAAATCTAAGTATGCCTAAAAATATATAAAAATATTATTAACCAATAGAAAAAATATTTCAACAAGCTATTGTATATGATTTTTATTAGTTTATTACTTTAATAATAATTTAATATAAAAGAAACTTGCAATTTTTGAATTTAATTTAGTAGGTACCTAGTGAAATCAATTTTAAATAGAACTTCTATAAATACCTAATTACAAAATTTTAAAGACTATGAAAATTATATATTTAAATTCAGTAATATTTTAATATTTTATGTGTTTTGTATATTTGTTTTCTAAATTTTCAAGTTTATTAATTTATATAATATTAAAACACATAAATTAAATAATTGATATATTTAGTAATAGTTAGGAGAAATGATTTTTTTAAATATTGTAGGTACCTGCCAAGCTAGTGATAGATGTTTACCAAACAAAAATCCTTGTTTTTGTAATTCTACTCCATGTCCAGCTAAAGCTAATGTGCCTTGACACGATTTTCCCAATAAACTGCCAGCTGATAATACATTGCGTCTAGTCCAGTCTTGAAGAGCTGGTGTCAATGTCATATTTCCCAAGGAATCTGATGGTTCCAGAGGGTCAAGGGGCAATGTTGAGTTGAAGTGTCGATTAAGTGGTTCAAATGGTGAAGGTAAAGGATTATTTTGTGAATCTCTCCTGCCTACAAATTCTGCTTCAGACAAATCACGTAAAGCACTACTGATTAATTGAACGAGCTTAAAGAAAAAAAAATTGTGGAAAATTAAATTGAGTAAATAAATACCTAGTTATTAAATTCAAGTTATACATTATTAGGTCCTTACATCTTGATTTCTTAAAGATGCAAGCTCTGCGCATGAATTACTTAGTAAATAATCTCCACTGAGCAAAGCAATTTTGTTTCCAAAAGCCATGTCGTTAAGTATTACAGGTTCAGGGTATAATCCTGGGTAAATATTAACCAGACCGTTGTGTACCAGATGACTTGTACGTATCATTTCGGTGACCTCTGCCAATGCTCTTTGACTGTGCAGAACACCAGCCGCTTTGTCTTCTTCCATTTCGTCAACATTCAGGTGACCGGCTGCTTTGGAAATGAGCAATACGATTAAGCCCCAAGCTTGCATGTTATTTCTACCATTGTACAACAAGCCTCTGTGCAAGGTGAATATTTGTATTTAATAATATATCAATATTATGTTTTATTTAACTATTGTTTTTTTTTTTTTTTCTATTTTTCGCGTTCACTCACTTGGCGGTTTTGAGCAGCGGATGATTGGAGCCGACCAATTTGCGCAGATGCAACGCGACATTGGCGATTTCGTCGCTCAGTAGCCATCTGAGACTGAGAAAAGACGTTGGGTAACCGACGATTTTTTCGGCCTCGGACACGGCGCGATTCCAGTCGGGTTTTTGCTGGTTGCCGTTGTGCACTACCGTTGCCGAGGAGGCGTACGGTCGCCGACGGTGGCAGACGATAGCCGCCGATGTGTTTTTCGATAGCCTGGGCCATAACAGTCGAATTTTGGACGGTGTGCTGTTCATGACGAATGGTCGCGTAGCATTGGACGCGGAGCGCTCACGAGACGACGCTCGCGCAGTTATGAAAGAGAAAAGGAGAGAAAGTGAACCGATTACGAGTGTACACCATGACCAGGTACGGTTGCTTTAGCCTCAAGGCCGTTGTTCCGTACTAACTGCCGAACGAAATAATAAAATGACGACTGACGACGGACATAATACGCGTATCAACAACAACGGATTTAATAACACGACATTAATCTCGGCGGAATTTTGCAATAATAATAATAATTATTATATCACGTTAACCCAAGGCATTATTTTTAATAACGAGTAGCAAGTACACCCATAATCACACTACATAAGCGTGATACTGTGCGCTGGTTATCAATTCCGTTTTATTATTTATTTATTTTCATAATTAAAGAGGACTGTCGCGCGTCTATGGTAACGTGAGCGTTATCACGACGCTGTTATCACGAAGATCCTATTTTCGCGGTCGTAAATTTGCCGCGAAAACATCGCGATACTATTCGTTGAACAAGTTTTCAATCAAATTCGGCATATTAATATTAAAAAGTGTCTATTTCGACACTGCTGAAACGGTCTTTTCGGTAACACCGATTAATAATAAGAGCAACGATGAATGTTTACAGTGTTACGATTACCTACCTACGCATTTATGTATTTGCGCAGTATTATCCCGCGGACAAATTAATAGATACATGCTTAATAGGTATTGTGAATAACTTTTCAAAGTCTACAATTTACCAATTAATTCATTTTGCATTTTAAACGGAAATTGAGTAATTAAAACACCCATAACGAATTCAATGTTCCTCAATATTGTAATAATTCTTTTGATTTTTGGTCAAACATGCATCGTTATTACCGATACGGAATTTTATTGTTGATTTTATAATAGGTACGTACACTCACTCGGAATATGTAGTTACCCATACATTTTTATAACACTAAAAGTGCCTATTATAAATCGTTTCGCCTTTTTAATAATATTGTCGGTTTGTTATAATGCTGTTACATGGGTTTGTTTTCCAGTTAGATGCATATTTAATTCACACTATAGCAACTAGCAACAACTGCACTAGACAATGAATAATACTACTATGATTGTTAAATATTTTAAAGGAAATAATATTGTATAGCTACCACAAAAATACAGAGTGTCTCACGACGAAGATATCCCGTTGCAATATCTCCTGAGATTAATAAAGATACCTAATTAATCAAATTCAGTTTTTTTTTTTTTTTTTATATTAGTGACAGGGATAAGGACTAAAAATATTCAGGTATATTCGAATTAAATTTTTGTAAAAAAACTAAATAAACAACTTTTATTTCATTATTTACGAACAATTTTAAGGTAGCCATTTTATAGACTATAGAGTTTATTCTTCTGAAAATTGTATCGTTTCAATTTGTTATTTTCATTAATTTGTGATTTTCAATCATTTTAGTGAAAAGTACCTATAATATTATGCAGCGGACTGTAATCGCATTCGCTAATTGATTATTATTATTAGATATGGCTAATTATTGACTACATTTTTTTTTCTCTGAACATCTATTAAATTATTAAAAATCACGAATTTAATGTTGATAAAATAAAGTGTTGATACGTCAACATTTCCAGAAGAATCTCTTTAAAATGGCTGTCTTTAATTTAAAAAAAAAAAAAAAATATGATAAAGAGTTATTTTTTTCAAGTGTTTTACCAAAATATAAAAAAATTAATTGAAATATACATATTCGTAATCCTGTGAGTAATATAAATAAAACAACACAATTAGATTGTATTTATTATCCCCAGAAATATTACAATGGGTATATCTTCGTGGACATATTGATTATTCTATACACATTTATATTATCTAAAATTTCTGCGACGTAAACAATAATATTTCACGATTATTTTATGAGTCATACGATGTATATAGAAGAAATTATAAAACCATTAGATTATAAGACGTAAAAATACAATTATTAATCGGCATTTATTATTTAACCTCGCTGTCTGCGTGTTGTTTGTTATCTATGTAAATAACATTTTTTAATATAGATATTATTTTGGATTCTGTCCAACAGGTAGAGAAATACCTATTACCTACTCGTTACTCGCCATACCTAGTACCTATCATTCTAGCAACTCGATACAATTTCCGTTCGTTTCCACTTTACAAGACTTGAAGACGTACTCAGGCATATACCTAATCAATAATGTATTTTTTAATAATTAAATATAGGTTACCTACGTATATAATAATTTCAGATTTGTAACAGTTTTCTCGCACGAATCATCGCGGATCATGTTATTATCGTCTTCGACGACTTTCTATTGTAATATTGGACAGCCGAACGGGTGCGAATGGCTGATTCAATTCAGTTATAGGTAATAGGTGTCCTACAGCCTATAGGACATAGGTTATACTATTTTTTACCCGCAGCATTTTCATTGAAACTTAAATGATATCTATAGTGTACCGTGTATCCATTTGATTTATTTTTTTCTAAACATCATTGTCGATCGCAAGCTGAAACCGTTATTAATGCTACGAAGGAGGGTTATAAAACACGGGAAAATATTGCAATGGTTCCCAGTCTAACAAGCCTGATCGTTTCGTTCACCAACTCGAGTGCGAACTCACGTCGGACTTTTAATCGAAAAATAAACCTCGATTTGTTGTACGAAACCGCGTTGTTTATAGGTAACAGCGAAAAAATAGCGATGTGCGATGTGTATACTCTACGAAGTAACAAAAATATTTTGGAAACCAATGATTATTATTAGGTACCTATTATTTTTCCGATTATGAAGTACTTGTGTTTATGCGCTCCCGTTATGAAATGTCGACTGCCGATTATAATATTGCAAAATAAGTTTTACTTTTATTCAGCGAATTGTTACGTGTATGAATATGATAACATTATACTGCGTAAGTACCGATGTACCTGTATGAGAGAAATATTATACATACGCATACCCTAAATACCAGTTATACAACTTTCTATATATCCGCATCTTCTTTCTGTCTGGAAAAAAAAACCAGTTGTAAATTCGGAACTTCCGTGAATTGATAGACTAAGGAACTATTAAGTAGGTATTGGCTTGCGCAATTGGTTTTAATTAATACGAGTAAATATTTTAAGTTTTTATAGATTCTAAAAAGAAGTGGAAAAGCTTTGTATCGTGTCTATACTTTACGTTCTAATAATAATATGGCGATGGCGTGTTTATTTTTTTCTGTCAGTCAGTGGACAGTTTTTGTTTTATTCGAGTTCAATGTAAATAATTAGATCGAGCAGAAATGTTTGGAAATTCAACACGATGTTCATCGTGTAAGTTATATACTTAGTGGTCACAAGAAACAAGTTGAACATAACGTAATATTATTTTTTCATAAGCGTCTAAAATTCAAACGTTGACAAAAATTTCATTTAAAAATATGCTTAACCGGATTTCGCTCAGAATTGTTTTTCGTTAACAATGATTGATCGTTGCGTAAAAATATACAAATAAAATTACTCTATAAGTATGTGTATCCTACCTTCTCAAATTCCCATCTACGATAACGACACACATCCGTCAGCGGTATAGGTTTTTAATTTTAATTTTAGCTCGAACATTTTCATGATATCGTAAATTTTATTATTTTTTTAATTAAATTAATAGTTTTGATTATTCTGGTTTCCTGTTATTCGACTTGAGCTTCTTCGGTGAAAACCGATAGGTATTTATTAGAAAACATTGTTGGGCACGTTTAAAAACTTGCCTATAGACTTTCCCTTTACCACCTGTGCGTGTTACGGGTGCAGTAGATGCAGTTACCAGTTACCGATCCTTCGAGAATTCAGTACCTCTCCTTCGATCGTGATATTCTATTGTGGTATTCTAGATATAACATCGGTATAAAGTAATAGGCATAAAGCGCGGTCTGCAAACCGAGACGTGAAAATTTCGACTTCTTTTTTGCGTTTCGTGTTCATAATATTTCGTGTATACATATTGTAATGTATGCATGATTATCATACCTCGACTATATTATGCTACGAAAGCGTATAATTATTAGGATTCGTATCGCGTCCATCACGTACAATAATAATATTATTCCTGTAACATAAATTGTTGAAAATATATTATTTAAGTACAGGTAGTTTTTTTTTTTTTTATTATTATTATTCGCGCGCATCCACAAGATAATAATAATAATAATTTAAACGTGACTACGATAGCATATACTTACGGTATAGATAGGTAGGTAGGTGGGTAGGTACACACTTTCGCTTTTCAAGATTTTATTTTATTTTTTTTCATTTCTGTTTATTGGGTAGATACCTATCTATTTATTTATTGTTCTTATATGATGTTATTTTACTATTTACCTACTCATTTCAAACAACTACTTTCCCCCCGGGTATAAACCGCACAATCGGTTTCGGTCTATACAGTACCATAATATAATTGATAACATTATTCGGATAATCGTATAAACCTAATGTCAATTGTCATGATAAATAATATTTGACGTGTGTATGCAGTGGCGTGGCAATTTCAACATTTTAGAGAGGTAAATATTTCGGTGGAACCACTAACTCACCCACTCCACCTTACTCAATAGCTAAAAAAAATAATCCTACTCCTTGAATTTGTTTTAAAACCATAGGCGCAAATAAGGTGGAGCTTGAGGGTTATCCCCTTTCCAAATTCATCCACGAAGAGCCTACCAAAAATACATAAAATGTTCATGTATTTTCCACCAAAAAGTGGTCTCTCATCATAAACTTTTTGATTTCGCCCCCTCCCCAAACTACGCGTGTGCTTATTAAAATGTGTGACTCTCAAATAAATGTTTGAATCACCGTAAACATAAATATATTTATTAAATTGTTGAAAATTTGCTTAGGAACCTATGTTTCAATCGAATTTACGTTTGTAAAAATGTTTGAAATATTTAGAAACTTGTTCATGTATATTGTATATCAGGGGCGTGACCAGGGGTTGGTTTTGGGGGTTCAAACCATTCCCAAATTTACTTTCTTAATTTTTTAATAAAATAATAAACATTGTGATGATACATTTTATCCAAATATAAAAAAAAAAAAATGTTTGATAATCTTAATTATACTTTCAGTATCAACTGCGAGAGCAGAACGACCTTTTTAAAATTTACGTAGCATAAAACATACTTGAAATTAACTGCCAGTGAAGACCTACTCACAAGAATAGCTCTTCATAATGACATACTAGTAAACCAGATAAAGTAGTTACAAAATTTGCTTCATCTTCAAACAGGATGAACTTAATTTTCCAATTTTTTTTTTAATTCTGATTATTATTATAATTTTTTTATACACTGTTGATAAGTACTACCTAGTATAAACTATGAAGAATATTATGTAAAACTATTTGTTTCTAAAAATGTTTTTTTTTTTTGCATAATTTTTGTACGTGCTAATTTTATTATTTAGTTATAACTTTTTAAGGTTAACTCTTAATAATTTATCTGTACTATTTAACAGTTATATAAAAAGATTACGATTTTTTTATGTATACACTCGTATAGATTTTTACCTACTTATTTTAACGATGTAGTTGTAAATTTGATACTAATATTAAAAAATTATAACACCCCCAAAACAAAATCTTGGACACGCCTCTATTGTACATAGATAATATAGTAACAGTAATACCTGTATTATAGTAGGCTGAAGGTGTGTACCAATTTTATTTTACTCCTTCTATACTACGTTTTGTTCGTTATGAAAATAAAAATGTGAGGCCTACAAAAAAGCGATAGGTACCTGTTATTTTCCACATACCTAGCTACATCAGCTACAACACGAAAGACGACCATTCTAATATAACGCAGGTATATTGTAGAGAAGGGGCACATTCGTCGTTAACTTCGTCGGGATAGTTCAGAGGATAGTGGAGGAAACAATGGCCTTGAATGACTGTCGACTTTATATATATAAGGACGACCGGTCTATTTAACCCAATGGACGAACGAAAATAATTATTATTCTAATATGATGTATATAATATAGCAGAACGACGAGACATTATCATTGAACTAGGCCTCGTTTACACTAAACCGCAAAGTGGCATAGATGTTAGTAAACCAAATTATTAGAGAGTAGAATACTATACTAATATATATCTGGTTGGGGTGATTTTTTTTCAATTTAGATGCTAATGCTATATTCATTTTATTATAAGTTAGTAGTAAATGCGTAACTTTATTCTTAAAAGGCCATCATCACAGCAGCATTTTCCGTCTTTATCTTTCATAGATACCTATATAGCAAAAACGTTTTCACATAAAAGAAATAAAAAATCCTTTAAAATAGGTTTTAACGATAAAGCATCTAGTATATAATATACAGATTTAATCGAAATTTTAAAGACAATCTCGTCGACGAAAAAAAATACGGACAAACTTTGCACGATGGGTGGACCACTGTTGTAGGTGAGAAGTTAAGAAGTTAGGATATTGTCGAGAAACATCCCTAACGGCCACAAATATACTTATAAGTAAGTTATAGAATTAACCTAAATCCTTAACAGTTAGCACATACAAATATTAATACCTATAAAAAAGTATAAAGGTAAATTTTCTTAATTTTGTATACAAAATACATATAGTTAAATATATATTATATTCCGGAAACACATTAATATGTGTTGTGAAATTACTAATAGTGAGGGAGGAGAGGGGAGGGTACAACAGAAAACTGAATATTTAATCGTACAAATAAATTTAAAAAAAGCGACGGACATACTTCGCACGATGGATGAGTTACTGTATAGGTGAGAATTTAGGAAGGTAGGTTAGGATGTAAAGGGGAATTTAGTTTATACCTGTATGCAATGATTAATCTTTGCTTACGAAAAACTGTTCTAAGTGGAGTTGTGGAGTTAGGGTATACATGTTTTGAAAGGCGGTAATATTTACGATTATCGTCAAAATTTGACACTAAAATTATTCTTGAAAAAAAAATTCTACATCACTCATTTTTTTTTTTACCACGAAGTACGACTTATAATAAACCTCTTGTTAAATTTTCAAACATTTCTGTAAAAAGTACCTATCGAACAAAAATAACGTAAAAAATGCCGTAAAATTAAAATATAAATAGCTCAAAAATGGCTACAATATGTTTTAACAATTTTATAACGTTTAGAAAAAGCAATTATAAGTTTCCTGCCTAAATTTCAAGTCTATGATTATTTTTAACTAAATCAAATCGAAAAAAAAAATTGAAAATAATACATGTCGTAGATTTTCACGTTTTTTCTGAGTTTTTCCCAATTATTATGAAAAACGCATTAAAAAATCGAAAAATGACCAACTTAAAGTACCATCCACATAAAATTTTTTTTCAGAAAAAGTGTTACCTATCTTTGAAAATCATATTATAATGGTACTTACGATAAACATATTTGTGTTTTTTTTTCGTTTTTGTATAGAAACGGACAGACAACTATATAAATGCAGTTACTATAACTGTATATTATTAGGTATAAGTCATCGGAATGTGATGTTTCTAATACATTTTTCTATGTGTACCTCTACTGATAAAAATTATAGCGACAACGTATGTATAGAAAGTAGGCGAAACGCGAACATTGTTGTATAGCGCACGCCTCAAATAATATAATGTTAGCTTAAAATAAGTACCTACCTAGTATCTATATACTAACTGTACTCTATTATTGCATGTATATCTTACGAAAAAATTTACTATTCGGGTTATCGTGTAAAAAAAAGAAAAAGAAAAATAGTTTATTGAAAACACACCATTATAACCGCGTTTTGTACAACGATCATAATTTTTTTTTTTTTAAAATACTATCAAATTTAAACGAAATACTCGCATGATTTGATCCATTCCTTGAGATGATATTAATTTCTAGACAATTAAATTAAATCGATCTATTTAAACGGTAATTTAATACAAAAACAAAGTTTAAAAACACATCCTAGTTTTAAATAAAGTTCTATTTAAATTTTGAAATCTACGTTAAATAACGTGAATAATAAACTCTTTTTTCGTTGTTACATAAGACTAGAAGCTTTTAGATTTTGTCACGCTGAATTCAAACCTGAAATCTATTTGTCTCTGCCACGTTTAGTTTTTATAAGAACTGGTATAAACAAATGTGTTTTATAATGTACATATAGCCAATAAAGTAATAATAACATTGCTATATTATTAAATGTTCAAATTTATGAAACAAATACATTCGATCGTAATAAGATAATTTTTTCCTATTTGTTGCGTGTTTTGTACATTTTTTTTTATCAATATGTAGACCTTTTTTCTTATAACTGAGTGTTAAATATAATATTGTAACAATCTATTGTAATCAATAATACAATAATTTAACTGTAAACTCATCTGTTGTTTGTCGTTCAATGTTAACTAATATGCATGCATCTTGTAATAAGGGCACATGTTAGGTATACTATTATAGTGGATACACTCATATCGACTTAATTTACGTAAAATGAACAATACATACGATTATAAGATTACGATTATATTATGTATTTGTTTTATACATTTGAATGTTTAACAATATGGTAATTTTCTATTATTCTATAAAAGTATATTATAAATAAAACGTAATTTTTTTTTACACAAGTTGTATAGAAACTAAACGTTATAGAGACAAACGAATTTCACTTTTGAATTCAGAACATTAAATTCAATAATAATGTTATTGTACCGAGGTTGGGTTAGGTTAATATTTTGTATTTTTGAAGCAGTGATTAAAATTCTAAAAGTCCGGTCTCTTAGACCGTGAATTGTGTGCTCTACGGTTAAGTAAATTTATAATTTCAACTACTACAAATATTAAATATCTATACAATTATGATGTACATGATGTATGTGTATTTAAGTATTTTTGAAAATATAACTTGTACATTTTTATGAAATTGTGGTCACTCGTCTGCAATAGATGTACATAGAGTTTTTCACCGTGTTGTCCCGGTCAGTAACTTTTATTTAATTAGTATTTTAGTACTAATTTTGTTTGTTTTTTTTATTGTGAAATCTATGTATTAAATTATTGAATGGCGAGATTTAAAAACTATATTTCAATAAAAAAAAAAAAAAATGTTATATAAACCCGTGTATTTTTTTTTTTTATAAATTACTAGCATTTCAAATTAAAAAGTCTTAATATTTCTTAACAAAAATAATTCAATTTTTATATTTAAAGGCCCGCGTATGACTTATTTTTTTTTTTTTTCAAAACATGGTTCACTCTCCTGCCTTATAAATACGTCCAATTTTGATTTTGTTTTTTTTTTTTTTTTTTTTTTTGTGAAAATAGAATAACTTTCTACAAGGAGAATTGAACAATATTTTGTAATTATTTAACCAAAAACTACAAAAAAAAAACCAACAAATACAAAAAAATCAAAAATACATTTCAAAAAAAATAAAGAAGTTGGTAGTATTAAAATTCTAGACTTTAGTCATAATTTTTGGAAGTATAATTTTAATGCACCGTGTAAGAAGTCATTATCTTTCTAATTAAAAAAATAATTATCGAAATCTGACCATTCTACTAGGCAGACGAGTTAACAGGCGAGCAAAGTAAAGCATGTTCTTGGACAAAAAAAAACAGGTCACGCACATTCCTGACCTAACCTAACCTTAAGCAGGACAAATACGGTGAAACATGATCACTCTGTACAACATATATTATTATTTAATTTTCAGTCATAGAATAGGGTTATGTCATCTTGCTATATTTTGCAATATATATACTCATTGAGTCATTAGCCATTAGTCATTAGTCATTACTGTATAAACTTAACTATCATTAATCATTTTAAAGCTGTGTTTATTATAAAATCGGAAGAATCGCGGTTAGGTAATATAATATTCAGTCACCTTCTCTGTAAGTGAAATTTAAGTATTCGATTATATAGTTGAACTCTATACAGAGTGTTTTAAAAATAGTTATCTATTCTTTATCTACATATTAATGTAATTTTTGTTTGAATACAGGAAAATGTTGATGAATTGTATAAAACTATTTTAATATAGTCGTTGAAATCGTTTTCTAATTTAAATAATAATTTTGTATCGAACAACGTATTATTTCTAATCATCTATAATATTATGATACAAATATTAAAGTATAAATGAAAATAAATAAAAACCTATTACATTTGTTTTATGTTCATAGTTATATATCAAAATGTGGAGAATAATCTTCGTAAGAACGGATATCAGTGCATTTGATGTATTTATTAGGCAATTTGGAGGGGTGATATCATAATATATTATATTAATATCATTTGTTATCTCATTTAAAAAACTATACTACAAGTATCTAATATATTATCTTTCAAATTTCTCATGCTTATGAAATATTTGTTAAAAAATAAACGGTTTTGAATGGCTTATTTTTACATTTTTGCATAAATTACAAAACAATGATTGAATTACAAACGAAAATAGTAGGTAATTACTTGAATTTTAGAACAAAGTAATTAATATTTAAAAATTGTACCTTATTAATTATGGGACTCTCATTGAAAATTATCTTACTAAATTACTTAATCGTTTCCTTATTATTATGTTTAGAATCTAATATCATTCTGTATATTATTTAACTAAGTTTTAAATATACAAGAATAACCGATAAATATGCAGTGCGGTCACTTTTACTTTACTAATAATATTATTATAGCTATCTAAAAATAGTTACTCTATGTCAGAGGCGTACACAAGAGGGAAGGATTTCGGGTCCGGATCCTCTCCATATATGCAGTAAATCCTTCTGTAAATGTGTGGATAGGTGTGTGACGCTGTGTGTGTGAACATTATGACTATTATTAGTGTTTTTAACAGTAACCTGTTGGTTATTAACTTATTTATAAATATAACTATTGGAGAACAAATAAAATGAAAATAATGGAGTCGTCACCACCGCACCACAAAAAATCGTTGGGTACGTCCTTGTTCTATGTTGTTATCTGAATTTTACTATTTTCTGAATTTTATATAAAATTTAAATGGAATCAAATAGAAATCCAACTATGTAAATTAAAACGTTCGGAAAATTAAACTTAGAAGTAAATTATAATGATTTGATATGTTATTGTATTAAACTTCGAACACCTACTTATTAAAAAAATTATGATTGTCTATAATCGATGAGACCAGTTTCCATCAAAATGAACCTTCTCTTGTTTCACCAATACATGTTTCTGCCAAAAAAGATATCGACCAATTTCCACCAAAGCAATTTTTATACTACTGTACAGAAAAAGCACAATTCTTTCTGTTATAGTAAACATCTCTTTTTACGGAAACGTGTTGTAGAAGAGGTAGAAGTTAATTTTTGGTGGAAACGGGTATCGATTATGGACAACGGAGAAACGTTTAGTGGTAACGCGTATTGGTGAAAAAGGGAAAGGTTTATTTTGAAGGAAAATAGTGACGCTCGTCGATAATGGTTTTAGTTTATTTTTTTATATTTTTTGACAGAGACCGTTACTATTGTCATTGAAGTACAGTTAGGTACTTCGAACTTATTTCATACCAACAAAAATATATTGTTTGTTATGCATGTTTCATTTGACATAAATGATCAGGTGTGTATTTTTTACTACAATATAGTAGTAAGTACCTAATTTGTTTTATTTCATATTTTAATGATGAAATGTCTTATAAAAACTACAATCAATTATAATTAGTTATAATAATAATAAAACTCTTTTAAAATACATTTGATAGGCATAGAAGTACACTAGAATAAAATAAAACGGGTACATTTGTCTATGAAAGTTAATTTTGAATATAGATGTGAAATATTCCGGTAATTTTGCTGCATTTTAAAGCATTAAAACTATTTCCAAATTATAATAAAATTCATCTTATATTTCGGAATTCGTAAAAAATATGTTTTTTTTTTTCTTAAGAATAAATGCAATATCGACACCCGATTTTAGTTTAAACAAATTAGTTTTTGTCTTTACAAGAATAAAGCTCGTCTATTATATTTTTACATGGTTATCCGTGTAATCACTTATCTGCCGCAGTATTAGAAAATTAAATTTTAAAACATCTAGGTATAAGATAAGAGATAATTATACAGATAAACATATATAACCGGTAGCTTTTATCTAGATTTAAAAAAAAGATAATTTTGTTCATTACTTATTTATTAAAACTATAAGCAGTGGTGTACCCAGGATTTTTCAATTAGAGGGGCTTTTTGTTATTAGCAGGTATTAAAAGTATGTTATACATGGCATATACATCCAGATTTCAAAAAGTTGTGCGATTGACGTAACTTAATAATGAATTAACCAAATCATATTATTTACATAAATTAAATATGTTATCTATAATATATTTACAACGAATGTATAAATTACGATTTAAAATAATTGAATCATCTAATTCAATTATTTATCTCAGATAATTAATTTCTTATTTGTATAGATAAGATAAAAAACAAAAATATACTTATCTAGACAACAGTGCAGTTATACTGATATAAATATAGTTTGTTTAAAGTATTACATTTCATCTCGGTTGTGATTTCATAATTTTTGTAGGTCAGAAAATCGTACAAAAAGAATAATAAATGATCACTATTCGGTGTACCTTATTCGCGGTCCATCGCGACAATAATGTTGGACAACGCTGTCCTTGCGTCGCTTTCTTCGAAGACGGTCAACACTTCCATAGCTTTTTGCGAATGTTCTTTTTGTAACTGTTTTGTGTACTCGACCCCGGGTCCGTTCATCACGATTTCATGCACCTATATTGCCGTAGATTAAATTAATAATTTACATAAATAATCGAAGTAAATTTAATAGGATATTTACGAAATTTAATTCAAATACTATCTACGATTCAATAGTAGTGTTCAAAAAGTATTAAGTAATTAAGCAATTCAGTAATGAACAATGGCATGGTCACAAAAAAAGAAAAAAGAAAAAATTATGGTCAAAAATGTATATACCATTATGGAAAATAATTATTTTGCATTTATAAATTATGACCAACATTGAAAGGCCAAGTTCATCTATCAATTGTTATACTCTCTTTATATATATTGGTTGTCAGATTTAAACGTTTATCTTTATAGAGCTGAAAAAAATTAGTCAAATTCTACATAAATTCTAAAAAAAAAAAATTAATTTTTGTTTAAACGTTAAATTAAATTACTACAATATTTGAAAACTTCTTTGATGTTAATCATTGATAACTAATTGATTTCGTATATTTAATTTTAATATTTATTTAAAAACCTATCATCAAATAACATTTTATACTTTATCATCAAATTGAATATTATTGAATATTTTTCGTTTTTGCAATTTTAATAATTGGTTTTCAATTTTTTCGATACAATCATATTGCAGTAGGTGTATAGGCAACATATCTTACACATTTGTGTTTCACGTTATTTTGAAAAAATAATATTAAATATTTTTTTGAACAAAACCAATAAATTATTAACTAAGCAATACATTTTTAGTTTTTGGTAATACAAAACAAATTAATCGCACTTAGTTTTTTAGTTAAAATAAATGATCTCGATATAGTTAAAATGTACAACTTTTTTTTTCTTAAAAGAATTTTGATTTAATACGTTTTGAGTAGTTTTATATATCTTGCAAGTTGTTTCATATAGTTTTTTATTTGAATACGAGTATAATATAACAAATTTCCAGAACAAACACTTGTATCTATTATAATAAAAACACATTCAATTTTATACTATTATGACATTGCCCCTAATAAGATTGGCCGATAAAACTATTTTATTTGGAGAATTATAAGTTGCCTATGTAGTAGAATTACTATCCGTAGTCTGTAATGTTAGAAATTTAAAATGCAACTACTTTTTTAATGGTGTATACGAAAAATACTATGACGTAATAAAAATGAATAATTTGGGTTAGAAGTTTTAACGTTTAGATGAAACGAAGTATGATAACATATTATGTTGTATGTATAATGTATATACATATATAGGTATTACCTATGTCCTATACAAATTAAGGTTTGAACATTTAAATTTAAAGTAAATTAAATTTATACATTTTAAAATAGTTTACAAAAAAAAAAATGATATACAAAATTCCACACGTTTCATTAAGTCACAGGCTGATAAATATGTTTGATATAACCATTGATTATAAATACATACTATAGATCTATTATATTTTATTTATAATTAATGATATTATTTATGATATTATGTTATTACAATGATTTGTTTTGCAGCTATATGAATATGATATTATAATTTACCGCATATATTTTCAATTTTAATTTAAAATATATAAATCGTAAAATTTGAATTTACTTTGATGTAATCGACGTCGTGAATAGAATTTACGCCTTTGTCGATTTCTTCGAACAACGATGGGTCGTGTTCAAGATGGAACATTACCGGTGCCGAAGTGAGATTAAAGATTTCCAGCGAGTATGGCGAACCGATTAAAAATGGTTCCAAATCTAAATACGCCTGAAAATAATGATTACATAAAATGTTATAAAATATCTATATTATTTTATATTAAACTCTATAGATTGAACCTAGTTAAATGATTTTCTCGTGGGAGAGGGGGGAGAAAGAGTAAGGATAATATTTAAATAAATATTATTATTTACGTAATCTTTTTTATTACTATGAAGATTATTATATTAGAAGAATATTGATTATATAGGGTGATTTTTAAGCATGCTTACCCCATTTGTATGGTTGAATTATGTATAAATTCAAATTCTGGTTTTTTGAATTTTTAAGTACAGTAAACGACGGTATTTTTGCAAAGATACTTAGATTTTTTATAACATCAAATGTTGTGGAGTAATTTCAAGGGGTATTGTGATGATAACACCGTTAGTTATTCAAATGAGAACCTTCGTTTTTTGATGCAAATTACACTAAATCAGTGATTTTTTCTGAACATTTTGGCGTATTGTATCGAAATTTGAACGAAATGTTTCTTAGATATTTTGTTTTAAATACTTATTAAGTATATTAGTATTTTACGGGGATAGGATATTTCAACTGTTTCATGTATATAGAAATTTTCTTGTTTTGAATTGTACAGTCATTATTAATTTGTAAAGTATAATAACTCAGACAGTTCTCGTTCAAATTTCGATTAAAATACGACAAAATTTTCAGACAAATCATTTGATTAGCAATTTGCATTAAAACAGATAGGTTCTAGTTAGAAAAACCAAAGTTGGTATTGTCACAGGATACTCCTTCAATGTTGTGAAAAATCGAAGTATTCCAAAATACGGTCTTTCACTAAATTTAAAAATTCCAAATATCAGAATTTGAATTTATATTTAACTAAACTACACAAATAGGGTGAGTACTGAGTATGCTTAAAAAATCACTCTGTATATTATTATACATATTTAAGAAACATACCTTAATGAGGGGGGGATATGTCCCTTCATCCCTCTCGCTCAACCACCCCTGGCTGAACCTATTGACTAATTCTAGTTACAAATGTCTGCTATTGATTATAAATACATAATTTGTATTTTTGTTTTTTTATATCATTTTAGCGTGAACATTATATTCTAATACACAGTATCAACCAATATTTTATGATGATTTGTAAAACTGCTCTATGAATTGTGTTTTGTTATTAATTTTACTTTATTGTTACCTATTAGTTTATGTATATCTAAAAAATGCTATCAATTTTTTTCTGTTCGATATTTTTACTTTTTTTTTTTTTTTACTGATTAATAGAGCTTTGTGCCATATTATATTTTTTTTTAAGACTTAAAATAAAAAATTTAGATTTTTAAAATATATTTTCTTTCAAGAAAATATATTTTGATATAATGATAAATCCAATATTTTGCCAAGAGCCATTGTATACGTTTATTTAAAACAAAATTTTTTTTTTCACTAATTTTAGGTTGTTAATTTTCTACACATTTTTAAATTAACAATCATTTAAATTTGTTTATTGTCACTACTAAGTATCATAAATAGAACAGTCAATTTTTCCATACAACATAATTTTTGTAAACTTCATACAAATCGTAGTAAATCGACAACTCAGTATTAGACATTTGTAATATTAAAATTTTGATTCAAAATAAATGGATTTTGTAGACAAATTAAAACTTTATTTTTAGTTTTAAAAATTATATAGAAAATAAAACAATTATGGCGCAAGACTCTAGTAATTAGAAAAAAAGAAAACTCTAATATAGGTATTGAACAGAACAAAAGTTATTGCGTTTGTCAGATATTCGTGGGACATTTTGTCCTACGGACTATTGTTAAAGCAGTAAAAAGTTTTGGGGGCCAAAAATGCATTTATTTTGTTTTAGATCATTAAATATTTTAGTCTCTATAGACGTATCATATACACGTAAGTCAGGGTAAAATACGATTGCGTACGTTCATTATCGGTGATACCTTTTTAAGCTACACGATTGCGTATGAAATTTCAAGCGTTTTTGCCAATTTTAATACCGGTATATACCACACGAATGAACTAGAAATAATTCGTTTTTTCATAAATGTTTAGTGTTAACTATATCAACGCAACATCAAATATACATTTTAACATTCTGGACATTTTGTTATTTCAAATGTATAGATATTCCCTCGCCTTCAGTTCGTTGTCGATCGTCTCACGTATGCATATTTTAAATTCTGTTAAATTTATAAAATTCGGAAAAGGAAAACAGTTAGTGTATTTAAATTTTAATAGTCAAGACCGATTATACAATCAATTAATAACGGGAAAATAAAGAAAATAATTCGAATTCAAAATATTATAAAGGATTATGACGAGTAAAAAATCCATACAAATGTATTGCAATATTTGAAAGTTTAAATTTATAGTTTAGAATCGTCGAAACTAAAAGTTAGGTATTTTAAAAAATTCAATTGTTTAACTATGATTTAATTAAATAATCAATTATTTTATTTGTAATAATATTCTACAGTTCAGGTAAAATTATTGTACTAGATAACTATTGAGTGTAAAGTATATACATTTGACAACGTTGCACACGAATTCGTACGCAATCTTGTTGATTTTAGTATTATTATTTTTATTTTTTTAAGTGTTCTTTAATCTATCAAAAAACATACGCAATCGTGGTCTACCCGTTTGTCATGCGGCCCGGGGCTTACCTGCCAGGCTAGCGACAGATGTTTGCCGAACAAGAATCCTTTTTTCTGCAACTGTTCGCCGTGACCGCCCAGAATGAGCGTACCCTGGCACACCTTTCCCAGTAGGCTGCCGGCGGACAGCACGTTGCGTTTGGTCCAGTCGTCCAGGGCGGGCGTCAACGGCATGCTGCCGAGCGGGCCGGACGGCTGGAGCGGGTCGTGCCGCATTACGACCGAGCCGATTGGCCGGTCGAGCGGTTCGAACGGCGACGGCAGCGGATTGTTCTGCGCGTCCCTGCGGCCCACGAACGCCGATTCGGCGAGGTCGCGCAGGGCGCTAGCGATCAGCTCCATGATCTAAAGAACAGAAAAAAAAAAAAATCGCGCCAGCGAACGACTATATAATAAAACGACCGAATCCCAATTGTGCTATTTGGGCCGAACTATGATTGAACTGAACGATTAAGACCTTTGTCCTGTTGTACAGTTCCCGTCAACTCCTTAATCGTTGATCATATAGGTCCGTCATGTTACTTAGTCGTCCGAGGTCGGTTAAACAACGATTGGTTACATTTTCGGCTATTATTTCGTGTTATTATCATTTTTGTCGTGTTATTTTGTGATTGTGACAATTATTTTGACCGTTACTTTTTGTTACTCTGTAACGTTAAATACTATAAATACATACATGTATAGTTTGGTTACTTCACTACACAGGCATGCGGTTGTTTATCGTTCAACTTTAGCATTTAATAAATTCATTTTTACGACTTGGACGAATGATGAATTTTCAATTGGACGCAAGCGATTCAAATTCTAAACACGACGAATTAGACAATTTGATTATTGCATTTCTCTGACGACTAAATATATTTCAAACGAAAACAGATCATTTGACGGTAAAATTGGTAGTGCGTTTTAGCACAGAGTCCATATTTGATATATTCTTATGATATTAAAACAAATGACCTTTCCAAAGTACTAGAGCTAAAATGTCACAAAAAAGTCTCTTGTCACGTTTGGATTGGAACAAGATTTCCAGAAGAAATTTTATACACCGTAAAAAAAAAAAAACAAACATCATCTTAAAACCAATACATTTCTCGCTTCACTCAGAATCTAAAACTATAAACTACTGTTATAATGCAACTGTATGTAACGTAAAATAATTATAATGTGTGACGAATGGCTATTGACGTCATATACTTAATTATAGTATGCGATTTATGATCTTATTTAAAAACAAATTGTACGTAAATCAATACTGACTTTTTCAAATTAGATATGAAATATTGTACGAATTTACAATTCGTCGAATTATTACGGTTAACTCATCACAGCCTAACATTCTATTATTGTACACCACTCGTGGTTACATTCAATTATTCATGATAATTGATCATTTTTTTACTGTGCTGGTAACTGGGGAACTGTACAACAATCCCCTACTGTTGACCATAGTGAACTCCGATGTATGAGCTGATCACAACAGGCGAACAAATGCCTTCTTTATTTATTATGACCGAAGTACGATTTATTTCGCGAAAGTAAATTAAGAAAAATAAAAACCTAGGTTTTTGAAATCGATTGACATTACTCAAACATCGCAGATCATTGAAAATTACACAGACCAGAGGACATAGGGGATAAAACGCGAACCGACTCACGCGTTGATTTCGCAGCGCCGAAAGTTCTTCGTACGAGTTGGCCAGCAGATAGTCGCCGCTGAGCAACGCGATCTTGTTGCCGAAAGCCATGTCGTTGTGGGCGACCGCGGGTTCCCGCGCGAATTGCAGTCCATCCGGGTTCAGGAGGCCGTTGTGCATCAGGTGGCTGGTGCGAATCATCTCGGCGATCTCGGCCAGTGCCCTCTGGGTGCGCAACACGCCGGACTTTTTTTCGTCCGCGGAGCTCTCGACGTCCCGGTGTCCGGCCGCCTTGGAGACGAGCAATACGATCAGGCCCCAAGCTTGTGTGTTGTTCCCGCCGTCGTACAGAAGACCCCTGAGCATAACACCAGCACATAATTTTATGGGCAATTTAGAGGACACGACCGACGTTCAATGGGTTCCGGGTTGAGTACATACCGTTATTATACACGTAGGCGGATTCAAGAAAAAATGAACACAAAAATACTAAAGTTAATTTTCGATTTAATTTAAAATCGCTACAGTATTTAGCGTGATATCTTGGAATCTGTGTATAAAACCGTGTATATAATATTCAATCACGGTTTTAACAGTTATTAAAAAACCCGTGTCAGCAAGCAGCTTTTTTTTTTTACTAGAAATCCTGTTCCGTTCATCAACTAAATGGTGTCTGTAGCGAATTTTGTCTAGCCGGTGTATTGGGAACGTTATTTATTTATTTATTTTTTCATTAAGAGTTTTTAGTTAGACTATTAAGCCCGACAGTTATAATTTACGACAGTGACAGATACGGTACAGAAAAAATAAATATGTTATCATTTCTTTATTTTGATTTTCCTGGGTAAACGGAAAATACCGCCGAAAAACGTGGCAATTTTTCTGCAGTTATCATCAATTTTTTTTTTCCTACTTTTGAAATATTTATAGCCATTTGGAAATGTCGAAATTTTAGATTCATAGCATATCGAGGGATCTATATTGGTTTTACGTACATGTATGTATATTTTTTTAAATTATTTTTTCTGGCAGTAAACGACTTTTCGAAAAAAAATCTTGCTCTTGTATAGATTATAGTACTTTTTCCGAATGGAAATTTTGTCTAGTTGATGGATTAGAAAGGTAATTTTTCGATCATCCAAGGGGTTTTCGAAATAACTGGAATAAATCTGATAGAAAATTATAGGTAAAACGGAAAATATTTACGGTATGCCGCGAAGTTACCGTTTTCATTGTTTTTTATTTGTTTACACGATGTTTTCTACTCGAAATATTGCTCTCATTGAAAAATAACAAAAATCGATTTTGTTCCTTTCATTATTTTTCCACTATTAGAGTAAATCATTTTTTGATATCTCAAGTATTTTTCATAATGATTGAGAAAAATCAAAAAATACAATTTTTACGAAAATTTGCAAAAATAATTCTGTTATTATTTAAAATTTTATTTTTTTAATATAATTCAGTTTAAATATTCATAGAGATTTGACATATTGACAGACAATTTCTGTTTGCTTTTTTTAGTTGTAGTAACATTTTAAAAATATTTGATCCATTTTTAAACTATTTATAAACATTTTAATTTTGAGAGATTTTTACGTAAATCTCATTTGATAGGTTCTCTGTTTTGTCTAATTTCTAGACTAAAAATAAATACTTGAAAATTTGACAGGACGTTCATTATACGTTTTACTTATTGATTTAAAAAAAAAATTAGTGTAATGTAGTATTTTTTTTTTTTTTTTTACATAAAAGTTTTAAAATAAAATTTTAAAAAAAATCGTAAATATTATTGTCTTTAAAAACATGTATAACTGAACTTCACTCAGAATTTTTTTCGTTAACAACGGTTTATTGTTGGTTATAGGTGTAAATTTTATAACTTTATACATCCCACCTTTTCAACTATACATCTACAATAGTGGCCGCATACGTCCCCATTATCAGTTCTTTTTTGTTGTATGGATAAAAATGTTATACAATAAGTTGTTCGCTAGAAGTGTAATCACGATTTTTTGTTGTTCGTATAAGGTATGCGTGTAATCAAAATTAATATTTTTATATGCGTTTAATGTTCAAAAATTTATGTGAATCGTAAAAACTCAATGTCATTGCACGCACTATCATCCTATTTATGTGCATACATTGTTTCTGGCCCAGCTAAAATTTTCGACAATTTAACACGGAGTTGATCGTTAAGTTGTATTTAATAACAACCGTAAAAAAAAAAGTTCAGCGTAACGTGATAATTTTTTTTTATAAGCGTTCTAAATTCAGACTTATATGAAATACAAATCACGAAATTGTTTTTACTATTTTCCGATTTGTGTACTTTAATATAAAACTTTATTCGTTTTATAAAAAACGCTTAACAATTTGAAACGAATAACTCCGGACCGTCGTAATTTAATTTGTAGTTAGAAATTAATAATGCGATCTTTTAATTTTTAATTTATCAAAGTATGATTATAGCCGGACTTTGCTCTGGATCGTTTTTCCTTAGCGACGGTTTGTCTTTACATCCCTATTTTATCATTCTAAAAAATAACAGGTCATAATGAAAATATTATTAACGCCACCCTCCCGCGCCTCGAATTCGTTCCTTTTTTCGACGACATCAAACGCGTTTCCGCCGTGTCCCACACACACACACACACACTCACTTGGCCGTCTTCAGTAGCGGATGGTTGGAGCTGACCAGCCGGCGCAGGTGTAGCGCCACGTTGGCTATCTCGTCATTGAGCAGCCATCTCAGGCTCAGGAACGACGCGGGATACCCGACGATTTTCTCCGCCTCGGACACCGCCCGGTTCCAGTCGGGTTTTATCTGCGAATTGCCGTTGTTGTGGTTAGGCTGTGCGGACGCGGTGGCGGTGGCGTAAAGCCGACGAGACGACGTCACCGCCGCTGCCGGATTGTCCGGCTGCGACCGCAGCAGACGGACCGCCGCTGCAACCGTCGACGTCCGTGCGGCGTACATGGCGTCAGTATCCGTAGTGCTCAATCGCAGCCGACATTGTCCGCGAACCCGTGGCCGATGCGTCGTTCGGCACAACCGCCGCCGTTTCGGAAGTGGTGGGCCGATGAAAACGTGTCATAATAATATAATAATTGCGTATTTTGTTTGATCTTCACGGGCGCCGCGGGAGTGACGGCGGCAGTGGCGGTAGACACGGGGAAACGGAGTTTCGAAATCTCTGGTGCGCGGGCATAATATCATTTCACGCGGATAATACAGGACGATTATTTTATCGCCGCGAACCAGCGGCGATTATCTGTACGCAGATTTCAGACACCGCGATAATATCGAGAAAATCGTTTGTCGACAAAAAAACAGAAAAAAAAAAAAACAAAAAATTAAAATTATCTCATTTTTAATATTCTCCGAATTTCACCACTATCGTTCGGTAAGGTACCGAAATCGAATTTACTCGAAATATCCGCGACGTATGATCGCCGGTTCGCTCACTCTGTATGTATATATACACATATAAATAGGTATATATTTATATATATATGTACGCCCCTCAATGGCCTATAATCGATTATTTGTTTGTGTAAAAAAAAAAAAAAAAAAGTAATTTCTCTCGGCTTGACGCATTTTCGCGTAGGTAAACGTACACAATAGACTCGATAATAATAATATCGACGGGCAATAATTATGCGGTGTTGAGTTAATAATAACAATTATTGTTGATTCGCGCGTCGTTAATTGCCTCGGCGATATTAGAGAGTTTTCGGGCACGCGCGACAAAACTGTACGGCTGCGTCAAGAGCCGTAGGGATCACACGAGGATCCACAGCGGGGGTATTTTTGAAATATTATCATCGCCGAAAGAATTTGTATTTATATACGGACGTTAGTTTTTTTTTTTAATAAAATAATCTTATCTTATAACAGTTAACAGTGTAATATTATTATTATGATTACTATACAGGTGCCGCGGCTACGTGGGACAAACCTAGTAATACTTCGTATTTTGCATCAGCGTTTTTCACTTATGAATCAGTTATAAGCGCGATTTCGGGACGACTAGGGGAGAGGGGCTTAGCCTACTCACAAATATATTTTTAACTCCCTCCCAATGATGTCACGATTCAATGTAACGCGGAGAATTAAAATACGGCTTAGAACTTCATGTATTGAAAAACAGATATTCGAGTCTTTCATTAATATAAAGGGATATTTCTAATAGTAATTGTGCAGAATATATTTTAAACGAATTTTCAAACAGGACCATAGGTTCTCTTTTTAAAAACAAAAATAAATGTTCATTTAAATTGATTGATTTTGTTGTTTTAATTGTTTAATAATTTGATTGTGTCTTTTATTTTGTTGTGGCTGTATGTACGGAGTGACAACGTTTACACTATATCCGAAGACGCCCGACAAGAGTCTATTTGACGTAAATTTATTCAGCCCCCTTAATTGAAAAATTGAAATTGCGACTATGAAATCACACCATCCTCTGTACCGATCTCAATTCATTCACACTAATTTCCCCGGCTAACCCTGTAAAGTACGTTTAGGGTGATTCATTATACACGCTCACTCCGTTTTTATGTAATTTTATGTAATTTTACATGTATTCAAATTTAAATTTTCGGCATTTTCAAGTGTAATTAAAGCCAATGTTTTCGAATATTTAGATTTTTCACAACATTTAAAGAGTAGCGATACCATATTTGGTCTTTCAAATGATAACCTATATGAAAAATTCCGTAAATGGATGAAGTTTAAAAATATAATTGTTTAAATAAATTTCGATGTAAACATGTTTGATTTCCGTCAACCCGTTGCTGAAATATTGCACTTTTAAGTTCAAGTAGGCGGATAGTAGTAGTGAAATATCATTTGTGAAGTAGCACGGTGCGCGGCGTTTTAATAGTTTTTGGCTTTAACTACACTTAAAAATTCCAAAAAAAACAGAATTTGAATAAATCGCCCAATATAATATAAATTCATATATTCTTATATTACTATCTAACCTGGCCGTATCACATTCGCACCTTGATATTTGCATTGCATGATGAGTGGTTCGTACTGAAAAACTTATAAAGCGGTTTAAAAAAAAGACAATTTTTATTAATAATATACGATAAAAATATGAATTGATTTATTTTTTTTAGAAAAATGCACCGCCTCGTCCGTCGGTGTGGATCGCCTAAATAGACTACGGATATTTTTATAATTAATTGCATTTCTATACGATTATGGGTAAATAATTATAGTGGTTTTTTTTTATTATTATCAACGTAATAAAATAACGAGTGGCTGAGCATTTGCTTTTTTTTTATATACGCGATAGGTAGTAAATTATAAAGTACATACGTTAAAAAAATCTGAATATGTTCCAAGTAGATAGCAAAATATAAATCGTAAATATTATGTTAAGTGAACAAAAAAAAAAAAAAAAAAAATCGTAAATACTGACCGACTCCCGTTTTTCTTACGTTTTTCCCGATTTTCACCAATCATTACGAAAACTACTCGGAAAATCAAAACTGACTTTCTCATTCACCAACTAGACAACATTTATTTCAGAAAACAAGCGCAGCCTCGTCACTAATATATTTGGTTTTCACACGTAATAGTATTGCAAAAACGGCATTCCATATTGTCCTATACTATCATTATTATACTCGTGTGACGGACATGGAAAAACCAAAATGTCGGAAATGAGTTGAGCCCCGTTCGCTATTAATTTATTATACAGTGTGTGTGTCCTACAGCACTAATTTCCGCTTATCCAAACTTAAAAGTGGAACATAGTTGCGGCGGAAATCAAAAATATCAACATCGAAATGTGTTTACACCAACACTACGTCTGTTTATTGAATTTTTACTATAAGTTGTTGCTTGAATATCAAAATTAAGTAGTCGTTTCACGCCGAAAAATAAGGGCGACAAAAAATAACGGTAATATTATATTAAATTTAGAGTCGCTTGTTTTTTCAATTGTCAAAAATAAAAAAAAAAAAGCCGAAAACAACTAATACTTCCGAGACATCGTAATTATTGGTAATCACGGGGCCACTGTATAACATTATGATATTATTTACTGTAATTTAGTATAAAATATGTAGTGTGCATTCACTAAACAATATACGCATCTTAATTTATGATTTAATTATGACCCGATCTAACCGCGCGTTCTGCGTATCCGACGTAGTAAAATGATTGATAGACATTATTTTTCTATCTCGTTAAATAAAAATAATTTTATTGTTTTGATTGATGGTCACATTATAAAGTTACTGGTTTACGACGCTGGCCTTTGTTTCGGGCGGTCAATACGATTTGTTAAGAACGGCGCTCGGAATTTCACGCAAATGAGTATGATATTTTATATCACCCGCAAAGTAAACATGATTCATTACAATTGATTAGGATATCGCATTTTTCGCGACGGTTCGGATTTAAAAATGTTTAGTATAGTGCAGTCTATGGTCCGCGAGGCCACACTTAGATTACACAAATCAAAAGAAAAAAAATGATTTAACGTAAATGAATAGTGATGGCTATCGGAGTTTGTTACGTCGTTTATTTATACATTTATATTATAACCTGTCGAGTACAAAAAAATGTACACAGTCAAGTAGAAGAAACACAATAAGTAAAAAGTAAAGGTGCATTATTATAGGCGGCCGTCCGCGGTCTGTCGAAAGTTTTCCAAGTGGTCCGTATACCGTCAAAAAGGTCGGGAACCACTGGTATAGTCCATATTTAGAGGGACATTATATTTTTCTTCTAAAAATACATATTATCGTCAAGTTTTATCGGTGTCGGTTGCGCGGTATTGGCAACATTGAAAAAATAATAATCATGCATTCCTCGACTAATTTACCAAGCTGATACAGTATCCGGTACTGTATCCGGTCAAGCTGTACAGTATACAGTATCTATTTCGAAGCAATGTAAACAATTTATGTTAAAAATTAATCGAATACTAAATATACTACTTTATCATGCTTTTCATACGTTTATCTACAGTACACTAGTAAATACTGAGTATAGTCACATATTCGCGTAGTGCGCCGTATGCTCTGGAAAATTCGCAATTAAAATGTGCTTAGGAGGGGGCGGTGATAATCTGTCCATATGCATGCAAGTTGAATTTTGTTGTGAAACCCAAAATATTTTCAGCGACCGTCGTCACGTAGATATTAATGTATTACTACTATATCATATATGCTGTCAGTGCGTGATACAATAAAATACCTTAAATACGTTCAACTCAATATTTTATTAATTTATTGTAAAAAAAAAAAAAAAAAAACCAAAATAACAATAATTAAAAACCTGAAAATGTGTACTTTTCGTGAAATGTCTGCAGATAAATAAATACAGTATTATCCAACTATTGTTTTTGGCGAATTCGACCGAGCACCAAGGTATGTGTCATAGCGAAAACATAATTTATGAATAAACGACGACGTTTGGAACTTTATCCAGTTAAAAAAACCCCCCTCGTAAAATATTATGTCGCGTTCACTTGATCAAATTATCCTGAAATAATCGTTCGTTATCTCGGAAAGTATTGACTTCTTTCGGAATCCCGTAGTTTGTTAAAAACGTATGAATCAAGCAACATTAAAATATTACATTACAGTTATTTTTTGTCGCTGTTATTTTCGAGTGTAAAATCATTACCTACTTTGATTTTCAAATTGTAGTTATGTAGTTTTTGTAGTTTAATTGTAGTTCTTGTGTATTATTTTGCTTAAATTACTTAGCTTTTTCAATATCGGCCATGGAAAACAATCAACAAAATACATTTTAAAAGTGTGATATAAATCAAATATTTATTTGGCTGCAAAAAGTGGATCGGTGAACAACAACTAAAAAAAAAAAATTATACGATGTCAAATATTTTAGTTATTCGTTTCATGAAAAATAGCTACTTTTTTTTTTTTTTTTACAAATAATTCATCGTCAAGTGGATGCAACTTATACAGAGTGATCAATATATCATGAATCATCGATTTTCTCAAAAGACGTTAAGTGAATTTAATTAAATAAACTTCATATTAAACGTTTGATGATAAATTGATAACCTTTCTTTACTCCGCCGATTCAAACTTTAAACTGTTATAACTTAAAATTCATAACTATAAAACCGATTTTAGTATCCTATGTACAATTAAAATTTTTAGACAATTATTCTCTATTCGAATCTATGTTTTGATGTAGAGGGAGGGTTCCCAATCGAAAATCAAAAACATATACAAATTTACGATACAAGGAGTAGGGGTAGGAAATTGAAAATAGTATTGAAACAAAACTAAAACGAGTAAAAAAAAATTCGAATCATGTCAAAATCCTGTGAGAATCGCTAGTTCGTGATCTTTCTGTATTATGGACTATAGGCCACACGCCTGCAGTGGTACATTCGGTAGATCGCGGGGCCATTTTTCGCGACGAGTTTCATCAGACGGACACTCGTGATTTTCGAGTGATCGGCCTGTGTGCGGATCCGTTTATCGCGTTAACTGGAGTGCGTCGGACACAATCAAAATTCTTTTCTTGTTTTATACGTATTCCGTGGCGTATACGCGGTGAGAAAAAAAAAAAAAAAGGTGTAAATAATTTATAATGATAAGATTGTTTTTCACTTATTATTATTTTGTAACAACAGGCGAAAGACACCGCGCGATGCGACGGTCTTGTTTCTCCGGGTGGATCGACCGTAGCGAATTTTTTATTACCCATACCTAGTTATATAGGTGTATAATAATAAACCGTCGTCGTCGAGACAAATGGGTTATATATTATTAGAAGATAGCGGGCTATTATATTTCCGAAGGAAAATCATCACTACTTCACCCAGGTATATAAGTTTTTTTTCTTCTTGAGTCGGCCGACTAACAAAAAAAAAAATATCCCGTTCGGAAGTCACACGAAATTATTTTGGTCACCGCGTTTTCCGCGATCGTTTTCACTCAGTTATTTACCTAATACCTATATGACGTATTATAATACATACTTCACAGCAGGCTCGGAGGATTTGCAATACCGGATTGAAAACTCGGTGGGCAGCCAAACACTTTATATTTTTGGACTGCTATAAAAATACAAATATTCCTAAAATATATACGACGAGGTATAGAAAACTGTTCAGTCAAGTATCGAAGTCGTATAATAATTGATAGTGGAAATCGAATAAAATTGAAATATATATGTGACTGTAATAAGTAATCGTTATCACGATCGTTGAGATCATGGTTACAGCACCATCCATAACAAATGTGATCAGTAAGGGTGTCTTTCAGCGATACCCGTTTACCCGGGTTTGGTAAGTTGTCATACGAAACATAGCAGGTATAAGCGGATACTCGGTTGCTTATTTCACTCCTTTTTGTTATTGGTCAAAATATAACGAAAATCTAGCAGTAATCGGGGTTTTTTCTTTAGTATCATCTAGTAATAACAGTATTAAAATACTTTTATTCGAATATTTTACAAGACCGGCAATCAGTGTAATTACACTGCACTACTTGGTAAGACACGTCAGTATGCGCGGGTATCTCTGGGATTCATCATTTTGTTGAATTTCAGAAGGATAGGTAAAGCCGCGGTGTAGGTAGGCACCTATAATAATAGTATAATATTATGATCTAAATTCTAAGGGTTGTATTTCGATTCAGTGAAATCTATCCGGATATTTGTACATTAAACAAACAAATTTGGTGGTTCAATTGGGAATAATTCACTCAATTGACTAATACGAATATGTTTACAGTGGTCTATCCATAGAGTAAGAATTGTATCACGGAGAGGATAATATAAAAGCGGGTTCCCGCGAACTTATAAATGATCACTACCGGACGGGAAACGAGGCGCGGTAAGTGTCATCGAACGCTCTTCAAACTATAGTTACTATAGCACGCTACGCATATACCGTGAAAAAGAGTAAATTCATATTTTTTTTTTTTTTTTTAAGCCGTCCAACGTATATAAATATTATGAATTGGTGTTTCGACGAAAAAGCATTTAGTCATCGTTGGGTACTACTCGACGAGCGTGTATATATATATATAAAAAAAAAAATGTCCGGCCAAACAACTCGGTAAACTGTTCAATATATTATTATGTTTATCTATGATATTGTATAATATATATTTAAGTAGCGACATCATTTGAATATGGTGAAAATATATTTAAAAAAAAAAAAAAAACCGCCTGCAAAAACTGTTGTGCAGAAAAAACAATGATACTCCATTACTCCCTATGTAAACTGCGTTAAAACTTATCGTTTTCAAAAATCCGTTCGTTTTGAAGATTTTTTCTGTATCGTATTATAAGTGCCTATATGATGATACGACAAGTCACAGTGATTCCCTATAAGGTCACTTCACATTATGCGTGTTAACGTTGATGTTTCGTGTTTGTCGTTTCGCAATATTTCGAACGGTTGTTTAATTTTTAAGTTTTTAAATTCGTCTATAGATGTCAGCGCTAGTTCATCATTCCAATCGGACACCATGATCACAACTAATTGATGAACTAAATTTGTAACGAAATTTGATTAAACACAATATCTGTAATAAATTGTTGATAGCGATGAGGTTATCTACATTTATTACCTAATTTAATTTATTATCTAAAAATATATACTGTTCATGAAAACAAATTCAACACGAAACATCACGAAACCATACGAAATTATTTTTTCGTGTCCTTTGATTTCGTCAATTTATCGCCGCGGTCGCGAAATAATTTTCACGAAAAAATGTTTCGTGAAAAAGCCATACCCACTATTCGCGAAAAATTACACGATAATGTGAAAATACGAAACGCGAAACGCGAAATTCGCATAGTGATGGAGCGACCTTTATACGGAATCTCGTAGGTAATTTACCGGTGGTACTTGTATTGAATATTTTTTTTTTAAACAAGGCACGTATATTATTGCTCCCCCCCAAAAAAACCCTTTTCATATCTTTCAGTATTCCGTTATAAATTGTATTGGACACCGACATTTCCTTTCTTATTGTTTAGCACATACGCAGCGGCATAGCAATTTAGACCAATTTTCCTTCATCAGTCCGAACGATGTAGCTGAACAACATAAATATTCTGAAAACATAATTATATTTGAATTCGGCGTGAAAGTGTATTCGATAAGATCGTTCAGGCAATTTTTTCTTTTTAAATTTAAATATAGGTTTTTTTTTCATAAATGTTTAAACTGTTTATAAATGAAAAACTGATATTCGAAAATTGGCTTAACCGATTTCACGGAGATATTTACACTTTATATTCACTTCAGAATTCGTATCTATATTGCTTTACTACATTGATTGGACAGACTTTTGGAAAACTGGTCTAAAGTACTTTGGTGAGTACACGTGTTAGACAATGAAAGAAAATATCGGTAGCCAATACTATTAAAGTAAATTTGAATGAGTGATTGTATTATTTCGTATTAAAATAATAAAGCACGTACACAAAAAAGAAATTGGGGGGTTCATAAAAAATTTACAATAATCAATATTTAAACAAAAAGACGTCCTAGTATAATGAGTACGAGTGCAGTTACTGTTATGGCTATTTTAATATATACTTATAAGCAACGATAAACAATTGCTTACAAAAAAAACGATTCTGAGAGGAATTAATTTGATAGTGATGCTTTGTCAACAATATATATGCCATATTATAGTAAAATAATTTAAAAGGCTTTATATATTTTCTTTAATATTTGTTTAATGTTGTACCTGTTTTTCCCGGTTTTTCACATTTGCAGGAAAAAGACCTGAGAAAATCGAAAAATGACTATCTTTAAGCAGCTCTCTACACTGATTTCTTTTCCGAAAAGGTGCTACACGTACAAATCGGAGCAAGTCTTTTGGTATTAGTAGAAAAGTATTCCACAGAAAAATAAAATAAAAATAAACATTTTTGTAAAACCATAAGATTCTTCGCACCACTCAGGATCTAAAAATATATACAAATAAATTACACAACTATAAATTTTCCGGGGGGGGGGGGATTGAATCACAACCCCCCCCCCTGTATACGTGCCTGAGAATAGTAGTAGTAATAGCTATACATTTGTAGTTTTTCCATCAATAATAATAATATTCTGTTTCGTGTTTGTGTTCTATTTTCTTATGGGAAAGTTCAAACTTGTATTTTCTTCACGGTCGTGTCGATCACGTCATAATGGTTACAAATATTCCTAATCGTCAACAAGTAGGTAGTGATTATACTAATATATTATTATTATTAACGTTGGAGTCAATCAATTTGTATTCTTATCTTAATTCGTTGTCGGTAGGTGGTCCTGCAGCTGGTTCCGATTGTCTTATGCTATTATTATTGGCAATTGCAATTTGCAGATTTGTTCGCTAGATTCTTGCTGAGATGAAATCTGAAAGCACCGATTGGACATGTCTAAAGCAATTAACCAATGGTAGTCAATTACTAAATTCTCGATAAATTGTGCAAAATTCAATACAATTTAGAGCTTTGAGTCACTCCACAATAAACAACGAAATAATAGGTATTATTTCTTAGTCATTTGATTATACTTTTATTTAAAAATTGGTAATACTTCAAATAAAAATGTTCGAAATAGTAGAGGTGAAATGTTGGTAGGAATTTTTGGTGGTCAAATGATTTTGTTTGGGGGGGGGTAAGAATAATTATCAAGAACTAGGTATTGTTATGCATGTATAATTTTTTTTTATTAAGTACCATTAAAATATGATATAATATACAGGGTGATTTTCTTAGCATTCTCACACCATTTTTATGGTTGAATTAGGCATACATTTTAATTCCATTTTTTGGAATTTTTAAATGCAGTGAACGATGATATTTTTGCAAGAAGTAACTTAGATTTTTTACATTAAATGTTGTGAAGTAATTTTAATGAGTACCTGTGGTAATAACAACATTGATTTTTCAAATAAAAACCTACACGTTTTGATAACTACGCTAATTTATTTTTGTGAAAATTATGATGTATTAAAATCGACATATTTCTGAGTTGAAATCTGTTTTGAATACTAAGAATAATAGTCTTTTAGGGTGATTAAATACCAATTGTTTCAAGCATATAAATAATTTCTTGTTTTGAATTGTGCAGTTATTATTCATAGGTATTTAAAGTAAAATACATACAAGTAGGAAGACATTTTTCATTTAAATTTCAATTAAAATACGTCTACATTTTCAGACAAATCATCTGAAATCATTAGGAAAACCAAATTTGGTATTTTCACAAGATACACATTCAATGTTGTGAAAAATTTAAGTTTTTCACAATATCGTCTTTATCACTACACTTAAAAATTCTAAATATTAGAATTTGAATTTATGATTAATTTAACTATACGAAGGGGGTAAGTACTGCGAATGTTTAGAAATTACTGTGTTTATTATTATAAATATTTAAGAAAAATATCTTAATGACCACCACTGGTAGGAATTAACCGTTTCTAAAATTCACAAACCAAAATAATTATGTATTTTTGATATTAATTTTAAAGTAACTTTTGGTAAATATTAATTTTTCTGTACTTAAAGATTAGTCCTATAAGTTATAACATTATATTTATAATTTAACTAAGTGCTGATGTGTCAGCAACTTTTGTAAGTGGGGAGTAGGGAAAATAGGATACATTTAGTTTAATTTACTAATATCTATATGCAAAAATAAATCATTGTTACGTTCAGAATCAAAAAAAATAATATGGTAAATAGGTTATGTTATACATGGTATAGACAAATATAGATAAAGTTTTAAAAATACTATTTTAGTTTTTTATTACAATATTATAATATGATGTAGTTATACATTAAATTCGCGAAATTATTAAAATATAATAAAATGAAGTCAAACTTAAAAGTATAATACTAAAATAAAAATAAAGAATATAATATAATACATTTCAAAAATATGTATGTTATAAAATATAATAAATGTTATTAAAATGTCATGAAGTGTAATACATAGTAATACAATTTTAATTGATTAAAGTTTATAGTAATAGAAAGTAAAATCATTATAATATTTAGATACAACGGTACAATAATATATTAAAATGAAATTTCTTCAAGATTGGTAAAATTAAGAGATCACAATAGTCATGTATACAAATATTAAATAAATATTTCATAGGCTACAGCTTTTGATCAGAAAATACAATGTTTTGTTCTTAAATCTTAACAAATAGTTCAATCAGTTATAATTTTTATTTTAAAGGACTTACGCAAAATCTATTTTTTTGTTCAAAACTCTTTTTAGGAAAAAATAATGCACTTCATAGAGTGATCTAATTACAATCATTTTTTCTGTTAGTAATAGAAAAATGTCTTACAAAGAGCACTGGAGTAAGGTAGTTAGGAATGAATAAAAATTATAATTATAACATTTTGAATTATGTAACCAAAACCACGAGAAAAAGAATGAGTGAAAATCAGTCACATTCTAAAGTATATCAGTCATAATTCTAGCGTTTAGAAATATAATTTCAAAGCCAAGTCCAATGCCCTATTTAAGGCTTTTACAAAAAAAAAATAATAATAATAATACAAAACAGCCCACTCTAAAAAGCCAGAGTTTTATCTGTAAACCATAGTTTTGAAAAAAAAAAAAAAGAACAGATCGCTTTTTAAATTAATGCATCATATAATACAAAGTAGGCGGATTGACATTTTAATATTATTTATTAAGTGGTAGATTAAAGATATAACATTTTTTTAAAAATTACTATGTCATTAGCAAAAAATTATCAACCACCCAATTAACTAAAAACAAATTACATACAAAAAAAAAAAAAAATTATAGTCATCTTTATAATATTATATATATATATATAGATAAAATTATTATTTAACCATAAAAAATATATTTGTAATTTAATAACATACGTTTTCTAAAATTCAATATATTGAGAAATGGTCTTACGTATTTATATATAGGTAATGATATTCACCAATATATTATACATATTTTACAGTTCTCTGAGCTAGATAGATTTTTCCAAACAAATTACTATAGGGAAATCAATATATAAATATAAATAATATTATCAATCTTCAGTGAATATATTAATATTGTAGGTAGAAATAATAATATTTAATCAAGATAATATTAATATTATGTTTAATGGACATGCCTCGTATGTTTATGTCAAGTATACATTACATTTACTAACATGTTTAATCAGATTATAAATTATCGTAAACTTTATAAAAAAAATAAACTAATCAATCGTCGAGTATTGTTCAAAATATCGTGGTTTAAAAAACAATCATGAAATATTTCCAACATAAAATAAGTGAATTTAAAATTTAATTTTATCCCATAGTTTGGTAACATATTTTATACATTTATATAAGTTAACAATAGTTTAATTATATAATATATGATTTGTAATAACTGACATGAAAAAAATAATTAAATTCACAATATATGTGCTAAATTAAAACTTCAAATATGTACTAAAAAAAATTACAAGTTTTATAAATATATAAAATTGGATTTTTTAATATTTTGTAATTTAATTTCCCTATCCCATATTTTTTTTTTTATATTTGGGGATTTAAAATTGTAGCAAATATAAAAATTGTTTGATTAATTTCATTGGCACTTTAAACAAATAATTTTGATTTAGAAATGTCAACTAATACATACGTGATAACATGTTTACGTGACATAGAGAGCACTTACTTGTAACACAGTATTTTATAATTATAAGTTCAATATTATAGGATTTCACTTAAATTTCTGACTTCCAGGTTTACAGAAATATTATCAATTGTAAATTAAATATTATTAAAATATGGAATAGGTACTGTAGGGAATAGCAAAGCATGTTAAAATATGACTAACAAAGTAAATAATTGTACAAATATGATTAAAAAAACAAAACACGCATACATAGATTAAAAATGAGTTTTATGAAAACACATATTTACAAAATGTAGAAGATAATTTTATCTGCAACCAAGCAGTGCCAGAGCCAGTTTTGGCAAGGTCATAAACAAAATATTCTGGAAGGCTTTGAAACACCTTATACAAATTAAACCGAAAAGATATATTTCTTAGTTTTGAACTTACAATTGAATTGTTGTTTAAACATATAAAATAACATCAATTCACTACTCACTACTTTGAAAATTAGATTTAGAATATAAAAGCTAAAGTCACATTTTGATAAAATGAAATTGTTACCTTTTTCATGTGTGTCGCCAAGGTATAGGTAATCCATAAATCAACAGTAAAAGTTCAATTTTCATTCCAAAAATACTAAAACTCTGGGTCACTCTTTAGGGGTTGAATTTCAAAATAAAAAATAAACAGTGATCTTTTTTTTGTTTTGAATGTCAAGTGTGCAAAGTTTCATCCAGATTGGAATAAATATTAGACTTGTATTAAAGCTTATATGAATAAAAATTTATTTCATACAAATATAAATATAATGTGTTACTATAAATCACCCCTAAAGTAGATGATCAGAGAAAAATTTCTGGTTGAAAATGGTTTAGACAGAAAAACAAAATAAATGTAGATTTAAATTTAAAACACACATCATAGAAAATCTATACATTTCTTGCTATGCACCGAATCTAAAAATCCTTTTATGTACCACTGCTTGTGGGTCGCACAAGTTTTCCTTCAGGTATTGGGTGGTTTTACCGCTTTTATCCCTATAAAGATAAAGTAACCCCAACAATTTACGATGATGAAGAAATATTTTTAAAAATAGAAAATATATAAACATCAACATCGGTACCAGAAGATAATAAATATTGACCTTTACCACTTATTTGTTAACATGCTGCGCCACTCATAAGGTCCTGGGTAATAATAATTAATAATTTTTTAAAGCACTTAAATAATTAAGACAAGCAATAGTATAAACGACAGTTTAAGAAAATGAAATTGTGTATTTGTGATTCAGTTTCATTCGAATTTATCAATTAGGACAAATGTTGGGCAAAACTCACCATTACAAAACAATATTCAAGATTATTCCATTATCAAGACTAAATTATTATACTTATATGTATTTAGTTCTAAATAATTTAAAAATTCACAAGATGTACATTCACAAATACATACATTTTAAGTTTCAAAATTAGAATTATTTTGAAAATCCAAAGCTAAATTTCTCAGATACGAAAAATAAAAACATCGCGCATCATAGTAAAAAAACTAATAATACATTCTTCCTTCAGCTCAGAATCTAAAAATGGGAGGTCCTAGGCTGGTGGGTGCTCAGTTTGCCCCCCCCCAATCATCCGTTCTATAATTAAATATTTTTGAGTTACATTTTTATTTTTTTAAATATGTAAACACTGGCTATATACAACCACTTAAATATTGGGTGTGTAATATTACTTTAATACACATTTACATAAACATACGAGCCCCTGTTTATAAACTTTGAAATTGATGAATATTATTCAATGATTGATACATATTAATGAAATATTGTATAATTAGTAATAAATAAATGCCAAATAATATTTAAACTAGTAATTTGCTAAAATAAATACTGGGTATGTGTAAAAAAAATAAAAATTACTAATTCAACAATACTTTTTAGAGTAAAAAATACTATATCAAAGGATTATTTTATAAGATGTCTAACATACATAAACACTTCCTAAGTATTTTATATTTCAAAAGAAAATATATCAGTTTTTACATAATCAGATGTATAACGTATAGGTGTCAATTTACTAGTTTATCTACACATAGTAAAATGGACTGAACATAAAAAACTTGACCTGTCACATGTGAGAAATATTATTGATATCCCAGTACCTTAAATTCCTTAAATCGTGCTTGCACATTGTATTATAAGTGCTGGTAGTCAATTGTGACTGCAACAGACAGATTGTGAATGTGATTAATGCAATTTCTATCATTACTGATTAATTAATTGGACACTTAGAAAGGGATGTGACACTATTTGGCAATAATTAGGGATATTCTCTTTTGGAGTAAACATTAAAATGTATTATTGTATATATATATATATATAAATATATAAAACAAAACACTATTATACAAAAACAAGTCAACAAAAATACAAATATTTGTTAAATAATTTGAAACAAAAATATCATGCAATACTATTTTTCGATATATAGCATATGACACAAATACCATTTTAAGTAGTATAAAATGGACTAGTCGATAATAGAGAGCAAAAATTATAATAGTAATAATAAAAATTAATCCAACAATTTCCATTCGGTGATCACAGTCAAATCAAATTAAATTAAAATTTATTGCACTACATCTACATTAATTTGTAATTAAATAATTACAAATAGTTTTGACCTTGTATATCATTTATATCTATCTATCTATATATTATGTATTTTTAAATAAAATATATCATTGCCATCATGAAAAAAGTGACCTAATATGAACTATTGTTTAAATGCTTTATTACATACTTACATATGTACGAAAGTATCTAAATCATATTATACATAGGAACCACTGACACATAATTATTAATTAAAATCAAAATTGAAATGAAATAAAAATACATTTTTAACATTTTAAAACCATTTAGTCACTTTGTGCATGACAGCAATGATACATTATACTTATCTGGTCTGGTCGAATTTAACTTGTTCAAAGGCTTAAGACATGTTATGAATCACACATAATCTATGTGTGATTAATAATTTAGTTATCTTTTTTTTTCTTGAAGTTCATTAGTATTTAATGTTACATCTGGATAACTGGCAAAACGTGCAGTTTCAATTTTTGGGGATACCTAAAAATAATGATATATATACTTTTTTGTTGTATAAAATGTATTTTATAAGCATTTTTATAAATTATTTAGGTAATATACCTTAAAAGTAGGGTAAAGGCCGCTTTTTTTTGTTCTTAAATTTATTCCTTTTGAAAAACCGTTCCAATGATTTCCGGCAACGGCAATTTCATCGCCAACTTGTAAATCCATTTCTTGTGGCCCATCGGCAAAATGAGGTAATATGGCTTCATGAAGTCTACGTTTTTGTCCACCATAGTAATATATATCATCCAATGAGGTATATAGATTTGATGCATCAGGATGTAGACTATTCATTATTTCATAGGCCACCCGACACACCTATAAGTATGAACATTTTAGATTTAATTACTATAACTTTTTTAACCTGTAACAAATTACCTGTGATGAAAATGTACAAACTAAGTAATCACTGAGTGATAAAAAATGTATATCTGTGATGATTCCACTAAGAGATTGATCAGAATAACGCTTACTGATGGATGCAGTTTTAGATATATCAACATCACCAATTATTTCATAATCAGGGTACCTAAAATATGTAAATATTAATTATTTATAAAATGTAAAGTTTTAAAAAAATATTAATATTACATACTTGTCTTTAGCTTCAGAAAAGAGTTTTGGTTCATCTGTAGCTAAATAAACTCGTTTCTTAATAATTTTATCACTTAGTTCCTTATGTTTATAGTACAGTTCAACGTGAACCATGTATTCTTCTAGTTTATGGAATGCTGCTTCAGTACCAACTTTATCTGTTCTTCTAATATGTACTCTTCACAAATACAAATAACAAATGCAATACAAATATACAAATTAAATAATAAATATTAAGTTACCCAACAATTGGTTTTTGGAATTTCACTTTTTTGGCATATTCGTCTAATTTATTACTAGTTGCTGGTTGTGGTCGGAGCATATACTTAAGAAATTGACCAATCCACCACACTACAGGATCTCCATGCAAGACATTTAATCGTGGAACCAAATCTTCAGGTAATGCAAGAGGAAGGAAAGGAGGTCTTGGATTGATTGAATCAATTATAGGTAAAGTAATAACTTGGGTATTTTTATGACCTAGAATTTATAATACAAGAGTAAATAGGTAAACACAAAAGTAGAATATTAAAACATAATTTGCATTAATTATTATTTCTTAATTACCAGGCCATCGATTGGTTGTTTCACCATTTGGTAGAAGGCAAGTATCACTCAATGGTAAGAAGACATCTTGCCACCCCCCTTTGGAGTACCTCCAACCTTTAGATCTCAAAATTAATGTTCTTTCTGTTGCATAAGCAACAATAAAACAATAAACTACATGATGAAGTTGACAGCCGTATCCACAACCCTAAGAAAAAATATACATAAAGACATTCAATAAACAAAAAAATGAAGATACTAGAAACAAACCTTATTTAAGTCGCAAACTAGTTTTCTTGCTTTAGAACAATCAGATGGATTTTGCAAATGTTTCAATCTCTCTTGAATTAAATTGCTGAGATCCTTGTTTTCTTGTATTCTCCACGATGAATGACCATCAACTTCAGCTAAATTTGCGATATCTTTTAATAACGATCTATAATGTTCACCAACTATTTTTTTTATTTTTCCAACATGTTTTGCTCCATCACCAACAACTTCTTTGTTCAACGATTGTAATTCAGAATTCATATAATACCACAATTCTTTAGTATTCGAAAATATACGGCGCCGTAAAAGTTCATATTCTTCAGAAGGATTGATCAATTGGTTTCCTTTAGAATTTTGTAAATAAGTCAAAAGAATTTTTTTATTGTCTATTCTTGGACTAAAAAAAAAAAAAACTTTCATTACTATTATTCTTGTTCAAAATGTACTTATAAATTATAATTAATATTATTAAATAATCAAGCTGAAATTGTTTAAGAATAAATTCCTATATAAATAAATAATTAAGAACCAAATTAAATATTTGACCAAGAAGTAAAAATAAAAGTATATGTACTTTTTAAAGAATATTAAGGAAATTTAAAGAAAATAGTCAATACTATATCTATACAATATCTAATAAAATTTTATTTCATTTCCTCAAATTCTACACTAAAAAAGTTAAGCCAAGAAAAATATCAGATTCTGACTTTATGAGTCCAACAACAATCCTAGTACTAAAATAGTAAATCAATGTTAAGGTTTGCATGTAAAAGAACCTTGGAATTTTAAATATGCAGTAATTGTTTATTTTTTTAATAGTCAAAAAACTTATATAATTTTTTAATGTGCAGTTAAAAAGTTATTTTTTTTACTAATTTTATACAACTTACATTAAACAAAATTTAAGAAACGTGTTTTCTTTTTTTAGATTCTGAGCTAAGTTTGGAATGTGTTAATTTTACTATGATGTGAGCTTTTTTTTGTCCTTTCTGTAAACCACTTTTTGACTAGAAATCTTTGCCCTAATCACTACAGAGTGGTTGCAGGTAACAAATTAGCGAATTATGTTTAAAGGTGCATAAAAGAAGTCAGTTTTTGATTTTTTTTTTTATTAATTAAGTAAACTAGAAAAAACTGGCAATATTTACAGAACAATAATTTCTATTAATATAAATAAATTTGGTTTTTTTTTCTTGTGTTTATGCGTACTAAATTTGTTCTTAATAATATTAGCAATATTAATTGCTCATAAGTTCTTCTTATAATGGTATATAAATATCGCAATTTGGCAGACACAATTGTTCTTAATACTTTGTCTTAAGTTCAACATATTCACCAATATTTTGTTGAAAATTAATTTTTTTATTGTTTAGTTAGACACTGCACCTTAAACTATTTTCATTTGAAGAAAATATCTATCAAAATGTTGCAATAAGGTCACAAGCTGATTTTTTTTTAATGAAAAATACATTTTTACAGAAAGTGTAATATAATTAAATATTACAAAATTTTAAACCATGCATAAAAAAATCATGCAATCCTTTTTATATTATAATATAATAATAATACTTGTCATTTAAATCTAATACTAAAGCATTTAGTTCAGCATTGCTTTTATGTAGTTTATCGAGTTCATGAAGAGCCTTGGCCAGTCTTTGAGATGAATCTGTATCAGTGCCATCTTGTTGTCGTACAAGTTTAACAGTTACTAACAAGAATGCAACCCAAGAAAATGCTAAAAACGCCAAAATGCGTAGCCAGCCCTGCTGCCTCATTTTCTAATGATTAATGATTCTGTAAACAATTTAACACAAAATACAAATTATCAGTGGTAGTTTAATAATGTAAAATCTATCTATGGAGAAAATAATATAAAGGAAAATTATCGACTTAGCGTTTACCACAGTAAAAGAATATGTAAACTGTACAGCTATAGAATACTGAAAAATAAAACATGATATAAGTAATATAGCCTTAATTGTATGAAATACATTTGGATCAAATAATTGTCACTGAATGTTACTTTTCAACTGGTGGGTACCTATATTATTTGATAAAAATTAAATTAAATTAAATACATAAAGTAAGTAGATATAAAAAATTAGACGATTATTATTTGGTTTGTCGGCCACAGCAAATCATTATTATAATTTATAATCGAATTTTATGTGTTTCTCGCTTTTCGGGTTTTCTACAACTTCAGTAGGGGTTGATTGGTTAATTAGTGATTTGAATGGGTTAATAACACAAATAAGTTCAGTTCACAGTTTGCAATGGCACGACTGTGATCAAGAGTCGAGCGTTTGACAAGTCAGGATTAACGGTTAAAGGGCGGGGAAAATAAAAACGTAATACTCGAGAAAACAATTTTAAATTTCTTAACTTACTTGATCGGGGACCATTTCGACGACGAGGTGGCAGCGGATTGGCGGACACGAGACGTCAGACGATCATAATTATCATTATTACCGTTTGCGGAACCGTAAACGAGTAATAATTACGAGACGGCATCGGCCCCCTCGACAACGTATGTACTTAATTCGGACGGAAATCCGTTTTCTGACTGTCGTGGACCACAGTGAATATTATCACGGGCGGCGCGTTATCACTTATCGCTAGCAAATTATCGTGTTATCACGGAACACGCGCGACGACGGAACAGTGCAGTGTGTCCGCGGGTACGTCCTCGTATCGATTGGCCACTTTGACCGTGTTTTCCGCAACGTTTTTCACGGTTTTTCTCTCGGTGAAATCAGTATAACATTTCTGTTTTCTTTAAGCAATAAACCAGTAGTAATTAACATTAACCGACGGTAGGTCCTGACGAAAACATCAATAATAATACGTAAGTAGCTACGCGATGTTGTAATAAATTATTAGGCACCCATATTATTGACGAACGAGCGAGATTCGGGTAAACTGGTTTTAAAATTCGCCCGCAGGATGAAGGACGGCGTGCACATGCCGCGCACACGCACTGTCCGTCAATTATTATTATTTTTACACCATGTATTATTGCAATACCAAACGAAATAGTAAAATTACCATTACAATAATAATATAATGCCGAACCGGACGTGCGCCGGTCGAAATCTCATTGCGAATCGCATGTCCTCCAGACGATTCCGTCGATACAATCTACACGGACATCGCCATTGTACCTACCTTATAATAAAGTAAAAATTGCCATTAGTTTTTTTTTTTTTACGATTTTTATCCGCGGCACGGTGAAATCATTCGCGAAAAAGCCCGTTAAGAATCGTACCTATTTTTCATAGTAATTATTTTTATAAACTGATTACCTACCAAACGTACCTAACAAACGTATGGTGACTATAGACAGGAACTGCCTATGTTTGACTATCGATAATCAAACGGAAAAATAGTGGATTTATTTTTTCAAATTAGGTATATGTATAAATACGTTATGTACAAATACGTTGTTTTTCAGTCAATGCCATATAGGTAATCAAGGACCCCGAAGTTAATTACCTGTACATAAACGGCTATTTCATTATAGGTACGTTTTACTTGATGTTTTTATATTCGATAATTATGATTTTTATTTTTTTTTTTCTGATGATAACATCGTTGGTTAGTAGTTATTCGCTCGTTAGGTAGGTCGTAGGTATAATATCAATGAATTATTTTAAGACATAATATTTATACATACTATAGTAAATAATTATTACGTTGGTATAGGGAAAATATAAACTGAAATAAAACTGCAAGAATATTAATCGGCCATTAAAAATAATAAATGGGTAGGTAAATGCAGAGAGACTAATATAGATATAATTCTGCATAGGTTAGGTGTTGGTTAATATCTGAAGAGGAGAGGGTGTAGATTTTTTTTTTTATTCCCCATTAGTATACAATTTCTATGAACATTTATTGCCTATAATTTCTCAAAAAACAGTAGGTTATACCGTTACAGTAAATGAATAATTTGTATAGTCTTGAAACCTACATAGGTACACTTACTTAATACTAACGTCATGCACATTATACACACTTTCAACCCTTGCTTCATTTGGGAAATCTGTAGGGGTGTTCAAAATCAAAAAACACAAAACGGTATTAAATTCGAATTTGAAATTCAATCCGCAAAATAAAACAACTTTAATTTCCGAGTTGATGGTCCAGAGAGAGCCGCTAGAAGTGCCCAACAGACGCGTGTAAAAGATTACGTGTATTACAATAATATGTACCTAACAGAAACAATACACTGTGCATAATATACCGTGGAATAGTCGGCGAAAATCGATAAACAAAATTGTTTTAATTTTTGATAAATAAAAAGAAAACCGTGATTGTTTAATTATACAAGGTGATAATAGTTTTTAAAAATTCAGATTCGTATATTATTTAGCTTGCGTACAACATGCGAAAGGTGTCTAAACACGGCCGTGTTATTTATATTGGCCTATATATTGTGCATCATATTCGTAAATTAAAAAAAAGAAAAAAAGTCATTAGATAAATAAAACAATTTTTATTAAAAGTAGGAACCAGATGATTTCTATATGTTTTTTTGATTATCTCGGATAGAACTAATCACTAGGGTGTAAATGTTGAAATAGATAAATGTTGAAATCAAAAATATTTATAAAATCTAATGATATTTCATATAATTCAACGATAATTGGTAGACTATAGTAATGGTATTGGGTGCGAAGGTTGTTAATATTAAATTTGTAACGGAATATTAGAATTCGGTGTACTGCTCATTGTGAAGTGAAAAATTTGCCGACTGAATTACCGGGACGACCTATAATATCATAAATTCGATTAGAATTTCCGCGATACGAACCGTAAAATATAATATTATGTACTTTGAATGTAGGATAGAGGCCTGTAATTCCCGTTCTTATATTCGTTCCTTTCGAATAACCGTTCCAGTGGTTGCCGGCAACGTGGATCTCATCGTTTACTTGTAGGTCGATTTCGTCCGGCCCGTCGGATTCATGCGCCAGTACGGCTTTGTTGAGTCTGAAATTTTGACCCCCGTAATAGTACACGTCGTCCAAAGACGTGTACAGACTCGACGCGTCCGGATGGAGGGTATTCATTATCTCGTAGGCCGTTCGACAGACCTGATGTGTATAAACGGCTGGAGTTTAATATTTTTTTTTTTTACGTATTGTTACGGGAATTTGAATTTTTTTTTTCGCATTTTAATGACCACTTTAATTTTAACGCTTTTCCATTATTATAATACCCGATAGCCATTTAAGGGGTACGGCCGTTTTGACGGACGGGTATGACCTTTTACCCCGAAAAACCAGACAATCAAAACTGTAAGAATTAAAATTATCAAAACATATTATGATCTTTCAAACCATTTTATTAGCTTATTTATTTAATAACATGTTGGATTTTTAATTTTAATTTTAAGTCTATCACGAATAAAAAGCAAAATTCTTTAAGTAAATTTTGTTTCCATTTCCAAAATATCCCAGTAAAGAACTTAAATAATTATAATCTGTTCTTAAAATCGAAATCTCTTAAACACAATTCCTTTACAGTTTTGTCTGGCTTTTAGGTTTAAATCGAATAATATGTAATACTAATACGTTTCCCTTAATAAATTATTTAAATTATTATCAAAGTACATACCTGCGACGAAAACGTACAGACTAAGTAGTCGCAGAGCGATAAGAAATAAATATCGTCGACGATTCCATTTAGTGCTACATTGTGATAAACGAGGACGTCCGTGGTTCTGGAAATTTCTTCATCGCCGATAATTTCGTACTCGGGATACCTTTATTAAACCATTGGTATGTGAATTTGCGGAAAAACCGTTAATGTGTAATAGGCGAATTAAATTTCATTAAATTTTACCATTTGAGAAGGTTGGAGACTATTTTCCAAATTTTATTTAATTATGTAAAATTTGCAAATTATTTTTTATCTTTTAATGATCAGAGTTTTCCACTAATCTACTGCCCAAGATTCATTTAAGGGGAAGGAGGTACGACCGTATCAACCGACTAATATGACAATTTTGATCCATACGCTTGCAGCAAAATTTACTCACTATACCTACCGTTCGCCCAATTTTGAATTTGTAAACATATTTTAATTTTTTGATTTCTGGTTTATGTTTTGTAGGAAATATTCGTTTGCTGTAGCACATGATAAGTCTACCTTTTATTCTTAAAATAATCACGGTTTTAAATGTGCCATTAAAAAAAATTGCAATATTTTTTCTACAAAACATTATAAGAATCATACGAAGTTATATCGTATTTCGAAATAGAAATTGAACTAATAGTACGTCTATTTGTTTAACTCCAGTTTATTAGTTTAAATTCATAAAATAACGAATATTATTGCAACTGTCTTAAAATAATTTTTTTAATTTTTAAAAGTCAAATAATTTAGAAATAATGTTATTTGCATTACTTGAGTTTAGCCTCGGTGAACAAAGTCGGGTCATCTGTAGCCAAATAAATTCGTTTTATTATGACTGCGTCGCTCTGTAACTGTCTTATTTTATAATATTCTTCGACGTGAGTCATGTATTCATCGAGTTTATGTATTTTAGCTTCGTATATAATTGTGTCGGTTCTTCTAATATGTACTCTAAATGTAATAACAGATTTACATTAATTATCTACATGGTGATTATTTTAAGCACTCCCTCGCCCCATTTTCACACTTAAATAATCATAATATAGTGTTTTATTTTTATTTTTTTTAATATTTAAAAGAATATTATTATAGAAATATCTATAAATTTTGATGTTGTAAGTAACATCGGTTTTTTTTTAAATTGATGTTTTCTTGTTGTTATGGTTTAAGATGAATACACAAATACATCATAAGTTTATAATAACTAATATTTTAGATTCACCCAACTATTGGTTTTTGAAATTTGACTTTTTTCGCATACTCGTCTAATTGTCTACTAGTTATGGCTTGAGGTCGTATTAGGTACTTGAGAAATTGGCCTATCCACCAAACTATTGGGTCTCCGTGTAAAGTACTTAATCGCGATGCCAAGTCATAAGGTATATTTTGAGGCAGATAAGACGGTCTATTACGGAGTTCATCGATTATAGGTAAAAAAATAACTTGAGCATATTTATCATCTATTCCTAAAATTCATTATTATTATAATAGATAATATCACAAATAAAAAAATTGTGCAATTTAAATAATTGAAAATTACCGGACCATTCGACAATTGTACGGTTTACTGAAAAAGAACAAGTGTCACTTAATGGAAAGAAAATATTTTGCCATTTAGCAGCATATGACCAATTTTCAGAATCCAGAACGAACGTTCTACGTGTCGCATAGGCGACAATGAAACAGTAAACAATATGGTGCAGTTGACACCCGAAACTACATTTCTGCAATATTATATATTATTTTGTATTCAAATAAATATGATTTATACTACTGTAATTTTTAATCGCAAACATACCTTTTTAAGATTGCAAACTAGTTGTTTTGCTTTGGAACATTCGGCCGGATTTTGTAGATCGTCTAACCGGTTTTGAACTAAACTGCTTAAATTTTCAGATTCTTCTTGCCTCCAAGTCGCATAGTCGTCTACTTTGGTCAAATCGGAAATGTCTTTCAGTAATGATCTGTAGCGTTCGCCGACCGAGATTTCCATATGACCGATGCGTTCTACGCCTTGCACTTGTTTTCCCAATGATTTCAGTTCAGAATTTATATAATACCAAAATTCTTTTGTATTCGAGAATATACGACGCCGTAGAATTTCGTATTCTTTAGACGGGGCGACCGGTACGGCGTTTTTAGCATTCTGTTTACAGGATGATGAGCTAATTATTATAAACACTTATTGTTACCGACCTTAAGTAATACTTTGAAATACTCTTTTTTTTATTTTTTTAAATTCATTACGATTTGTAATGTTTTTGAGTTAGTAATATTTTGTTTTACTATATTATATTTAAAAAAAAAAAAACTTTAATGCTTCAAAGTATTAAATATACGAGTATTTCAAAATAAAAAGTGTATTTTGTTTACACGAATCAGTCAGTGAGTTTATTATACATAAGTACTTTTTCGGTCTGGATTCTTATCCTAAAAAAAAAAAACACAAAACATATTATATTACTATAAATCCTAATATTGTAGAATTTGTATTGATACATAATGTTTGTTCCCAAAACTTTGAAGTAATCGGTTCACCGTTAGTGGTGCCTAAGTGTTTAAAATATAGACATCGTATATCAAGGGGCCCCCCAATTTGTTTTCAATTTAACAATTGTGAATCAAAGCACCTACATAATTCAATATGTAAGTCATTTTTAAAAAAAAAAATTTTAAAAATCAAATTCTGGCCCACAACAGGCCCCTCCCAGCAACAAAATCTACTATGACATATATTATTGTATATTTATCTATGTCATAGATAAATTAGGTGATCGGTGCCACTGTTCACCGTTAATAATATTATATTAAAATAATAATTGAAACAATAATATGAATAATTTATAAAATATCATTTTTTCGTTTGTGTAGGTACGGTACACAATATTTGTATATAAGGTTATTGATTTTCTGGGTTTTGGTTGAAAATCTCATATTAAATTTTGAATAAACTGATAAATTTGATATACTCATTAATATTATTTTGTATTCCAAATAACCATGTGAAAACCGTTTTTATCAAGAAAAGTTGTATATACAAATATTGTGAACAGTTACAAGTATACATAATATAATTTACTGGTTTTGTAATTCCACCAGCTGAGCGTCCAATTCGGCATTGTCCGTGCGCAAATTCTCGAGTCTCGACAGTGCGTTGTTAAGTCTTTTGTTTAAATCTTTGGTCTTGTAGCATTTCCCAAAATCCAGTGTAATCATAAAAAACACTATGCACACGAGTACAAAGTACCCGGATAATCGAAAACAAATTCGCCATCCTAACTGATCGTACGACCGTAACGGAAAATAATTGCGCATACGGGTTTCTACAAAAAACAAGACGCAGAGATAAAACCTCGGAAAAAATGAGATGATCATAATATTCGTGTATTTGTGGAATTTCTTATGGGGAATAGGGAAAGTGAAGTAGAATTAAATATGGTGATTGTTTTTTTTTTTTTAAAATTATGTTTTATAATAATGTGTCTTCCTATATTTTTATGCCTGCAATAACCTACTAAGCAAACAAATTGTAAAACTATTAATAATTTTAAAATAGTTAGGCTGCAGGTGAACGTTTGTACATTTTCAGAGTAAAAATATTCGAAGATACTTACGTGTTATCGTTAACATTGGAAATATTCAGACAAACTGTTGTACAATTGAAAACTACAGAATATAATTATTATAGAAAAAAATTATTAATGTTTTCAAATAAGTTACGAGTAAATCAATTTTTCGCTATATTAGGTATAACACTGAAATCTATGCATTTCGTTTTATTTAATAATTACAGTAGGAATTACCTACCTAATTGTGCCGATATCATTTATATGTGCAAACAATGAGAGCCAAATGACAGATAAACATAAATAATACGCATTTACATGGTAAACATCATTTCCCCTCCCTCCGTAAAATTGTAGTAAATCATTAAAATTATTGTTATAGGTGAATTTAGTGCTTGACTTTTGGGGGAAAATGAATACATTATATTTGTAACTTGTCACATATTTATACACAAGCGTATAATCTTTGCACTTTTATTTTTAAGTGAGTTCATAATGTTAATCTATGTAATGTAGGCAATAATAATAATAATTCATGCGTGATATGTAAACAGCGAGGGACAAACGACAATAGTTATATAAATTCGTCGGAAAAACATAAAATATTTTTTAATCTCACTTTGTAAAGTTTGTTCGTATATCATATTACCAAATGAAGTTAGGTGCGTTTTGTTTGCAATAGTTGTTATTTCAGACAATACAGTGTGATTTTTTTTTTTTTTTTTTATCGTAGACCACAGATTATTATCTCCCAAGGATTTTTAGTAAATGTTATTTTGGTTTTTTTTTTTTTCAATCGTTATAGAAATATATTGTTTAATCATCTTCTATTTTCAAATATATATATTTCTTATTTCGTATGACCGTAAAGGGTGACGTTGCTCAGGAGTTTTGAATGGTTGGGGATTTAGTATATAATAATCATGATTCATCTATAAATCGTTGAATTTTCTTTTGTCACACCTAACTCGATAATGAGAATTTAAAAGTTGGATTTAAAAATGCCAATTTTTATTTAATGAATCAAACTTTTTTTATAGTAATTTAACTGAAATATTATATACGCGTAATTTCATGGTAAAATTATTACTATATACTCATAGTTTGTATTTTTATGCGAATGAGTGGGGAGAGGAAGTATAAAAACTCTAACTCTCTCCCTTCTGTACGCGTCACTGACCGTATACCATAAATATATATCGATTTTGACTTTCGATCTGAATATATTGATAGATAAAATTCGAATTAATCACATTTACAATTTATTTTTAACATTTGTCACATAATTATCAACCATTAATTATTATTCGTTTATTTCTTCGTTGAATTCATCAATATTTATTGTAATATTAGGATAAGTGGCGAATGGTATGGTTTCAATTTTCGGAATTACCTGGATGGACGAAAAAACAGATACAATTTTATTACGTCGTATAAATAAAATTATTTTTTTCTATATTATTACTGTAACCTAAACGTGTAACATTTATATTTTTCCTATGTATACCTACCTTAAAAGTAGGGTAAAGTAGGAATTGTTTTGTTCTTAGATTCATTCCTTTTGAATAACCGTTCCAATGATTTCCGGCTACTTCAATCTGATCGCCTACCTGTAAATCCATCTCTTCCGGTCCTTCGGCTTTGTGTGGTAAAATAGCGACATTTAGTCTGTGTATTTGATCATTGAAGTAATATGTGTCGTCTAAAGATGTAAACATAGCTGACGCGTCGGGTTTGACACTGTTCATTATTTCATAAGCTATTCGACAAACCTGAAAAGAGGATACAAATATATTTGACATGCAAATGTAATTTTATTTTTTATATTTTTCATATTCTAAATAAAGCGAGAAATATATTGGTTTTATTATAATATAACGTTAGCAACTTTTAAACCAGAAATCTTGACCATCGATTTCAGAGTTGGTTTTTGGTAGCAAATTTCGATTACGAGTAGTTGGTGCATTAAGTTTATTTTTTGAATTTTTTTTTTTTTTTTTGTAGATTTCTTAATAATTGGAGAAAAACGTGAATATTTACGAAATATGGTTTTCTTTTATTTTCAACTTTATTTATTATTTTGAAATTCAGTTAAAAATAATCGTAGGTTTAATAATTTAAATTTTGTAGCTACTGAAGTAAAATGTTTTTCCATAATACTTTCTATATTACTTAATAAGCTTATATCTTTATTGAAATCTGAAATTTTTCGATCGTATGTATTCGAAAATACATTTTTAAAATTTTTTTTAGAAAATCATTCAAATTGTAGCATTTCAAAACTTTTTTAACCGAACTTCGTTCAGAATCGTTTTTCGTTAATAATGAGTTATCATTGCGTAAAATTGTAAATTAAATTATATTTTGTATCCCACATTTCTCTTACAAAAGTAATCTACGTTAATAATAATAATAATATAATATTAGATAGGAAATTTATTATCAATTCGTAGTCCTCCGATCTAATCTAGAAAAATATTCTCTATTTAAATTTTTGTTCAAAAAGGGAGAGGGTTTCTATTTAAAAAGTAAAAGTATGTACTTATTTAAAGTAATGGAGTAGGGATAAAAAATTAAAAATGGTTTTAAAATAAAGCTTAAATGATTCCATAATGATTAGAAAAAAAAATTGAAATCAAATTCACTTAAAATTCTCCAAAATAATTGCTGTTTTATGATAAAAAAATTAATCTGTACATACACAGTGATTTTTTTAAGCATCTGATTGACAACTTGCATTAAAACATTTAGGTTTTTGTTTGAAAAATTAAAGTTGGTATTATTATAGACTACACTGTGTTATGACAAAAATTAAGACATTCGATGTTTATATTATATTTCGTATAGCATTTGAGCAGCATCAAAACGCATTTCCATATTTATAGTAATAATTATTTACAATAAAAGGTTTAACATGTAATAAGAAATTCGATATTATCGTTTCATTACATAAAAAAAAATTCAAAAATCAGAATTTAAATTATGTATAATTTTAACCATACAAATGGGGTGAGCATGCTTAAAAAATCATCTTATATATTATTATAAATATTTAAGAAAAATTAGGTAATGGGTGGATATGTATCCTGTTTCTTTCCCAATTGTTTGACCGCTTTTGCTACGCATAATCAATATCTTGAATTTTTTTTGTGTTAATTCTGATAGTTTTAATAATATTCCAAAAATTTAATTTTATACACATTGCAGCATATGAAATTTAATTGTTTGACTTTGTCGAACAATGAAAAAAAAAAGTTTTTACGTACATTTGATGAAAACGTACAGACCAGGTATTCGCAAGAAGCTAAAAAATGTATATCGATAAAAACATTCACTAACGAATTATCCGATTTACGTGCTTTCGGGATTCCAGTTTTAGATATTTCTGGGTCGCCAATTATTTCGTAGTCGGGATACCTGAAAAATATCAATGTTACGATTGTAGCACAAAAAATATGTTAATTGTGTTTAAATATTTTATTTCACTTGAGTTTAGCTTCATCGAAAACTTGTGGTTCATCCGTAGCTAAGTAAATTCGTTTCTCACACGGCCTGCCGTCGTACAGTTCTTTGATTTTGTAATATTCTCCTACGTGGTACATGTATTCGTCTAGGTTGTGTAACGCGGCTTCCGATTTAATTTTGTCTGTTCGTCGGACATGAACTCTGCAGACGATATAAAGACCATAATATGTTATATCAACAATTTCATACGAAAATCGCAGAACATCAGATGAAAATTAGCTGTACTTACCCGACACATGGTGTACGGAATTTGATGCGTTCGGCATATGCTGTGATTTTGTCACTAATTGATTTTTGAGGCCGGAGCATGTACTTCAAAAACTGACCTATCCACCAAACGCCGGGGTCACCGTGCAAGACGTTTATTCTCGTAGCCAAATCTTCTGGAAGTATAAGTGGGATGAATGGAGGTCTTGCACGATTACTGTCATTCACGGTGATTAATGGTAGGACGAGCGTTAATACTTGAGTGTTTGGTTCGTCTGAAAAACACAGACGGTAAGACGCTGAACAACACGTTTCGAAGCGAATACCTACGCGTCGAATTTCTCGGCCAAGGGGCGACTGTTTTGCCTTCCACCGACTCGCAAGTATCACTCAGTGGCAAAAACAAGGTGTTCCACCCTCCGCTAGTAAACTCCCAGGCATCATGATTATACATGACCATTGTCCGTCCAGAACCGTAGGCCGTAACCATACAGTTGAGCAGATGATGTAATCGACAACCAAATGCATACCAATCATTCTAAAAACACGAAAATAGCATGTAATGTTTGTGAAAATTGGTTTAAGCTACAAAATTAATTTTGACTACAAAATAGAAACATGATTTTTTGGAAAAAAATTACACATTTTTGTTTTGGCTAATAAATTTTAAACCATTTTCGAATTAATGCCTTACGAACGCCACATATGTTATACAGTTAATTGATTAAGAAATAATGAAATTATCAAATTATTGTAAGCTCATAAAAACTAAACAATCCTAAAAAAATGAGTGTTTTTTGATTGATAGTTTAATTATAAGTAAATCATAAGTAAACAATGAAATGATAATTTATTTATCCAAAACTCACAGTGTCGAATTGGCATACGACTTTTTGCGCATTGGAACAGTCCGGTGGATTTTGTACGTATTTCAACCTCTTTTCGATTAAAGCACTTAAATAATTGTGTTCTTGTTGTCGCCACCGAGCATGTCCATCAACATCGGCCAGTTTTATCACATTGGTTATTAATGATCTATAATGTTCGTCGATCATGTTTCTCGTTTTCTCAACATAACTTACGTTTTTGAACTCTTTGTTCAACTCTCTCCATTTGGAACTCACGTAATACCAAAATTCTTTTGTGTTCAATAATATACGTCGTCGCAGCAGTTCATATTCTTCGGGTGGTCCTTTAAGTTTGTTCTTTTTAGTTTTCTGTTAAAATGTTTTTTTTTTTTTTTATTATTAAGATTAGTTATTATGCAATCGTTTATAAATTTATTGTTATAATGCTCAAATTTTTTCAGCTTTGATATTTTTGTGTTCATGTTTATTTTTTTAAATTCATTATGTTTATAAGATATTTATAAGTAAGTTACGTATGTTGTGGTATAGTAGAATGGGCTATCAAAGTAAATCCTATGTTGCTCCCATAGTGCTGTTATCTGTTTCACTGCTGACCGGATGCTAATCTAACTGATTCACTGCTATACTATACCGATATGACACCAACAAACCGATTTGTTTCATTATTAAAAAAAAACCTGAACAATCCCCTTTAAATTTTAGATTATAAATCCGGCGTCGATACGGTCGGTAACAAGTCGGTTAGCGGTGAATCGGTTCAGTGGAAAAATGTTTGGTAGTAAATTGGCCCATCAGCAAAACGATCAACAGCGAAATTTCCTAGACCTATTTTCCTTATTTTATAAAATTATTTTAAAATAATATCATTATGTATAAATAATATAAAATAATTACATTAAATGGTATTTTCAAATAAGATATAAGTATTAAAGTAAATAATGTGATAAAATATGATTAAAATATCAAAAAAACTTGTTTTCTATAGTGATATAAACGGTTTTTAACATTGGATAATTGGATACATATACGAGAATGTTGTCACTTGCCTAGACTCATCCGAAGGAATCGTATGTTCTTCATTTAAAATAACTGATTCGTATACGGGTAATTTTTTAAAAGACGTCCTAGGATAATGGGGACAGGTGCAGCCACTGTTATAGATAATTTAATGTACATGTAAGCAACGATAAACTATTGTTTACGAAAAACCGATTCTGAGTGGAGTTCAGTTGATAGTGATGCTTTGTGAACACTATATATGTCATATTATATTAAAATAATTAAATAGGCTCTATATATTTTTTTCAATAATATTTGTTTAATTTCGTACCGATTTTCTTAGTTTTCCTATATTTTACCCGGTTTCCCATGTTTTATCTCGGTTTTCATATTTGCTGGGAAAACTCTTGGGGAAATCGAAAAATGATCTGTTTAAAGTACTTCCCCAGTGAAATTTTCTTTTAGAAAAATCGCTATTATTATAAATTGGAGTAAAATTGCTAATAGAAAAGTTGTGCACATGGAAAAAAAATCGTAATATTTTAGTAATATATTTCGTACATTTTCCCGTTTTTTTTTCTGTTTTTCAAATTTAATAAGAAAACTCCCCGAAAAGGTGCTGCACTTAAAAATTTAAGCAAGTCTTCTAGTAGAAAAGTTGCGCACAGATAAAAAAAAAAATAAACATTTTTGTAAAACCATGGGTTTCTTCGCTCCACTCAGAATCTAAAATACGACTTTCTTATCTTGTGAAAGCAGCAGTCTCCGTATACAGATCCTATTCATATAAGTTTAAGAATAATGCCCCAGATAAAAATCATCCCTAGAACTAAGTATTTGTGGAGTATTAGCATATAGCATATGACCAATTTTTGAGATACGAGAACCCGAAAAAATTGATGTAAGTTAATTTTCTTTGGCGAACGCGTTCGAAGATGAGAAGAAATGTTCAATAAAATGTATGCGTATAGAAAATCTTAATCTGGTGTTTGCCATATTTTGTTAAATTTACTTGTGATTCATGAACGTTTTACCATATAAAATAATGCATTTTAATGCTCGATTTTGATTTAGTTTTTACTACTATGGTATTTATTTAAATTTTTAAGCCTCTGTTGTACAAATCTAATTTAATTGAATATTCTAATTTATTGTTAAAAAAAAAAAAAGTACGTATACTTATTAATAAATTTTAAAAAGCTATTAAGTTTGTTGCTAACACAATTGCAAATAAACATTATGAATAACAATCAAAATAATGTTTTATATATTTATAAAAACAGAACTTATTAAAAAAAAAAAAACATTATAATTTATTAATATTGAATATGTCAAGAATACTTGTTGTTTTTCGTTGACTTTGAGCCTATAAACATAAAATATAAATTTGTTATTATATTAACACAAAATGAGTATTTTAAATATTTACTCTAAAGAGTTGGAAGATTCTACATATTTTTACTTTTTATTTTAACCATTTTACGATGCAATACGAGATAATTCATCACGGTTAGTTTTCTACCAAAAATATTATTCCAGTAGGAAAACAACATGAGACTTTTTTTGTTTCATTTTTGTTCTAGTAGATGACTAAGTAATTTTTGATTATCTTGGTAGGTTTTTTAAATAATTAAGCAAAGTTGAAAAAAAAACGTAGAAATAACAGGAAAATTTACGAAAATAATTCTTTTATTATTTTCAATTTTGATTTTTTAATGTTATTCTGTACTTGATAATATTATAGAAAACTTATATTTGTTTTTCTAGACATAGTGAAATTTGTAAAACAATTGAGTCATTTTTGAGCTATTTATAAACATTTAAATTTTGCGAGTTTTTTTACGTTATTTTTATTTTTTGGATACTTAGTAGATAAAATTGTTTGAATAAACAGAAATGGTTGAAAATTTAACAGAAGATTCATTATAGGTCAAAACTTAGTGATAAAAAAAAAAAATTTAGTAGGTATAATGTACATTTTTATAAGTTTTATTAACATACAATTTTGACGAAAACCGTAAATATTACGGCCTTTAAAAACATAGTAGTAGTATTAGTTGTATTTCTTCTCTTATAGCCAATTATCAATGTAACCCAGAAATTAAAAAAATCAAATAACAAATTTATCGTTTCTCCTAATCATTAAGAACGAATACAACGAATATCAAAAAAATGACCTCCGTAATGCAATAGCTAGATCCAAAATTGGACAAGTTTCTATAAAGAAATGTTTGATTAGCACAAGATTTATTAGACAATCCGTACACAGATCACAAAGAAAAAAAAGACGGACATACTTTGAACAATAGTGGGCCCAGGGACCTGCCTAGTAGGGTGCAAGAGGTGCCCACGCACCAGGTTTTATGACCATATGGCCAATACAAATTATTAAAGTTCTGTAATTGAGCGTATGAGTAAATTTCCAATGGATAGGTTTTCTTTTTTTTGCTTAACGGTAAATTTTTCTGGCATAGGGTGCCGCTGATTTTGCTAGGCACGGCACTGGATGAGCCATTATTGTAGGTTAAAAGTGTGGAAGGTAAGATGGGAATTTAATGTATCTGTACAGAACGAAAAAAACGGAAAATAATATAAGAAATAAAGATATTAATTAAAATATATTACGGCTTTTTTTTGCTGTGAACAACTTTTCTACCAGGAATTTTGCTCGAACTTTTAATGATATCAATGTTTCTAAAAGGAATTTTTACTTTTCGATTTTATCGGGAGTTTTCCTAGTAAATGTGAAAAACCGTGATAAAACATGGGAAAACCGGGATAAACATAGGAAAATTGGGAAAATCGGTATAACATTAAAGAAATAGTATTAAAACAAATATATAAAGCCTATTTAATTGTTTTACTATAAAATAACATATACCAGGTGATTCATTTAAATGGGTACACTATACTCATTATCTCAGAAAGCATTAACTTTTTCCAGAATTTGTTTTCTAGAACATTTATGAAATAAGCTGCTCTGCAATATTATTTTTATTTTATTTTTTATCACCCTTATTTTTGGAGGTGAAACCACCACTTACTTTTGATTTTTAAATGGCAACCTATATTAAAAATCCCATAAATAGATGGAATATTAGTTAAAATAAATTTTAGTGTTGAAACGTTTGATTTCTGTTAAGTCGTTTACGAAATATTCCACTTTTAATTTTAGATTGGAGGAAAGTAGTGGTGCTCCACTACTCTCCTCAAACCTAAACTTAATAGTGGAGTATCTCGTAAACTGATCAACGGTTAGATAAACTAATGGAATTTTTAATTTAGGTTGCCATTTGAAAATCAAAAGTAGGTAGTGATTTTATTTCCAAAAAAGAGGGTGACAAAAAATAACATTAATATAAAATTGTAGAATTGTTTGTTTCTTAAATTTTCAATAAAACAAAAACCAAAATAAATTAATATTTTCCAAGATAATGAGTCCACTTAAATGAATTACCCGGTATATTGTTAACAAAGCATCATTATCAACTGAATACCACTCAGAATCGTTTTTTCGTAAACAATGGTTTATCGTTGCTTACAGGTACATTAAATTATCTATAACTGTATGTGCACTCGTTTCTATTATCCTAGGACGTCTTTTTTTTTTTGAGCTCTAAGTATGACTTATAAATTATAATAAACCACCTATTGGATTTTTAAGCATTTCTGTTTGGTCATAGAATTTTATCCATAGAGTATCTATCGAATAATAATTAAATATGTAAAACACATGCAAAATTAAAATATCTACAAATACCTAGTTCAAAAATGGCTCAAATATTTTGAAAATTTAACCATTTCTTCTAGAAAATGCAATACATGTCTTGCTGTGATCAAAATCTAAAAACACATAGTAAAACCAATAAATCCCTCGCTACACTCAGGATCCAAATTAAAAAAAAAAGCGATATTTTTATAACGAACCTATGTGATGGGTACTCATAGCTCGATGTTAAATGCATCATATCGTAATTTTAAATATTCTAAACATTCATATAGTTAACGTTTAAACGACAGAAAAATTAATATGTTATACATTACTTTTCACTAAGGACGATCACTTGTTGTTTTAGTTCAGCGTTTTCATCGAGAACTTTAGTAAGTTCACACAGAGCTTCGTTTAGCGTTTGATTTAAACTATCGATATTGATGTATTTTTGCTTCCGTTCTTGGTGGACGGTCATCGCGAAAAATACTATCCACGAAAATACCGCTAAACTAAAGATACGAAGCCAAAACAGACCCCTTCTCATTTTTCACGTTATCGCGGTTACTGTTGACATATTATTTTTGTTGATATTAAACAACGACAAAAAATAAAAAAAAGGTTATTATTGTTAAAAGGATCTATTGAAAAAAAAAAAGAACTATATTGGACCGTATACGAAAGTAAATTATAATAATATACTCTATTGTTCATGACCGGTTTTTAAAATGAAAATATATTTAGATTTTGAAACAATAATATTGTTTTTATTACTTTTCGAATATTATTCTACTTCATAGTGACTTTTTGTCATAAAAACCTACCTGAATATAATATTAATTATACAAATAAAAAATAAAATCTATGCTGTAATTCAAAACGTCTATAAAATAATGATATTTTGTACACAACACTATATCATTAGTAAGTAATTATTTCTATGAACGTCGTCTAGGATGTATTGTCAGGTTTTTTATTTTTTGGAATTGATTTTATATCTACCATTTAACAAATACCCAATAACACGTCAATTATAATGAAGTTGACACCGAGTGTAACGCACCACGTGTGTAAATAATTCGCGACATGAATCGAATGCGTCCCCCATAGAATTTATCGAAAAACCGCGGCTTATTGTTTAATTTCTACAAAAAAATTATAATCGTTTGTATAATATCTATTAAAGTCACGTTTGGGAAATAAATCCTATAATTCATATTTCATAACGAGAGTGGGTCACGAGCCGTCGTCGCGTGTTCGTATCATATAATATAATATGGGATGTTTAAAAAACGTAAGACGCACTCATTTTCTCGAAAATTACGAAATTAACTTTTTTTTTTTTAGGAAAATTTAAGAAACAAGCAGTTATAAAATGATTAAAAGTTTTTTAAAATGATATTTCACTTTTTAGTTTACCATTTTGTTGGTGGAGAAAGAGCAGCATATGAAATTTTTGATAGAGCTGGTTACCATTTGAAAACTCAAATGTGACAGTGGTTTCATCCCTAAACATAAGAGTGACAATAAATAATGGTAATATAACACTTTAGAGCTGCTCGTTTTTTAAATTTTGTTTAAAAAAGAAAGTTAATACTTTCAGATGAGTCTCTTATGTTATAATGGTCACTAATATTTATCGAGAAATTCAAAATATTACAATGGTATTTCGTCTAAAAATTGATAGGTTCAATTTGCTCGGTAGATTTAGGTACTAGTCTTTGACATTGGTACATCTGTAGCATACTTAATACATAGTATACAAATATCGACCAATTTAAATTTTAAAAACATAACCTAACCTAACCGTCCGTAAGCATTTTCCCATACCATACATTATTGTATCGCAATAGGTCGTTTCTGTTTGATCAAATCTCAGTTGTTCCAGTATCATAGCCAGCGGGCAGGCTTATCCGCTTTTATCTAAAAATTAACATAATTTTAAAATCATAAATATATATTAGTAGTCTTTCTCATTTAAACATTTATATTATTTTATCTGGCCTCCGTAGACAAATATTTCTAACTACATAACAAAAAATGGAACTTAAACATGTTTAATGTCCACCATGGGTATTTATTATAATATATTTAGTGTATTAGTATTCATATTATATAGTATTTATATTTACTATAAAAAATTAGAATTGGAAGCCTGGACCAGAAAAACTGATATTTTTGTTAAAGTAAACCTGTGATAATATATGTTTATTGCTTATAAATTCAATAATTTTCATAATGTGTTAAAATTATTTACAATCAATCAATATTTTTTACATTCATACGTTCTATAATTTAACTGCCAGGTATATTATTTATTTATTATGAAATAAAATATAAATAATAGTCTTTGCCTAGTCCTAGTGAATAATAATAATAATAATGATAAAATAATTACCGCTTTTACCTATACCACTTTTGTTTGTTTTTAATAGTTCACATTTGCATATATTATTAATTTTAATGTAACAGTAAAAAGCTTTTATATATTTCTTTATAATTGCAACATTTATTCAGATATTAAATGGATACGAATACATTAAATGAGATACATAAAATTACAGTCAATTTGTTCATAAGTAAAATATCGATATGGGGTAATAAATACCTAATAAATAGGTACGATAAAATATTGTACTTGTATCGCACTTGAATCATCAATTGAAAAACAGAAGCATTTCCAAGGACTATTTAAAAAAACATAGATGATGGAAATTTGATGGAATTTTTTTTGGTAGGGTATTTGTGCTTATTCATACAATTACAAATTTCAGCTAAACTATGGATAATTTTGAAGAAGTTAATAAGCCACCCCCTCAATTTTCGTATATGCATAAAATGCGATGGTGACTGGACGATATTTATATTCATCAATAGCCAGTTTTTTGATTCTACGTAATATGTCGTTAAAAACAATATACTAACGATATTAGAAATATAATGTGCGTCGTTTTATTAAAATGTAAATAGGTACCTACTTAAAAAATATTATACAATCTAGTAGTTGGCGTTAACGGTTATCGCGTTTTAAATTGTAGGTAGGTATCTGTCTACCGTGGTTACAAAATAACACGAGAACTCGTTTAACAACGGATTTGTACGTAAAAATATTCGAGTATTACAATATAATTATTGCTTCACCTCGTTTCGTTTAATATTAATTTATCCTTCCGCCGAGGAGGTGTTACTAAAAACTTACTAATTTGATATTAATACTTATAATATAGGTAGGTTATGAAAAAATTGTGCGGTCGGTATATAATTCGGGAGGTCATTACAATAATACATTTATTTATATTATTTTGTTTCAGTTGGCAGTTTGGCCATTATTAAGTTATACACGGGTCTTATTATCAATTTAAATATCTGTCATCGCCAATTAAATTGGTAGGCAGGTAAGTACTTGAAACGAACAAATTAATATATTATTATCTTAGCTCTATGAAGGTACTTATTTAATAAAAAAAAAAAAAAAACAAAACAAAACGCAAAAGTTATTTTAGATTAATACTCAATGGAATATCATATAATACGAATAAATTGTAATTTACGATGTTGTCACAAAATGATGATTTATGATTTTTTATTATCATTAAGTATAATATTCTTCTTTTTTTTTTTGATTTTTGTGTAACGACGATGATTAATAAAATGTCCGATAAAGATAATTCAATTTGATTCGTTGTTTTTCAATACATCAACGCGCAGCGCATCACTGTTCATAGTAACATTAGGATAAGTGGCAAAATGTAACGCTTGCAGTTTTGGAATTGCCTAGAAGAACAAAATAAAATACGTTTATCAAATGTATAACAATCGCTTATAATAATAAGTATTATACATATATGCATTACAGATTGCTCGTACCTTAAAAGTAGGATAGAGTAAAAATTGTTTTGTTCTTATATTTGTTCCCTTTGAAAAACCGCCCCAACGATTCCCGGCGACTTCGATCTGATCGCCGACTCGTAGGTCCATCTCTTCCAATCCGTTTGCGCTATGAGGCAATATAGCGACGTGCAGTTTTCGGTTGCTATAATATTGTGATGTATAGCCCAGCGGTTTGAAAAGAGCGGAGGCGTCTGAGGGTCGGAAACCGTTCATTATTTCATAAGCCAAACGACACGCCTGCGAATAGAATTAGATAATAATTACGTCTATTGTACTTAATATTTGAGTGATATACACTTGTAAATTTTAAAATAAACACGGCATGGTATAATATATTTATCCTTGAAAAATAAAACTGAATCAATTAATATAATATATTTGATATGTGTATACCTACTGGATAATAAGATCACCGAAATTCGAAAAGGTCAATGTAATTTGGTATCCACACTTGTTTAAATTAAATCTTGCGAAATGATTAATTTGTTTTTATTTTAGTTTTCAAATTTAGACAATTCAATTTATGTAAACTACGCGTTAAAATAAAAATCTGGAATGCACAATTTTGGAATCAAGAATTTAATTTACGGACATCGAAATCTGTCATTTATATATTTAAGACTTGTATGCATACTAGATTTTTACGCGCTTCCAAAATACACATTAAGATTAAAATATTAAACATTCACTTTAAAAACATAATTGTACAAAAATAAAAAAAAAAAATGGTCGCCAGCGTGGCGTATGATTGTAAAAGACAAGCAAAAAGTTTAAATTTTAAATAAATATATTTTATCAATTTAACCTGATCTCAGTGGGTATATAATATGAATTTCCTTAACTTTTAGATTCCTTGGATTTCGAGTTCTCAAGACTTAACTGTACCTACCTACCATACATTAATGTTAATAAATATAGGAGATTTTATGATTAATAACAAACAATTTATTATTCTGCTGATATAACTCGATACGTACGTTAGACGAAAAAGTACAGACTAAGTAGTCGGAGAGGGATAACAAATGTACGTCTATGATGGCATTCATTATAGAATCATCCGGGTCAATTGGGTTTTCGGGAGTTCTGGTTTTACGGAACATGGCCGGATCGCCGATTATTGTATATTCGGGATATCTAAAAAAAATCTCGTTATTGTTAAAGTCATGTAAAAATACTTAAAAAAAAGCTAATATTGGAGATGGGAGCGGTCACTGTTGTAGGTGAAAATTTGGGAAGGTAGGATACATAAGGTTATTTCATTTATATCCGTAAGCAACGATAAACGAAAGACGATTCCGAGCGCAGTTCGGTAATACATAATTTAAAGTGCCATAATTTTTTTTTGCGATTTTCATTTAAATTTTATTTCAAAACGCTTATTAAAAAAAAATATCCGCCCGATGATTTTGGTCTAATATAAGTATTACTACCAATTTTCAAGTCGACGTGTATTTATAATCAAATTACAGTATAAAAACTCCCAAAAATTAAATTTTCTTAAAATCTCAAAAGTGGCTCAAAAGTTTTGGCAATAGTATCGTGAGAAATTAAATCAATAAGGCAACAAAAAAGGTATCTTGTGATTTTTCGATTAAATCATTTTTTCTGGTAGAAAACGTCGTCCGTATTTTTATAAAATAATGAAATCGTGAAATTGTACGTTTTCCCACTTAAATGCTTTTATTTAAAAATGACATCGAAAATTAAAAAATGATAACTTTAAAGTATCATCTAGACAACTTGAGCTTTCAGAAACGTTGCTACACATAAAAATTGGAGCAAATTTACCAGAAAAAACGTGTCCATAAACTAGAACCACGAAAAATAATAATAAACAGCTTTGTAAAACCAATAGCTCCCTCACTACGCTCGGAATTTAAAATTTGTAATATTTTTTTTTACTTGCTTAAGTTTGGCTATGTTGAATACTTCAGGTTCGTTTGTACTTAAATAAATTCGTCTCTCAAATAGTTTACTTGAGTTCAGTTCTTTGAGTTTATAATATTTTTCGACGTGATACATGTATTCACTTAATTCGTGTAGAGTGACGTCTGCATCGATTAGATCGGTTTGTTTTATATGAACTCTGAAAACGAATATGTGTTATTTGTGCCAGGCATGGATTCAGGTGCTGGGGGGTGGGTCGTAGAAGCCGCGGTATCTCAGCTTTCCGCCTGTCTTTTTTTCTCTGAATCACTGGCATAATTAACGGCTCAGTCCTAAAGGTTTTCTATTTTTCTAAAATAATAATTTTAATTACACATTTTTACCCTTAGAGGAGTGAAATGTGGGTTTGTTCAAGAATATCAAAGAAAAGGTGGTCGAATTTGTGTTAACTCAACGTACATTGAGAAATTTATATTTCTAATGAAATTGACACAATTTTGAGAACACTCAAGGACAGCCAAGTGGGAGATTAGGTCAAGACCTGGAAGTTTAGGATGGGGTGGCTGACTCCAAATATGCAAAGGAAAACGAAGGTAAAGAAAAATGAAATTGACAACATTTTAGATGACTTTACTAAAACCTAAGATAGAAGAGTTGAACTTTAGTATAAATTTCTTTTTAACCTAGAGTCTCGCCTGATTTGAGTATCTGTTTTATTTAAACTGGAGGCAAACAACATGTTTAATGGACTGTTCAAATGAATTATAAACCTATATTCGATTACATTTCGATGTCAAATAATCTTTTACCCGACACACGGTTTTTGGAATTTGACGCGATTGATGTACGCGTTGTATTTGTCGACGGTAGATTTTCGTGCCCGAAATATGTACTTGAGAAATTGGCCCTTCCACCAGGTTACCGGGTCTCCATGTAAGACGTTTATTCTCGTGGCCAAGTCTTCAGGTAGTACTTGTGGGAATAATGGAGGTTTCTGATGGCTATCATAGTTATCCATGGGCAGGTTAAGTGTTACTACTTGAGTGCTTTTGTCACCTAAAAACATAATATTTTGATGATGTTTTGAATAAGTAAATAGGGATCGGCTTACGGGGTCGCTTATTAACGTTAACTACTTAAAACGAGTCGTAGGCATAAATGGTATTCTCTGATTGGCTTTACAACTTATCACAAATTTATATTATCATTAATATGATTTCAATGATAATATTAATAAACATGCTATTCTGTTAAGTATTTTTTACTATTGGTACAAGTTTGATACTGTTTCAAGGAAGTTATAGTGTCATAAGTGTTAACCTTAAACCTAATCTATAAAAATCACTACGGGATTAAATAAAGTATGGAAAAAACGCAACGAATTTGGTCTATAATCGTTGGTTCGAACCCGACAATGTTGAATATTACTATCAGAAAGTACTTTGTTGAGTTTAGAGTTGCATGATAATGCATCTATATAAAACGAACAACGGCATATCTGGACAATCAGATGATTCCATTTGTAACCATGACTCGTTTAGTAGGGAACGTTAATACACTACCTGGCCAAGGGGAGACCGTTTCTCCATCCGCCGATTCGCAAGTGTCGCTCAAAGGCAAAAATAACGCATTCCATTCGTCGCTGGTAAAGTTCCAACTCTGTGGGTCGTCCATGACCATCGTTCGTCCGGTAGCATAAGCCACGATCATGCAGTCAACCAGATGATGTAACCGGCACTCAAATCCACACCGATTTTTCTATAAGGAATAATATTTCGGATTCTGAGTGAAGTGATGAATGTATTAGTTTTACAATGATGTTTATTTTTTTTTGCGAAAAACTTTTCTACCAGTAATTTTTCTTCATTTTTTAAGTTTAGCATCTTTTCTGAAATTAAATTTTGTCTGGATGGTATTTTCTAGGAGGTTAGTTTTTGATCTTCAAGCAATTTTCATGATAGTTGAGAAAAACTAGGAAAAAACTTAGGAAAACCGGAACATTTACAAAATGTGTTATTTTTAAAATGTAAATACTCGTATTACGGCCTTTTCAAATTTGTATAATTGAACTTCATTCTGATCCTTTTTCGTTAGGTGGCAAAGATTAATTGTTGTGTACAGATATACATTAAATTTAAAAGGATTTGCGTTTAGGTCATTTTTACGAAATTGTTGGCAAAAATGAAAATTATTTTACTCAAAAATATTCAAATTCACTTTAAAATAAATTTAAAAGAGGCCGTGTTGTTATCATAAGTACCTATTTATTGTGTAATCATGAACCTAACCTAACCTAACCTAACCTAACTAAAATATTTATTATTACAAAAACCGTTTCACGCAAGACTTTTTACTTTTTTCATATTTATAGTAAACTAGTTGTCTCAATTGACTTGTGAAATAAATTGGTTTCTCCCCATGTCCTTATTAATAATAAATATTTTTAGTTTATATTTTATCCGGATCATCAGTTGTACGCCAACGCTTTAATCACAATTATCCATCGTATCATGTTGACCGTATCAAATTAAATGCCTATGGTAACTCTCTACTCTCGATTTAATGATTAGTTTCAGATGTAGTCCAAGTCCAAGATTATCATTTTCATATTTGTGTATATAGGTTACACAAAAACAAATTTTAGAATAGATTATATAGGAAAGAACTTTATCTAAGTCGTATTATGCTCAATTTTTTTAATAACATTACCCACTATTTTTTGAAGGGTAAATTTAAAAAACTAAAAAAAAAAAACAAACCAGAAAGTTTACAAACAAGTATGATATAACTCTAAAATTGTATTAATCTAAGAAAAAAATAAACAGATTGATAAAGTTCATTACGTGTTCTGAAATGTTTGTAACATTTTATTGACTATATAAATGTGGTGCTAACTAATTTTCCAGTACCAAAACCATTTTACAGTCAAATAATGGCTAGTATAATATCTTCTTAAAAATTATCAGATATCTGTTAATACTCTGTGTCAGCGCATTTTTTGGCTCAAAAACATGCGAGTAAAATGTCTTATGCTTATGCTCTTAGAATGGTCCGATTTCGAAGATTATTTTTTTTTGGAAAAAAGGAAAATCTTTTAAAGACTGCATTGAACTTTGTTTTTCAATATTTTCATCTCAAACTTAATAATATTATTATTATTTTAATTAATCTATATTATTATTTGGAATTAAATTAATAATCTGAGTTCAATATAATCAGTATAATGTTGTTTATCAATAAAAAAAAAAAAATGGTAACAAAATATTATATTAACAATAAGTTATCCTTTTTCCTATGAAGTCATTTCTGTCCTTTAACCTTTAACCAGCCTATATCTTACTCGTAAGTGGGTATCAGGCAGTATAATAATGAAAAAGTCTTATCTTTAAGGTGGTCAGTTAAATTTCAAAAATAATTGTCAATTTTTTTAAAATTGGACCATATGTGAAAAATTGGCACCAGTTTTTCTTAAGTGTTTTTAACGACATTCTTGAATGCGTTCGAAAATTAAACAACTTACTCGACTAATCTAACCTAACCCTATTTTGGTTTTATTCAAGACATTTGAGTTTTGAATCCTCGCTATCATTCAGTAACAGAGTTGTTAACTTCGGGTTAACTCAACTTACCAAAGATAAATAGGTAAGTTTTTATAGCTCTATTGATAAAGATACCTATCATATATTAGTGATTACAGACCCATAAATTTTGACTAACGATCTTTCAAACGCAATCTAAATGTTCAGCGGAACGTGATCATTTTTTTACGAAACTCACACTGACGAATCGGCACGCGAGTTTTTTTGCCTTCGAACAATCTGGCGGATTCTGCAAGTACATCAATCTCCGTTCGATCAAATCGCTTAAATATTGATGCTCACGTTGTCGCCACTGATCGTGTCCGTCAACTTCGGCCAGTTTAGCAACATCGGTTATCAATGATCTAAAATGTTCGTCCGTTATTTTTATCATTTTCTGTGCGCAACTCAAGTTTTTAACTTCTCCGACCAACAGTTTCAATTCGGCATTTACGTAATACCAAAATTCATTCGTGTTCGAATAAATACGCCGACGTAATAGTTCGTATTTTTCGGATGGTTCTTTCGGCCCGGTTTTGTTGGAATTCTGTTAAAATGATATTTTCATCATAATATTAATTTTATTATTATCATTATGTATTTCCAACGTTTTATTATATATTTTTTTTTTTTATCGACAGTTCAGTGTGAATGTAGGTACATACTTGTGTTCTGAGGTATTCTAATCTGAAAATAATAAAATATACTATTATTATCATTGTATGCTCATACGATAGTGACACAGAAGAAACATTTTCAACTAGGTATTAAAAAAAGCAAATAAATTGTTTTTGATCTAATTTATAGTCCCTACGAACATTTTTAACTTCATCTAAGATAATGGGGATGGGTGCAGCCATTTTTATAAATAATTTATGTACACCTGTAAGCAACGATAAACCATTGGTTACGAAAAAACTATTCTGAGCGGTGTTGAGTTGATAGTGATGCTTTGTCAACAATATATATGTTATTTTATAGTAAAATAATTAAATATGCTTTATATATTTTCTTTAATAATATTTCTTTAATGTTGTACCGATCTTCCCAATATTTTTACGTTTTCCCAGTTTCCCAATGTTTTTTCCCAGTGGTTTACATTTGCTGGGATACTCTTGAAAAAATCGAAGAATTACCTGTTTAAAGCACCTCCCTAGTGAAATTTCTAAAACATTACTATCATTAAAAATTGAAGCAAAATTTCTGGTAGAAAAGTTGTCCACAGAAAAAAAGAAGGCCGTAATATATTTCAACTAATACCAACATTTCTTATATTTTTCCGTTTTTATACAGTCTTTCAAATTTTATGAGAAAACTCCTAAGAAAATCGAAAAATGGCCTCCCTAAAGTACCTACCATACACCAATTTCTTTTCAGAAGAGGTGCTATACTTAAAAATCTGAGCAAGTCTTCTGATAGAAAAGTTGTTCACACAAAAAAAAAAATAAACATCTCTTTAAAATTATAAGCTTCTTTGCTCCACTCATAATATAAAAGTATGCCAGGAAAATCCAACTGGCTACTAGGTAGGCCAAAGTTTCGTTTTAAAGATTATATTATATAAAGTAGGATTTTTCAAGAATCTTAGGAGAGGAATAAGGAAATTTATACTGGAAGGTGGTATAGTGAACAGAGAAGACTGGAAGCGACTTTGTTCGGCAGGATGGTCTCAACGGCTGTGATATAAAAAATAAACTTATAACAACATGTTGAGTTTGTATAAAAATAAAGTATCAGAAATTATACTGTATGAGCCAAATTTAAAAAATATTAATTATGACATTTTATAACATATAATACGTATATGTAGAACTTCTAAACCTTATATTATGAGTATATTTAATTTTCATCTAACTACTATAATATTATTAGAATGAAGAAGTATAATACTTTTTACGCAAATCGATAACTCGTCGACTTAGTGCGGTGTTGTTGTCATGCAACTCGGCGATATCGAGAAATGCGTCTGTTAACGTTTGGTTCAGCCGATTTTCTTCAGTCAAATTGTTATGTTTCGGATCGTCACTCGTATTGTTTATGTTTACTATCAGATAAACGGCCCACAACAAAGCGAAAAAACAAAAACCCTGCAGCCACGACAACTGTCTCCTCATTTTGTTCAGTAATAACACGTAGAAGTTTCTTTTAAACGTTATAGGTAACACTCGAAAGAATATATTTTGTTGTTGTTGATATGGCACTCAGTATCACGCTGAAAGAATCTATTAACAAAATATGTTTTTTATAAAAAAGTACTTCAACATATCTGCTTAAATTAGTTGAAACTTAATGTAAACACGATGATGCTGTATACTTAATAATAATAATAAAACAAAATAAAAAATAAAAAATTCTTAAATTTTGACAACTGCAATTTTCAAACAGATATTTTTGTCTATTAATATTTTAGGAGGAATATTTTATTAGCATATAAACTGTCCGTAATTTATATTTTAGCCGTTAAAAACAAACCTAGGGTTATAGGTGCGTTAATGAAGGCCTAATTTACAAGTGTAAATAAAAATATATTTTATAATAATTAATCGCCACATGTGCAAATAAATAAATTAAATCGTTAAATCGTTTGGTGGTTACCGCGTGTACGTACTAATATTATATTATACTTTGTTATCACATATCGTATTTGATTACGGTTCCGTTTTATTACGAAACGATAAATAAAAAACTGATTACAACATAATATTATTTCCTGGGTATAATAATAGTATTCTAAAGTAGTAAGCTACATTATGAATATTTTCTTGTATGTTTATCAGTATGCGCTCTATTTCTCATACGGTTGAGAATTTAGAATGCGGTTTTCATCAAACGATTAGTTAGGCTTTACAAATGATCCTTGTTGATTTTCAGTCCAATCGGTGAAAACAGTTCCAACGACATGTGTTGTTTTACTCGCCAGGAGCTTGCTCCGATTTGCATAGGTTTATTTTGATAATGTCATTTTTAAATTTTATACTTGATAATGTCGATGTGTAGCGTGTACTTTATATATTAACTTTCGCTATTATTACGCATTCCATTTAGACAAGTACACCTGTTCACCATTAAAAGGTTTCACCTCAATGAAACCACCAGCAGGTATGATAATACCATCGAATCTAATTTTGGGAAAAAAATTAATTTTCCAGTTTGCGAGTAGCGATTTTAGATAAATAACACAATTTGTTAAATTATATAAATATTGTTTTTGTTCTTCTTGTTTAGTCAGAACAGGGTTAAAATCTTTGATCCGTTTGATGCTCCTTTCTTCCAAATCATTTACATACAACTTTCAGCTATTGGCACTTTAAAAGTATATTATATTTTTATGTTTATAAAGAATTTGAACTAAATATTATTATATAGACACAAATATCGCCATATGTTGCGAATCATACGTCTATTATAATTATTTGACGATTGGACATACATTGGACGATAAAGTACAAACTAAATGATCACAACGCAATAGTAAATATAATTCGCTAATGATATTCATCAGTGGAATTTCTGATTCGCGGACATCAGGTATTGCAGATTTCGATATATTTGGATCACAAATTATTTCGCATTCTCGATATTTGGAAAAAAGAGTATAATTATTTTTTTGTTATCGGTATGTCTTATAAGGGTCGAATATTATTTCGATTTATGTTTTTAACTTCTTTGAAAATCAGATATTCGTCCGTAACCAAATAAATTCGTTTAGTAACCACTTTGCCATTTTGTGCCAACATGCTGTAATTTTCTTGGACGTGAAACATATATTTATGTAGTTCAATGATATGGGCTACTTTTTATGTGTCATTCCGCCTAAATTGCACCCTAACAAAATTTGTTTTATAAAGTTTATTATTTTTGTATATAAAAGCGTCATTACGGAGTAGTGATGGCTAGCAAGTAGCAACGGCAATCTTGCCATTTTTATAAGTGTTTTAAATTAATATTTGCGTTAACCTATGAGTAATTTTTTACAAACAAGTGTCATTTTCTTGCAAATGTTCTTGAAATAACCAACTAATTATTTATTATTATTATAGTTTGAATGTATGAAAAAAAATTACTCAATTAATTTTTGATTACTGAATACATCAATATCTATTTGATATGTTTCTACCTACGAACAATTAACTAGGACTTGTCAATAATCCACCGACTGCAACTTTATTTCATAAGACAAAATATGAATTAAAAATATTATTCAAGATTCTCGCAACCCCATGATTTTATTTCAAAGGATGCCTATGTTTGTAGAGATAATATTCGCACTCACATGTACGAATATTTACACTTGACTTCAAAAAAAGGGGCAGGGTTCGAACACGGTGCTAAACAATAGATATAAAATTATTGTACATCCTATCGTCTGTATTTAATAGTTCTTATTATAATATTAAAATAGGTAATATGCGTTGTTTGATACCTTGTATATGCCATGCTTTTAATGTTACTTTATTGATAAGATTTTGTTTATTATTATCGTACATTTTTCTTTACGGGAAAATGGCTGTCGATGATCGTAGTACTTAAACATTTTTATGTAATCAAATGTAGTGCAATAAACTGTACAATGAGTTATGTGATTAATAAAACATTTGTACCACGTTTCAAGTAGGCCGAAAAAATATTGTTTATATCAATTAATATATTTTTTCGTTCTACAACAAGCGATAATAATATAACTACACGCTCGGCCTGCACCAATTCGACATTAGCTAATGCGAAAATGATCACCTTGTAAACACTTTCCTGCTGTTACCTGCTGTAATAAAAACTGAACTGAGTACATGTTTAGGTAAAATAATTATTGAAAGATCGCCTTTTTTTTTTTTAGTCGTTTCTGTGCGAAAAAGTTATACAATAATATGCTCCCGGCTAAGCAATATCATATAAGATAAAACGTAGTAGATACCTATTTGTTACAACTATAATATATTATGCGAACCGGTATGAATAATAATTTAGATATAATATTATAATCCGATTTAAACAGCATTTTCGTTATTTTTTTATTATCTTGGATTTTAGATTCTGAGTGGAGCGAAGAGCTTATGGTTTTACAAAGATGTTTATTTTTTTTTTCTGTGGATAACTTTTATACCAGAGGTCTTGCTCCAACTTTTTTAGTTTTTATTAACAATTGATAGCAATTTTTTTTAAAAGAAATTTCACTGGGGAGGTACTTTAGAGAGGTAGTTTTTCGATTTTCTCAATAGTTTTCCCAGCAAATGTGAAAAATCGGGAAAAATCATAGGAAAACCGGGAAAAAGTAGGAAAACCGAAGAAATCGATACAACACACTTATATATTTCGAATAATTGACATAAAATAATGTCGGAAAAATATCTAAATGTGCAAACAACTCGAGTGGGCAGACGTTTTCTGGAAGCCGAACGGCATTTTGAAGAAAACTCTGGTTGGGAAGATAAGTTGGAAATTATCTATAGAGCTAGAGGTCACTCTAAACGCGGTGTTGGGAAAGACAGAATCAAAGATGATTAAAAAAGATTGCACTCGAGAAATTACAATAGTAGATGATATAGACTAATATATAGACTAATGACAGAGGTAGATGCAACAAGTCTTTCAAAGACCGCAAAAGCACAAAAAGAATAAGGAAATATCTAAATAAGTAATATTTTAATATTTTTGATGAATTCTTATAAAAATATTAATATCATAGATAAACAAGTAAACAACAGATTTTTCTTGTTATCAATTGACTTCTATAATAATAATGACTTAATACTATTATTGTGATAAAAATTAATGTAATCATTTAAATAAGTATTGTTGCTATTGTATATTATGATTACACTGACCATCACGTATTCGCTGTATAATAATGGCATATAGACATAAATACCAAACGGAACTTTCACGTTCAAATATATGAATAAGAAAATATATGTTTGGATTATTATAAACAAGTTGGTAGGTAATATTAAATGATACAACTAATAATATAGGTAAGTATTAAGTACGGTTTCAACAACGAAACGACATATTTTTAATGAACGATTGTAAAATGTCAGTGTTGCTCCACACAATATAGTTACAGGACTATTGGAGAAATTTTTACGCACGTGATTTTTTTTTATTTGTCATAAAAAACAAAACAAAAAACTGTCCAATTATTATTAAGTAATTGTCCGATCTGTTTGATAAAGAATAAATTATATAACTCATCATTAAAAAAAAAAAGTTTCCAATGTCGAATACGATGTTAAAAAATATATATTGATATCGACATTATTATTGTGTATATTTAAAATGTTTCAATTAAAATGATTGGTAATATACGTTGTTATTAGATACCTACGTTATGTTATTTGTTCTGCGTATATATTTAAATCGGCTGTGTTTTCATAATTGTACGGGTATACCTACGGGGAAAACTGGTTTTGGTTGAAGTGTTTATTGACATTCTACAAAATATTATTTTTGAGTAATGATACAGAAAATATGATGGATCTCAAAACCCGTAAAAATAATAATTAATTCGACGTAGTTACACGTGCAAGTAATATGCATAATATTATAGTAATTTATACCGCGATATTAATTATACGGTATTTTGTATTGCATAATATCCAACGGATGATCGCGGTCGCCGAATGGACCGCGAAAACAGTCACGCTATGTTTTTTTTTTTTTTTACATTTTTAGCACTCTCGTGTTTGTCTAACTGTTTGTAAAATTAAAACGATACGTAATCTAACTAGGCGGTTTTTAATAGGGTGCTATCCGAGCTGCGTCAAAACAATACTTAACTACACGAAAAATATGAATATTATTAATATAATGTATAGATATAATAACTTAGAAATACACGGTATGTATTCATTTAATTTTTTATATTCAATCGCGTTTTACATTTTGATTGTGATATATCTGATGACAAATTCTTTTGATGATTATTAATATTAAAAAAAAAAAAAAAAATTAATTTGCAAAATGTAATCTTAATTTCTTTATTGATAATAGATGTAATAAATTAAATTTGTATAATATACATTTACAGTTTAATAAACAGGTACTTGATTAATAAAAAAAAGTAATAACATAAATTTTATCCACAAAGTGTGTATAAAGTGTGTACGTGTGTATACATTTAGACAAATATTGGTATAATTCCATAATAATAATATTTGTTGTCATATTTTGATGTTCAAATTATTCGTCTCGTCTGTAAACGAAATATTTATTTTATACAAGGTAATACATTTAAGTGGGTTAACTCATTATTTTGGAGAATATTTAATTTTTTGAAACATGTTGTATAAAAAAATTAAGAAACAGGCAGTTCAACAACTATACATTAATGTCACCATTATTTCTGAGGGTTTACCACTTACTTTTGATTTTTAAATGTCAACCTATAGTAATAATTCACAAATAGATGGAGTAATAGTTAAAATAAATTTTGGTATTGAAGTTTTTGATTTCCATCGACCCTTTGACGAAATATTCCACTTTTAAGCTTTGGTCGGGGAAAGTAGTAGTACATTATTAACACGCCACGTGTACAACGACACGACAGTTGACAGAAATTTAAAATGTCAATACCAACATTTATTTTTAACAACACGCCTCACTGAATAACATCTATTTATGGAATTTTTAATATAGTTTATCATTTTAAAATCAAAAGTAGGTAGTGGTTTTACCTCCGAAAATAAGGATGATAAAAAATAAAATGAATATAAAATTGTAGAGCTGTTTGTTTCTTAAATTTTCAAGAAAACAAAACCAAGAAAAGTTAATACTTTCCTAGATAAAGAGTATACCTACTTAAATGGATCACTTTAGATGTTTACTTTTTAAAATTTCTTTTTGTGTGAATACTTTTTACCAGAAAGCATACTCCGATTATCAATTACAGCACTTTGTCTGAAAGGAAATATTCTCTGGGCGGTACTTTAGAGAGGCTATTCTTTACAATTCCCATTAATAGTCGAGATAGTGAGGAAAACCTGGTTCTTTAGGTTAAAAAAGATTGAACGATTAAAAATAAAGTTGACATTGACCGTTTTTATTTATTTTTTGTTATGATTAAGTTTTTATTATTTTATATTTTAAATCTTTTTTAAACAATCACTGTTGTCATGGAAACGCACATTTTCGTGTTCATTTTACCATAATATGACATAATATATATGACAAAGCGACACTATCAACTGAACTTTAGTTTTTATTTAGATAAAATTGTTTGAATAAACAGAGATGCTTGAAAATTGAATACAAGGTTTATTACAAGTTGAACTTGGTAATAAAAATAAAAAAGTTTAACGTAGTAATTTTTTCTATAAACGTTTTAAGTATACATTTTGATGTCAAAATTAACTTTGCTCAGAATTACGATTTCACAATAAATTTTTTTACGTACAGATGTAAACTAAATATCTCTTTGTATTTTATTCCTTCCTGAATTCCTACCGATAAGACTAACAGTGACACACCCGGCAACATCTTCCTATATATACATCAATTCACAACCAATCGTTTCTGATTGGTCCAATTCTCAACCGCTTGTGTAGATAATACACGACAATACGATATTATTTCATGCTTATTATTTCCATTTCATTATCTCATATGAATATTTTACATAGGTACACTATACGATTTAAATATCACTGGAGATACCCTAATATAAAACAGTTATAACAAAAAATTTTCTTGTAGTATACTTTGGATTCGAATCTGCCCTCCACCTCGTGGTTAACAAGTCGTTTAATTCACGTAACGAGTCGATTTGATCGCGGAGAACGATGTACACAGTAAAAATCTTCGCCGGTCTTGTACTATTTGCGCACGATTAAAACGATCCACAGGAAAAACACCAGTCAACCTGTGAAATTTATCAAAAACCGCCCGGGCGCTAGCCGTGTCATTTCATTTAATACACGGACTCCTGAAATATACGTTTTCCGAGTCCTTACCGTAAATAAAAAATGATAAAAATAAATTATTATTACAGTCGCTTCCCGTGACCAGGTTATCATAATAATATTATTGAACTTTTGCGAGTCGCCTCCCATAAATGTACGAAAAAATGCAAATGGAATGAATGAGTAGTGATAGTTCTCCAAAAAAAACCATGACCATTTTTAAGGTGTTTCGCACCGATTTATGGCATTTATTATTGACCTATCACATTAAAATATAAAGCTTATGGTTGCGTTTTTTTTGTCACAGAAAATACAGTTTTGATTAGTAAAAATGCGACTATTTTTATTATGCCTTACCTTAAAAGACGCGGATCGTGGTTAAAAACCATAGGGTATCATAGATATCATCGTAATATTCAAGTTCTAAATTTTTGAAAGGGTTATAAAAAAATAGAAGGTCGTGATGTGATTTGTATAAATTTGAATATCATTACTGTATATGAACGATTTTTTAATATCCTTAATATTTATAGCGAATGCTTTTTATTTTTTAGATTTTGAGCACAGTGAGGAATGTATGGTATTACTATTGGTAATGTGTTTTTAATGTTTTTGTTTTTTTATGTCTGTAAACGATTTTTCCACTAGAAAATCTTGTCTAATTGAAGTATCGGGGAGGGGGTTATTTTTCATTTTTTTTTTTTTTATAACTTCATATAACCAGGAAAATTTTTAAAGTTTACGTAAATAACGGTTTCATTATTTACAACCTAACTACGAACTAATAAAAACAAAAATTTTCTCCAAGAAATATTACTACACATAAGAAAAACCGAGTAATATTTCTGGTAAGAAAGTTGTTTACGGGGACAAACTAATCGCCCACATCACAATAAAACCAACAGGTACATTTTTCGCCACGTTCAGAATCTAAAAGATTATTATTATTAACTGTGCTTAATCTCCGGAAACGACAATAGTATAAAATTCTCAAACACGGGAAATTTAACGATGTCGAAATCGAATTTCACGCGCGTATTTTTTGCAGTAAAACGGATACGATTTTCTCCCGTTCCATTTCCGACCGCAGTTTATTTTTTTGTGAAAATGTTCCCTGTACAATATATTATATTACTGAAAAAAAAAAAATCTATAGTCATCGTTTGTATACCTGTAGCCACGCCGGCGTGGGTGCGTTTAAATAATTCAAAATACTGTGTAGTATAATAATTAATAATATCGTATCGCGTTAATATTCAAATGTGGGTTTGACACTATAAAATTTATAATACGCAGTCGATATATATATATATTTTTTTTTAGGTTGTGCGCGCCCGGCACCGTTTGCATATTTTATATTGTATCACTCTAGATAGCAATAATTATTATAATACCGTTTTTTTTTTTTTTTTACGTGCACACGGAATATTATGAAATAATGAGCCACGCGATATTTTACGAGTATATACTCGTAATATAATACGTGATTATGTAAAACCTACATTTCATTCACGATGAACTTTCGTTTTACGATCGCGTCGAAAAATTCGTACCACGACAGCGATATACATTTCTGAGAACGTTTTAGATTCTAAGTGGAGCGAGAAATGTGTTGGTTTTACAATAATGTTTTGTAATAACAGAAATTTTGCTGCGATTTTCAAGTGCAGCACTTTTCCTGAAAGGAAATGTTCTCTGGTTAGTACTTTAGAGAGGTAATTCTTTTGATTTTCCCAGGAATTCTCTCAATAAATAGGAAAAATCTGAGGAAAAATGGGAAAATATAGGTACAATATAAACAAATATTATTAAAGAAAATACATAATGCATATGTAATTATTTTACCATAATATGACACACATATTATCGACAAATTAACATTATCAACCGAACTATACTCAGAATCGTTTTTCGTTAGCAATGTTAATCGTTGCTTACAGATATACATTAAATTTCCCCTACTACTTTTCCAAATTCTCATTTACAACAGTGGCTCAACCATGGGTGAAGTATAGGTATCCGTCTTTTTGCTTATGATTTTATCCATAATGGTATACAAATGCGTAGGTCGCAGAAAAAGTTCTTAAGAAAACGAAAGCTTATCATTCCATTTGTAAGTATAATTAATTATATAGATATGAGTAAGGAATAGGTATTCCATATTTTAGATTCTGAGCAGAGCGACGAATGTATTGGTATTACAATGCTGTTTATTTTTTTTATCTGTGAATAACTTTTTTACGAGAAATCATGCTCCGATTTACAAGTGTAACACTTTTTCTAAAAGGAAATCTGACTGGGGAAGTACTTTGGCCTTTTTTAATAATTTAACTGTTATACTATTATAATAGATATTTAGCTATATTTTTTGTCTGAAATGATTTACTATTGAAAACCACAATTATTATAATATTATACTATGACATATACTTCATGGACGTGCGCACAATGGGTGCCTGGGAACCTCCGGAAATTTTGTAATTGGGGCCCTAAAATTTAAGTCCCAGAGCATAGGATCCGTATTTTAACTCATGTTGCTAAAATAAAATGCTATATATTCTAATATATGTGATAAAAATAAATCATAAGTCGTGATAAAAAAAAAAATAAAACGTAAAATATTTTAAATTTGCTTGGAAAAATGTATTCAAATTTTAACAGCTAGAAGACAATTATCTATTAAAGTACAAATAATAAATAAACATTAGAATTATTGTAGAAATAGATATTAGATCCTTGATCATTTTACCTTTTTCTAGTTGTTCGTGTTTACGGGTCTTTTACGAGGAAGTATTAAGATCGTTTGGAATCATTAATTTTAATTTCCATTGAACAAAAAATTGCCTCTAATGTCGACGATGATTTAGTTATTAACAAGTTTAATAATTTAAGTTATTATAAATAAATTTTTTGTTTAAATAACATTTTTTAGGAAATTTTTAACTTTTAAATAATATTTTTGTATTGAATAAAAAAATGTAAGTGATGTTTATGTTTTATGTGTTATTATCATTTATTAATATCTAAATATCTTGTTAAGAAAAATTAAGAAAAGAGCCCAAAAATATTGTAGGCACTTCCCGAAATTCAGGTCTGTGTACGCCTACGGACATATTTAATGTATTATTTAGTCAAATAAAAAAATGTTTATGTCACTATAATAGATACTATATTTCTGATACCAGTTAAACAGAAATATGGTATATTCGGTGTACTTCCGACAGGCTACTTTATATGTGTTATGGGATTCACATATGCTCTATCCTTTATGTATTTTTTCTATAAATTTGACCATTATGTTTAACTTCGTTCACCATTATCATCATGATTCCACATTAACTGCGGTTATCATGATTAACCTCATTTATCACGATTCATTTCTATATCCGTGATATGATATTATGATAACACTATAACAATGATAAGACTAAAATAATATTATATTATACACATCCATTTCGAATAAAGATTTTAATAGAAATCAATAAAAATATTTAATACTAAATATTTTATAAGAAGTAGATATAAAAATATTTCTAGTATTTATTTAACACAGAGTTATACTGCAGTGGATTTAAAAATTATAAGAAACAATTTAAATTTTATAATTATTTTTATACAGCCAGATCATTATATAAAACATATGGGAGGACTTTATAAGTCATAATAAATTAAATTTATTTAATTCACTTTGTAAAAAGTGTTGGAAAAACCATTTAGATTCTTATCATTGGATATAGCAAACAATCTGATATGATTACTCAACTATAATAAATTAGATCAATTTTTATGCAAATACTAAACATTGAACGTTAATCGTTAAATACCGAACATTAAACATCAAACGGTAGCTAAAGAATGATAATTCTAATTTATTGAAAAAAAAAATTAATTTTTTTTATAATAAATAAGAACACTCGAACAAATTCAAAACAATTTTAAGAATAAAATTAAAAGTGGATTAAACTTAAAAGATCTAATAAAATACAAATAAGAAATAGAAAAACAAAAAAACATTTGAACCTATTACCAAGAGATTAAAAATGTTGAAGAGGCTGTTAGAAAAACTGATGATAACATTAAATCATTTTTAATTCCTGTGAAACCGTTATTAAAACATCAGATTTCATTACCATGCAACAAAAGATGATTAGAGATAGAGAATTAGAGTCAGAAAGGGACTTAGAAATAGAGGATATAAATTAATTTATCAATAAAAAAATAGGAGTTATTGCAGCTCATTACTTACCTTATTTACCTAAATTATTAGATGGTAAATTTGAGATGTTTCATAATCATGAAATAAATATGCATATGATAGGTAAAAATGAGATTTATATTAAATATGATATAATTTTAAATGAATAATCTTATATAGAAATATAAGGATTATAGAGACTATTAACACATAATAAAAATATAGATAAAACATTATATTCTAATGATGATATTAAAGATTATGAAAAAATATTAATTGCAACAGAATTATTATATCAGAATAATGATAAAAACACAAAAAGAGTAAAATCAAATAAAGGGGAAAAATACTTGAACTGATTGCTCCTATTTGGAAGAAAATCAGTGAAAATAAAAGATTACAAACTGTAAGTGAAGGATCTGGTTTAATAAATTGTACAGAAAACTCAATACAATATAGACATATATAAGACATTGATAATTTAAAAAAAATTGTTAAAAAGATTATATTTTATTGCTGCAGAAGGAGCAGGGAATAATCATTTTCACAACGAAAAATTAAGTATTATAAATTTTGTAACTAAAGAAATGGAAAAATGAGTTGATGCCCCTCATGATATAGAATATCTATTTTTTTTATTGCAAGTTTACCAAAGAAAGTGATCAGTGGATCTGGACTTGTTAATAATTTCTTGAATAGTAAATTTATACCTAAAATGCATTGGCCGTGTTATAATTATCTCAAACCTTTTACAAAATCTAAGAAACTAATAAACAAACTAGATAAGACTGCAATGGAACATGATTTTTACTATGAAAAACATAAAGCTGATTTAATTTTAGAAAATATAGCAAAGGATTTATATATGAAAATCCAGAAACATCTTTAGGTGAAAAACTGCAGCTTTTGCAACTACTAATATAATGAAAGTAAAAAGAAAATTATTAATGAACCTTATTTAAATAAAAAAAATAAATATTTTATATTATAAATGAATCTTAATTTAAATGATGCAGTTAAAAAAAATTAAATCTGCAGTAAAAAATAATAAAAAATAGGTGTATCAATTCAACTAACAAACAATTAAATTGGAACAGGAAAACAAAGTTTGACTTAACTGAAACACAAATAAATAAATTAAACAAACCTAAGAAAGATAAAAAATGAGAATCGAGGTTAGAATTGAAATTTGAACAAATTCAACAACGGGGTTTCTTTCACTTCTTGTTGCTGGTATAGCAGCTGCAATTTCATTAGCTGGAGGAGTAAGTGCAATTGTAAATACTATTATAGAAGAAAAACATTAGAGATCAGCAGAAAAAAATCATGAAAGACATAATAATGAAATAGAAAAAATTGTTAATTATGTTAAAACTCTACAAATTTGATCTGAAATTTAAAAAAAGAAAAGATGTCGCAGTACTCCTATGTTAAAAAAAAAAAAAAATACATAAAATCACTCTGTTAACTAATTTTGATACCATGAAAGTTGGTAAAAAAAATTAAAAATTTTAGAGGATGTTTTATGAGAGATGAATTATGCACCTGCAGAATCTTTAATAAATGAATGTGGAATATTAATTTTGAATAATTCTGATCAAGAAAGATCGCATTGATAAAACATGAAAGTTTAAAAATGTATTTTGATTCTTATGATAATGCTAATCCTTCAAAGGAATTGGTAAAATATTTAGGAGAAAATAATCTTAAAATTTTATCTAGAAGATTACAAGAATACAATAATCCACCTATTTGTAGATATTTATGTTTAGATTTTATTAAGAATTGTAAAAAATAAACCTACATTTTTTTAATCAGGTTTCTGATTAAAAAATGTATCCTTAGATTCTAACAATTTCTAGATATTATTCTAGAGGTATCAACAGACCATAATTCAAAAATTTCATTAACTTGCCTATCTAGTATACTTAAATGTGCATTAATATTCTTTATTTTTTTAAAAAAAACAACTTTTGATACTTTTCTGGTACATGTCAAATCTTTTCATAGACATAATCACCTAAAACCTCAAAAGTAGAATTAGAATAAGGTTCTGATAGTTTTCTCAATATAAAACGTGCAAAGTATAATATTAGTGGAAAGTACTTAAAAAATGACAATACTGACTATGAAACTGACAGTAATGTGCAATTAGATAATAATTTTGTTGCATTTTTATTCTCACAAATTGAAGTAACAAATAATGGATCATTAATAGATCAAATTGAAAATGTTGGTAGAACAAGTATAATCAAAGGACGTATTAGTTTTTCTTTAGATCAAAATGGTCCAAAAATTAAAATTAATTCAGGGTTTCAATCAAGATTTATAGGTGAAGGTAGATTCAAAGCTATTGAGAATTTATCTAATCTTTGTTTGGGTTTTTTTTAAAGATATTTAATATCCCAATTTTCAAAGGAGGAATTAAAATTAATATAACACATTGATGGACATGACTGCTACAGCATTCGCCAACTTTTGACCCCTTATTAGATCAGTTTGATTTTTTAAGTTCCATGCGTCCAATACTGATAAAATCTATATACAAATGATCAGTACTTAAAAATAAATTATGAAAAAAAACATTTGACTGCTATAACATGCTATTGCCATCAATTCTAATTTCTTTTTACATGGGCATGAATATTATAGCATGTTATTATTATTTTTTTTATCAAAATGCACTAGTGATGGGTAACTGTATTCTTTAATATAATTAGAGAGACCTGAGATCATAGCTAGAGAGATTTTAAAAGGATAAAAACCTTTTTTTATGTATACAAATTTTCAAAATACAAATACTACAATACTACTTTCAAATTACAATTTTCAAAAAATATTTTATAAAACAAAATACAATGTAATCCTTCTAATATTATAAAAACAAAATTAAATCCCAATAAACTTTTGAACTTATTTGCTATGATATCCAATAGTTTTTATACATTTTAAATAGTAAAAAGAATACTCTATAAATTATAAAATTAATAACAGTAATATAAGAATTTAAAATATATCAAATCATGCTAAAAATTTTTTTTTAAATAATAGTAACAAAGCAAACATAACAATTTCAACTTTTATCACAATTTAAGTGTCTTTATATCATTGTAATTTAATCTATTAAAAATAAGGTTCTAAAATAGTTATATAGATAAAAAAACAGTCTTAGAAACCTAAGCAACACTATGATAATCTAAAAAAAGAAGGCCCTGGGTACAAAGGCGGTTTTTTAGGACAGTTCTTACACCTCCATGAAGTCTATTTCGCATGTTTTCTGCTTGTACACTGTATACATCCTAAGTAGTACCCTCTTCTCTTCCAACCTGAAATAATGTTCCCAAATTTAGTTTTAAATCTTTTATAATTGTTATAAAAATATAATACCTGGAGGTTGAGGTATTTTTTCTTGGACATGTTCCAATAGCACTGAAGTGTTTCTTGATTGGTTAGATGTGCTTATTATGATGTTTTTTTTTATTTACTAATTAACTGCGATGTACAATATTTTTGGTAAATGAAGAAGTTTTGTTATTACAGATGAGTGGAAATATCTTTGATAATATTTGTTTAGTATTGTACCGGTTTTGCCGTTTTTTCACATTTGCTAGGAAAAATCGAAAAAAGATTTTCTCTAGGCGCCTTTCCAGTCGGATTTCCTGTCAGAAAAAGTGCTATTATTATAAATCGGAGCTAAATTGCCAGTAGAAAAGTTGTTCACAAGAAAAAAAGAAGGCCGTAATATTTTTCAACCAATACTTATATTTCGTACATTTTCAGTTTTTCACATTTGCTTATTTTCTTATTATTCTTACCAATATATTTTTCATTTTTCCTATTTCATTACATTATAATCGAAATATTTTTCTCTCACCGCGACCCACGGGTTGGGGAACACTGGTTGTCTACATCGATCGTTCGGTGCTCTATTGTCCTCGTTTGGCGGACGGTTCACCGGATGGACGACGTGGCAATGTCACAAACAACAGACTGTCGAGCGTTTCCGTCCAAAGAAATCCGATAAAATCGATTGTTGCGGGGAAGATGAAACAAAAAAAAAAAAAAAATAATCGCGCAAACCTTGGACACGCAGAACGCGGCGGGACGATATAGATTGCGACGGCAGCCGATAAAGTCGTACAAAATTACAAAATCCCGCGCGAACAGCCAACGGATCTGCATTGAAACCGTTTAAAGTTGTTGTGTACAATTCACAATGCGGCGGAAGACCGGAAGAAACGGAACGGGTTAGGAAATATCCGTTATTATTCGATACGTCCCACGTCGGGTTCATAAAAATTCGGTAAAAAAAAAAATAAAAAAAATATTGATGACAAATAACGTGTATTTGTAACCGTACGACAACAACCGACGTCGGACACGCCGTCGGAACAACCGCGAAAACCAGCGATGGGAATAACCGAGAGAAGATAATCGAATGAAAAATTGGTAATTGCTAATTAGTAGTTACTATTTTTATATTTAATAGTTTGGTAATCTAGTAGTCGGTGATTACTCGAAACGGTATCAGCAATCATTCTTGTTTCTTTCCACGATTTTATCGACTACTAATAACTAATATTATCTATATTACTATTTTCTTATCGCGGACGGTGTATCGAAACATTCAAAACAGCGGCGTGCCTGCACAACGACGTTCTTATCTCGCGCAAAGTATAATAATACTCGTATACAATGCGAATCAAAATAAAATAAGAATCTAAAATAGTATGCATTTTCACGGTATATTGAGTGATTCTTATCTACTCGATTAGGTACATCGAATAAATCACTCGATTATCGGAATCATTCGATCATTCCCATTACTATGGTGCTTTTCACGAAAAGTGGCCCTCGACGGTGGTGTGCGTTATGGCGGCGTTTCTACAAACCAGCGGTTCTGATATTTTTTTAAAGTTATATTAATTAATTGTATTATTTGTATTCGCAGACAAATAAAAATCGTGATACTAAATTAGCTGAATTTTTCATAATTTGCATTATGAAATACTGCATTTAAATTGCGGTGTAAAAAATAATCATATATAAGATAATATACAAATAAGTAATTAATTTAAACTTGCCGCGCTTTGTTTTGCGCTTGATTAGAGCCCCCGCGTCAAATAGTCTACTAGGCGCGCCACCATCGAGGGCCACTTTTCGTGAAATCAACTATAGTGAAAACCACGGTGTTTATACTTGACCGCTCAAGAAACAAACGCGTGGCGTGTGGCGTAGCCGGATCGTTGAACGCCGTGACAAGCCGCGTTCTGTGTGCCCGAGCCTTAAGGGGTTGATAACCGCCGCCGCGACGCCCAAAAACGTTTTACCAACGTTATTATTATTTAAATGTTTTTTTTTTTTTTTCGTAATATAGATATTCATGGTTTTAAATAGCTCTAATCACTAAATAACAATTAAAATATTTAGGGACCAGGTACCGTACTAACTGTTTGAAAGAATCACGGTCATTTAGCCCATAGCACGGCAACATTGTTTCCAGGAGTTCTACACTGATACACTGATTAGTCAAGACTAGTCCCTCAAAAGTTAGGTTACCTAACCCAACGCAATTGTGTACGTGTACTATCGCATTGTTAAACGTTGTTCTTGGCGTACTCTGTGAAAAACAGCATATTAAAGTAAGTATTATTTTTTAAATATTATATTATTGTTTTATGAATTATGTTTTAGGTAATCTATAATAATATTAGGATTAGTACTTCCACGTGTTTAATAAAAAGATCACTTAACAGAAACTTGTTTTGTTTTTTAGCGAAACCCGTGAACATTTCAGTGAGCTGATCGTCAAAATATTAACATTGTTCGACATTCAAATTTTTAAAATATTCGAAAACCATGACTGGGAACTGGTGCAGAGAAGAAATAAACCATCTTTTGAAATTTTGTAGAGACGCGGATATAATATCAACACCTAATTTATATGAACGAGAAGATATATTCAAAGAGCTCTCGAAATACATGTGGATTACATTTGGATATATTAAAACAGCAGAAGAATGCAAAGAACAACTAAAAACATTGGAAAAAAATTTCCAGAGTTATAAAAATGTATTACCCTTTATGAAGGAGATGAATATTTTGATGTCTATGCAAATTAAAAGAAGAAGAAAAAATGATTCTAACATAAATGCAACAATGAGAAGAAGGACAAGAAGTAGTTACAAAATGTCCAAGGACAAAGGTAATTCTTCAATAATTTTGTCAAGTTTGTGCATTGGGAGTTGGGAGGGTTATTTTTTGATTTTCTTTATAGTTTTTTTAAAAATTGGAAAAAAACATAAGAAAACGGGAAAATAAAATATTAAAAAGAATATAGAAATCTGAAATGTTCACAGAATATTTATATTAATCTTTTCTAGACGATGAATTGTCAAACAAAGATTCAGACAGTGATGATTTGGACAGTGGAGATTTGGACAGTGATGATTCGGCCATTAAAAATCCTCGGTTAATTCCAATATTAATGCGTCAACACACAATTGTCAATGACAAAAGTAATTTTTCAACAAATTTGTTAAATGGGTGTATTGAGATTTGAGACAGTAATTTTTTGATTTTATTTCTTTTAGTTTTCTTAATATTTTGGAAAAACAAAAAAATTAAGCATTAAAAAAAATAATGGAGAACTGAAGTTTTCACAAAATACTTTAATTAACTTTAAGATCTCCTGTACAAAATTGTTTGTTTTAACAGTTAAATAAATAAATAAAAACAATAATAATAATAATAATTTTTTTCAGACGTGGTGAAATTTTAAAAAATTCTTACAATTTTTAAACTATTTATAGGCAATTGTTCAGGATTTTTAGTTTATATTTGATAGAAAAACATATTTAACTGAACATTATTTAGCTATGGTTTATCATTATTGTGTACAAATATAAACTACATATCTATATTTCCTAATTTCCCACCTACAACAGTGGCACAACCAGTGGACTATCAGCGATACCAACTTTAAAAAAAATGTATTTAATCAATATTTGATAAAGTCCAACATAGTAACCTATGTGAGGTTTTTGATTTGTATAAATGTAAAATCTTTATTTAAAGAATATTACTGTACAGATTGAAACCTAATTAACATACGTAATTAAATAAGTATTTGTTTGTTTTAAATCGAATTATGTTATTTCATAGAAGAAGCTAATCAACAGAATAAACTGATTGCTGGCACTTCAAGTAGAACAGAAGAACCTCAACAATCTACAAGCAGTAATTTTGGTATGATTTTTAATTAAATAGATATTATATTATAATATAATAAAAACAAATATGATAATATTGTTAAGAATAATTGTACGAGTCTAACTTCAATTTGTTTATGGATATTGAGTTATGGGTATTATAGATTTCAATTTTATGAATAAAATAACAATTATTTTCATAAAAATGCTACACATTTGATGTTTTAAGAATAATGAATCATTTTGAAAATTGAAATAATATTATTTATAGTGTTAATTATAACAGTTTATCTTTACTTTCTTTAAATATAAGTAGTATAAGAGCACATTTTAATGAGTTGGCTTTGCTATAAAATATATAAAGTTATAAGTTTAATATTATTTGTTTGAATGAGACATTGCTGCTTGATTAAACAAATATTTTTCTGATTGGATACACATATTTCTTTTCCGTTGGTATATTAAATAAGTCAGATGATATTTGAGTTTTTAAGGACTACTATATGTATATGATAGAAATATAATGTTTGTTCCCTTGTATAACTCAATTGAATTTTTGTTAGCTGTTGATAACGTTAAATATAGTGTCACAGCTATACATGGTTCACTCGGAGTTAATCTTGATTAATTTTTAACTGGCTAAATGCTTATCTTAATGGTATTAAATATAACATAAATTAGTTATCAGTGGTGACTTTCATATGAGTGTATTTTATTGTAACTATTCTATGTTGACAATAGAATATATTTATTCAGTTACTGAATATTGGTTTATTTTTTGTATAAATACATTCACCAGGGTTACTCAAAATTCCAAAATTTGTATTGTCTATGTACTATTTTTTTTTTTTATAAAATGTTTAATTTCATTTCCTAATTATCTATATTTATTTATAATTTAGGTTAGGTTATTAGTTATTAATTAGGTATGGTACAAATATAAAAAAAGTGAATAAAAAGTTATATTATAATTACAAATTTTTCTAAGTTTTCAGTTAATACTTGTTTTTATATGTTATTAGTTGGTGGCATTTGTTGGAACATTTAACATTTTTTTTAAATTCCAAACATTGACAGGACTGAAATAACTGTTACACTATCAGTTAACAAAACCGCGATTGTTAAAATTTGATAAGTTTGCTATAGCATCATGTATGGACATAAATTTGTCTTTTGGTACTCTGTTATCTTCTAAACCATTATTTGAATTCAATTTATCCAGTGTTCAATATAGATGAGATATAATACTTTTACCTGTAGAACATTTATTTTTATATTGTTGAATTGAATAATATAAATAAGAAAATATAGTTTAGTTTTTAAAATAATATAAAACCATTTAATTTGTATTAATTGACTTGAAATAGGCATTTAACTAAACGTCTAGGCATTTTATTAAATTACTAGGTATTTAACTAATTGTCTAGGTGGATAGTAAAATCGTAAAAAATTAAACTATTTGACTATTTGCCTAGCCATTTAGTAAAATGCCTGATTTGACTATATATCTATGACATATACACGGACATCTTTAAACATAAATAAATAATTAATGTTTTAAAATAATGTGAATGTTTCATTAATTTATTAATTAAATAACTTTAATTTAATGTTGGAACATAAATGACATTCATAACGTGTTAATGAAAAATATTTAAATAACTTGAAATTAACAAAATAAAATTAAAACAATGGAAAGTCAGTCTTATTAATCTTTTAAACAAGAATTTTTTCCAATGCATTTTAAATAACCTTTAAAAAGTCACATCTAATGGTTGACACAGGTGAGTACTATTTAGTGGTAAAAAAATAAACATTATATTATAATTTTTAAATTGTTCAATTACATCAAGTTATATGTGGCTCACAAGATCATCACCAATCATCCCTTTTTGGTTATCGGCAGGGAATTTCTGATTGTATAGAATGATTAATTTATTATATCAGTCTTAGAATAAAGTGCTATCGAATTACCCAGACTTGGAACGATTATACTTAGGCTCACCCTCTGTCTAACAATCAAGTGTTTTGCTTCGTAGACCACATAGGGTGGTAATAGATATCCGGAGGACATTCTAGCAAATATTACAGAGACATTAGATTTAGACGAATTTAAAATTTGTTTTGGATATTTACAACCTCTTTTTGTTATTATCTTAGCTTTCCTAGGGTCATCAGTAATATTAGTTTCGTCATAATTTATAATTAAATTTGGAGAAACTCCAGCTAACGAGTTTCCTAAGAGGTCAAAATATTTTTTCATTGATCCATGATGTATTTCCGCTCTTGATCTCTTTAAATTTTTAGCTAATTGCTCACTTAATATAGATTTATTTCGAAGTAGAAAGGGGGTAATTACTAACCCGATTTTCCTTAATTCCTTTTTTATCCAGGAATTGTATCAACAACCAAATATCCATGGATGTAAAAGGAAATCCCCATTTACTAGACAGACATATTCCTTTAACGAGATTTTCCTCGTCTTATTCCAATATTGTATTTGGTCTGCCTACTTTTATCATATAAGTAGTATAAGAGTAAATAAGTAGTAAGAGTTTTTATGTAATTTTTATTCGGTAGGTATTTTGTGGATAAAATTGTTTGATCAAACATGGTTAAAAATTTGTATATGTGTATATACATTTATTAATTTTGTATCGATAAAATAATATAAGATATATAAATAAATAAATAAATAATAATTATTAATTTATAAAAAATATCAACAAAAGTAGTTAGGTACATAATATTTTTAATTAGTTACAGTTATACAAAACTTAAATTGCCTATATTTGTTTTTAGATTACAATGATACTTATACTTTTGCTACTATTTTTATCTAAAATTATTAATGTATTTTTAATCAGATATTTATTATTTGAAGAGTAATCAGAATTTATTTTCATTGATATTTTCAATCTGAATACCTATGGTAATTTATTTGAATTGAACCATGTGTAAATAGCAGTTATTATAATATTGAAAAAAGAAATAGTTATGCTTAAATATAGTGTATTATAATTTACAATACAATTTATGATTTTTTTTTTTTTCAGCGGCCAGTTTCAATCAATTAGTTGTCTCTAAGAATGTGATTGATTCTATTACAGAACTTAATGACAAAACTATTCAATATTTAATACGAATTATAAGAAAATCGGCCATGGATACAATGGATATAGTATGCCAGTTACATGATTCCTAAGGTGATATTTTAATCAATGTTGGTAGATAACTACATTTTTCATCTTTGCATTATACTTAAAATTGTTCGGAAAAAAAAAACAGTTTAAATTGGGTAATTTATGTCTTTTAGTATTTTATATTCTTATATTTTTAACATATTATTGATATAATTATATTTCTATCTAGTAGTAGTACCTACATTATATTATAGTATCACATTGTGAAACTGCAACTTTTTAACCTCTTCCTTACAATACAATTGTACTATGGGCTGTTTTGATAAATTTCTACATCCCAGATAAATTAGAAATAATGATTGCCATTTTGAAAGTTTAATTACAGGGAAAATTGTCATTGTAATTTGAAGTAAAATAATATTTTACCCATATTATGGGCTTAACAAAGGGGTGTTGTCTCATCTATTTCTTCTTAATTATAATTAGATGCCATTAAAAAAAAAAACCAAGAAAGATTATATTGCTGATGGATACACTAACCTTTTTAATACTAAATAAAATAAAATTATGAAATGGAGAATATTTGTTTGTTCCTATTATCTTTTGTCATGGTAAAGTTTTTAATATCTACTAAATTGAATTCAATTTTATAAAATACTGAATACTTGATCCATAAAAAAGTATGTCCTAATTTACCTTTGGGTCAAGCATGAAATTGTAGAGCATTTTATATCGGTGTCAAGTTAAACATTTTCAAGGGTAACTTGGGACAGTGACTTTTTTTTTTTTTATAAAAAAGGAGTTTAGACACAATTTTTCAAAATTGACAACAAATTTACATTTTGTATGCTAATACTCATATTTTATTTCATTTATTAATTAGTCAAGTATTATATTATTTCTATGATAAATTAAATGTAAACGATTAGAGTGTCCCATGTTATTCGGTTTTACAGTGATAATTTTATTTCACTCCATATATATTGGTAAATTTCTTAGTTTTTGGATGATAGTAAACAATAAATTAGAGAAATGTAAAAACGAATTAGGTACATATACACATTTAATTCAATATTATCTCTTCCAAAAGGTATATTAATTGTGTATATTCTAATGTTTGTGGAATAATTTTTTATGGGCACAATATAATGATTTGCACACTAATTTTAAACTAAAATACTCAATGTCTTTATCAAATACACTTTAACGTATTTCTTTTATAATAATTTTGTTTAGTTTGGTATGTAGATCTTCCGTACACTTAAATTTCACAACTGTTTTAATGAGATCCAATTTGATTGAGTTACCTTCTAGAGAAGGATTATTGTGAGGAAAATTTTAAGTTTCAATTATTTCATTTAATTTATAATTATTGAAAATAGTCATGTTGAACGAACAATTTGTACACCAAAAACAAATATTATTATTCTTTAAAGCATTTAAAATTATTGTTAGTTATAATTGTATTATCTCATTTTGTTTGTAGAATATATTTTATTTTTGTGTCCATTTTAATTAACGGCACTAGTTATGTAGGTCCGCTCTGTTCTACAAACAAATTAACTGCCCTCCCACCCAATTTCATATCTGATCATCATCCAGAGTTGTGTTAAATTTTAACAATTTTATTCAAATCATTTTTAGTTTTTTAAACAATTTAAAACACAAATTTGTGAAACATGACCTTGCATTTAGTTTTATAGAGGTATAGTAGGTAACTACTTACCTATGCTATAACTAGAAACTCAGATAAAAAAAAATGTATTTAATATGAGAGTTGTGGTATGTATAGGTTCCTATCCCAGTTATTAGATGTATTTTTATAAATAAATTTAATTTTAAATTTTAAACATAATAGGTAGACCAATGTACCATAAGATGCTTAAAAACAACATACAATTTTAATTCAACTAAATAAATTTATTAAAAATTAACTTTTTTTTTTTTAGATACAACCTATGTATAATTTATAAATAATATTTAAACACAATAAAATAAATTTAAATTTTACTGAAAAAGTTGATCACAATTTTTTTTTTATCCGTGCGCAACTTTTTTACTAGCAGTCTTGCTCGGATTTCTACTTGTAGCACCTTTTCTGGAAGGAAATCGTTGTGAGGAGATACTATAAATAGGTCATTATTCGATTTTCTCTAGATTTTTCTCATCAAATGTGAATAACTGAAAAAAACCGGAAAATTTACGAAATATAATCAACATATTCTTACCATTTTTTTTCCGTAGACAACTTTTCTACCAGCAATTTTGCTCCAACTTTTAATGATAACCTTGTTTCTAAAAGGAAATTTCACTAGGGAGGTACTTTAAAGAGGTCATTTTTTGATTTTCTTAGGAGTTTTCACAGAAAATGTGAAAAATCGTAATAAAATATGGGAAAAACGTAGGGAAATTGGGAAAATCGGTAAAACATTAAATAAATATTATTGAAGAAAATATATAAATCCTATTTAATTATTTTACTATAAAATAACATATATATTGTTGAAAAAGTATCAGTATCAACTGAATTCCGCTCAGAATCGTTTCTTCGTAAGCAATGGTTTATCATTGCTTACAGGTATACATTAAATCACCTATATAACAGTGGCTGCACCCGTGATCATTATCCTAGGATAGCTTTTTTTTTTACTGCATACGTTGAAGCTCGAGAGTGTTACGATATTATTTTGTACAGTTATAATAGATTTGCCGTATACCATCTATACCAAGTCGAAGTTTGTATTATGATAATTTCGAATTATTTTCTAGTTCTCATTGTTCTTCCATTCCTCTCCCAATAAAATGACATGTGTATACCTATGTATACATTGTACATCTTCTGTTAGGCTGAGTCGGTTGATTTATCAGTTATATGTTTTCATTCGAGGAAACGTCCGGTTTGTCATGGTTTGAATTCCGAATCGGTTTATTTGTTTTATTATTTCAAACATCCGACAGCCGGTTATTTGATTTCGCTGAATCCATGACTGGAAACCTTTTCGGGAAAACGTGCAAACACGCATTTTAAAACGCCAAAGCTCATCATCATCATTCATTATTGTACCAATATTATCTCCGAATCGGTTGCTGTACGGAAAAACGGACGGCTTTATTTCACACCTAATTTACATAAAAAAAAAATAAAAAATAAAGTATTATTATATTTCGGTGTACGTGCATCGTTTGAATTAAATTAAGTTTTATGATCCGATTACGTTTAAAAGCTGCAAACGTGCTCAAATTTGGCATTTTTTTTTATAAACCTACTCCCTAAGACAAAATTAATACCGATTTTCGTTTACGATACCTAACAATACAAAAGAATTTATATTATATTATATAGGCCGTATGTACAAAACAAAAAAAAAGTACATTTTTTTTTCGTGCACTTAAAATATACTTTTAAAAAAAATTAAATATATTTTATTGGTATTGGCAGTCTAAAGTATCTCTCTTGTAATTTATTGACGTACCGATCACAAATTCCTTAACGCGTTTAAACGTGTTTATTGAATACACGTGCTGTCGATAAAAACGTAAAGAATAAAAAAATACATTTAATGTAAAAAGTGACCACCTAGTTGTTAAACAAAACTTGCCTGTGACTTGTGTTGCGATAATGACAGAACAAGTTTTAATTATTTTTCAAAAAGTGAGCAGTGATAATAATAATGTATTCATAAAAATTAGTGTATCATCAAATTATAAAAAAAAAAAAATTGTCAAAAAGAAATTTTGCGAAAGTTGAATGAACATTTTACGGTAAATGTATGTACCTACTTATTTTAATCGGCTTAACTTATTTTAATTTTAATTAAAATAATATTAATTATATCTATACTTACGTATAATGTGGCAAAGATATAATTGGTTGAATTCACGGAAGTTGTTGAATCATATATTATTATTATGTGATCGGGTAAAAAAATACCTGTTGATCGGTTACCAGAGTCAAATTTCCTCTCGGCCGACTTATCGCCGTTACAATATATTTTTTTAAATACTTGTATTTTATAAACCCAGTATTTCCTGTTTAATCGTTAAATTTTAACACATAAATGGTTTTGGGGAAGGAAAATTGAAAGTTGAAACCCCCTAAAGGTTTATCACATTCTTGATAATTATGCTATGCATACTCGTGTATAAAATTGTATTACCTTGGCTTTATTCAGGGGTCTGTAGGGGTGTATATAGCTAAAATTCACTCTCCTGCTACAAAAACATGGTGAAATTCATATTCAATCGATATTTGATCACTTCGAGCCGTCTAAAAAACAACTCTTATTACCGATTTTGAGGTTATCTCGCCTTGAGAAAGTAGCTAAATGTGTCCAAAAGTAACAAAAGATTTTCAGTGAAATTCGACAAAAAAAAAAAAAAGAAAACGCAAAAATTGCTTTACAAAATTATTATACTAGGTTTGTATTTATAAAATATACTTATACGAAAAAGATGCGACTAGTGACGTGCATAGGGCAGTGGCGTGTTTATGAGGGAGGTATGAGGGATAGACCTTTCCCCTCCCCCTTTTTTTTTATAATAAGACTAAGTGTACTCGTAAATAGAACAGATCTCGTATTATGTAATTTGTTAGGTGACATATTAATCAGTTACTTATGTATTTTTTAACAGTCGAATATATATTATATATGTCGACATTTATTCACTTTGTTATCACCTGAGAGTGATATTACACAACAATAATATAAAAATAAAAATATGAATTTAAACTGTTTTTTGAATCCAACTATTAAATTCTCATTGTTGGGTCAGCTGTTATTTAACAGAAAACAATTTATGATTCATTCGTCAATCACGATTATTATTTACATTGCATTCCCTTCTATTGGGAACGGGACCTTGGTGGTAATTTGCAGGTCTTGTGCACGTAAACAAATATTACAAACTAAATTATTGTATTTAATTGATAATATTGTATAGGCATATATGCACATTTTCTCGGCGGAAAACTTTCTTCGTTAGTATGACGTGTCTGCTGGTGTTGCAGTTTAGATAGGATGAAACTTTATAATGCAGTTTATACAATCACAAGAGGTTCACTGATTTGACTGCACTATATAATTTAATACGAGTATGTACGAACGACCGCGGGGATATCATTCCGCGTTATTATAACGCAATCAGTCAGACAAAAATATTGTAATTACGGAGCTGTAACGAAGCCGATGGAATAAAAACATAATTTAGGTAGATATAATTCGTTGGAAATTGTATTTCCCGGTATAAACATATTTCGAAAACCATCAGATTTGAAATCCGCAGATATCATCATAGAAAATAAATCCAGACAAATCGGCTCGTAAAATCTGCGAAATAGTCATAACATTATTTTTATAATTGAAAATAAATTGAGGAAAAATTATAGTCAAAACAGAGCGTTACATTTTAATTTGTTAAAAAAAAAATACCATCGTAAAAGCGTGTGATCGCTATTCAATTGAAAATTAGATTGCACTTTTTGATAAACTTCAGTGTATTAATTATACCAGTGTTTATTTTAGACCTCCATCCTCGGAGGAGTATCGTAAATTTCTAAGGGGGTATGCCGGGGAAAAAATTAAGAAAATACGCTTCATGATGACTTTTTTGTAGTTCATTAAAATACTGTTATTTATATAACACAATATTTATTTTTATATTATTATCAACAAGATGACTGATAATCGGCCCATAAATCATAGCACATGTAGTTTACGTAGTAATGTCATGCATTTTTAGGAGGTGGTATACATTTTTCTGAAGGGGGGAGGGTTATACTCCCTGGTCATTCCCCTAAAATAACACTGACTTATACAGAAGCATAACTTTACTGTTGCTTACTGTTTTGCAACGTGTAAGCAACACACAAATAACATAAAAATGATTTTAGTTACAATTTTAATTTAATAAATAATTTTTGAACATTAAAATCATAATATTTCCTACTGTAGACTAAACATATTGAATTCAAAGCAGTTTTCTTATATATATTTTGTAATATTATTATTAGGATTTCACATTTTTCTATTTTTGGATAGTCGTGAAATTACTCTATTCAATTTTCGGAGTAACCTATAAAAATAAAATAATTATTAATCGGTTTCCTTCCCTTCTTATGTAATATTTTATTAAGGAGATTGGTGACGATTATCCATATTTTCTTTAATTTTCGTAAAATTTGAAAATGTTATTGCAATTTTCACCTAATGATAAGAATTGGCCACTAATCTACTGCCCAATATCCAATTAAGGAGAAGAGATATGGCCGATTTTACGGACAAATATGAAGTATTATACCGAAAAGCCAGACAAAACTGTAGGATTACGTTTGACTGATTTAAATTTCAAAGATATATATTACTATTCGTTAAGTTTTTAAATAGTATACGTTGGAATTATTTGTTTTATTTTAATTATTGTTATCGTAAGTAAAAAGAAAAATACTTAAAAATTATTCTAAGTAAATTGTTGAATTTTTTTTCAAAAATTAAATCAAATTTGTTTATGATTTCTATTAAAAAAAAATTAAATTTCTAATTTATCGCAGTAAAGGAGCAAAAGAATCAATCCGTTTTCAAACGTGAAATCCGTTAAACACAATTCCTACAATTTTATCTGGATTTTACGCCTAAATAAATTAAAATATTCATCATCATCAATCCCCTTAATGGTTACTGTATTTGATAAAATAATTCGCGGGTGCGTTTGAAAAAGGTGTTAAGTTAATGTGTCAGATTTAGCTTTTCCTTTGAAAGATTTTGTATAATGAAAGTCACTAAAGTATGTGAAAAAATAAAGATTTTGTCGGCTTTTTTAGTATGTATACCTCATTTTTTACAATTTGGTGATTTAAAACATTTTTCACTTATAACCGTGAATTATTGTAAATATTTTATCGGTACCTTAAACGTAGGAAATAAACCTCTCTCTTTCATTCTTAAATTCAATCCGGTCGAAAACCCTTTCCAGACTTTCAGTGGTTGAGTTCCAACAGATCTGATCGTCCTTTTTTAGTTCTATTTCCTCATAATCGGGATGACGGGGTGCTACGCAAACGTACAGTTGGTGGAGCTCCCGCGAATAATTGTACACTTCGTCCAAAGATCTAAACATGGCTGACGCGTTTGGATAAAAGAAAGTCGTCATTTCGTAGACCATTCGACATACCTGACGTAAAAATCAATATTATTAAAATCGCAGTCCTTTTTAAAAATACATTTTTTCCGATGCACTCATTAGACTTAATTTGCTACCAGAAACCATCCCATATATTGATATTTGCGGAACGATTCTTTTTCAGTTGAAATATTGTATTGACAATAGACAGAAGCACATAACTGTGCACTATAGTAATACTTTACCTATTCGTTACGCTATAAAAAATGAGACTTCGTGATTAAATAATAAGATTAAATGTTTACTCGTGTTAATATTATTGAAACAACGGAAGAATAACCTTTTTTTGTTTTCTGAAAACCAGTTATACACGCCGAGCTCTGCTGAAAATTTAAATTTTACTTTACTAAATTGTCCATACCTACTACAGCGGCTTTCCTATGTCTATTATTTATTTTAAATTCTGAGCAGAGCGTGAAGAACGTATTGGTTTTAAATGGTGTTTATTATTATTTTGGATTTTTTATCTGTGAACAACATCTATACCGGCAATTTTTCACCAATTTTCAATTACAGCACTTTGTCTGAAAGAAAATCTGACCGAGATGGTACTTTATGGAGGTCATTTTTTGATTTTCTCAGCGGTTTTCATAATAAATGGGAAAAACTAGGAAAAAACATGGGAAAAACCAGAAAAACGTAAGGAAAACGGGAAAACAGGTACAATATAAATTAATATCATTAAAGAAAATATATAGTGTATAATATGTAATTTTTTTACCACAGTATGATATTTTATGTATTGTTGACAAAGCAATTTACACTATCAACTGAACTCCGCTCAGAATCGTGTTTTGTTACCAATGGGTAATCGTTGCGTACAGATATACATTCAATTTTCTCAATTTCTCACCTACAACAGTGACCCACCTATCGTGCAAAGTATGTCCGTATCTTTTTAATTGCGCTTTTGTTTAAAATGTATATAATATACAACTTCACGTACATTAGATAAAAAAGTACAGATTATGAAATCGCAAGGTGACAAAAAATGTACGTCGGTGATGTTGTTATAGATAGATTGGTCGAAATCTCGTCCATTTTCCATTATATTTTCGACACCAATCACTTCGTATTCCGGGTATCTTTAAAAATGAGTTTCATTTATTCGATTATTCGTAAAACGCATGTACCAAAAAATATTGTAATTATTATTTCAAAATACTTTGTTTTCACTCGAGCATATATACTCATGCCTTCCGATTCCAAATAAATCAGTCTTTTCACTTTGTCGACGTCCAATTTTCGCATTCTGTAATATTGTTCGACGTGATACATGTATTTGTCTACATTCTGCAACAGATACTGTAAGCCTTTATCCGTTCGTCTAATGTGCACTCTATAATAATACATATATTATACACGATCAACCAACTTTCCCTTCCCCCCCTCATTTTTATATAACTATATGCGTTTACAAATAGGGCTGGAAATTTAATGTTGCGTGAAACTTCAAAAATACTCCCCCCCCCCCAAAAAAAAATGTTCTTGCTCGCCCAAAAATTAAAAATAATGTAATAAAAAAAATCGAAGAAAAAACTTAAATAAAAAATTGTTAACAGACAATTTCTTATTCTAATGTAAAAATACACGATAATTACAGATAATTGTGTACCTGGTCAATATTTTACTGCAACTGATGTGAGTCTGGCCGACGAATAATGACATGTATTACTTAACGGTGAATAAAGGATTTCCCACTCATTTTTTGTAAACTTCCAATTGCCTGCGGTGTCGTTCAATTTCAACGTTCGGTTTGTAATGTACGCCAGTACGAAATAATTGAGTAGGAAGTGCAAGCGACACGTATATCCGCAGTACTGAAGTAAATATTTGAATATAATAATCATCCCAATACACACGTACAAATATATCTTTGGTCTCTGGGAAGAAGGGATTAAGTTAATTTTTGACTTTTTTTTTTATAATATTGTTTTATCTAATGTGATATCCTTTAATTTTTATTCAAAATAACATAAGTATATATTTTCTTTTGGTTTTATAATTTCAAAAGTGTTCATCTCCACTATCACTACCTTCCATCTTTATTATTTCCCCATCCTGAATATTTTTTCTCCAACTTCTATGTACAGTAACCTTCAGTCTTGGCTTACCTCTTCGAAAGGGCTGCGCGATTATTTTATATTCAAATAATCGTAATTTAGAATTATTATATTCGTTTATAATCGATATAGTAGGTTTTCGATTATTCTTTCGACTATAATCGATAGATAAATCATAATCGACACGCAAATTATAATAATCGATCTATAAATTATAATCGGGTATTCGGTTATAATTATTTAATTAATGGCATATTCCTGTACAATGTGTCTCATCGTGTTCGATGGATTTTTCTAGCGCTGTTAGTATAACATTTTATCCGATTTTTTTTTTGAATCGGTTTGTTTCCGAGAGGGGAACACCGATTTGGAAAAAAAATTAAATTTTTATTTTCATCCTCTAAAGACATAAAAAAACAAATTTTAATGTATTACACATTCATATTCGATGAATAATTTCTTAGTTAAAATCGTTTTCATTAGGCGTGAAAACGATTATTATTCAATAAAATAATACGTTAGGCGATAAGGAATTATAATCAGCACGGCAATTCTTTACCTTTTATTAAATATTAATTGTTTTTACACCTATTTTCTAGAAATTAAAACGGCTATAATTAAGAAACTATTAATCGAATATTATGTTTAATACGTTAATATTTTTTACAAAATGGTCAGTTTTTTGGTTATGGTTTTATGTTTAGGGGATGAAAATCGAAAACAAAATAATTGAAAAAAATATACATATAAAAAAAATGTAATATCAACAGCACTATGAATGCCCGTCGAACATACTGTAGATATATTGTTTTCCCTCGTCTGACAACATAGACACAGAAACAATATTATAGACAATTTTAGAATGTACCTACCACCGTATTTCGCACAGCCCTACTCATCGAACTATCGCTTTCTTGATCATTTCTCGGTTCTTTTCCAATTAGTTGACATTTTATGGCCTCATGCCCTTATTCCTTTATAGTCGTTGCTTCATCTCTTATTGACATTGCGTGTCTAAATCATTGCAATCGTTTGCCTTTATGAAATTGGTTACCTTGGACTTACGTAATTTCTCTGACTTTAACGTTTGTTTTTTATTTTTTGTATCAACATCCTAACTCATGGTTACATAACATAGCACAGGTTTTTTTCAATATCTTATTTTCAAAAGATAGCTGTAATCTTTTCTCCATTTGTGCTGTTCACACCTCGCATCCACACGTCATACTAACTACAGCCGTGTTTAAAGTCTTAACTATTCGTTTTTTTTGAGATTAATTTGGATTAAAATTCAAAGTGTAGATATTTTCAAAATTTAATTTGTTTGTATTGAAAACTAAAATTGACCAAATTACCCTTTCCTGGGACCATAGGTTTATTATAAGGTGACAAATTTCCGAGTAAAAAAAAAAAAAAATTAGGAAATTAGGAAATTAGGAAATTGTTTTCTATTTTTGAAAAAATTGTATAAAAGCCGTAGAAACTACACTATTTTTACGGTGGAATTCGTTTGACGAAAACATGTTATAGACATGTGTTCACGCTTATTTCAATACTAAGTAGTAAGTGTATACATATAGTTTAAGCTAGGTTACTTACGCTGGTTAAATTACAAACTAGTTTTCTGGAGGCTTTACAATCCGATTGGTTTTGCGATCGTCCGAGTCTCGTTTGCATCAAATTACGTAGATTTTCCGATTGTTTTCGTCGCCTCGCGGAATAGTTGTCGACGTTCGTCAGATTATGAATGTCCATCAACAAGATCAGACACTGATCATTGGCCAATTCCCGGACAATCGGCAAATTGATCAACTTTTTGACACCGTCGATGCGGGCCAACTCGTTGAGTTCGGCATTGATGTAATTCCTGTATCTTCGTGTGCATGCGCCGGCGTAAGAGTTCGTGATTTACGGGCGGTGCCCTCTATAAGAGAAAAATTGAATAAAAATATTATTTTGCATTCATAAAATTAGGAATATAATCAATTATAAATTACTAAATACAATTTAGTTTGCAACCCCGAGTTTCGAACGTATCGACTTCGTTTCGGAGCCTTTTGTTTTGTACGTGGTAGATTTAGTTGCCCGCGTACTGCTTCCAGTTGAATTTTTCCGTTATCACCAGAATAACGTAACATAAAAACACCAAAACCGCTAAAATATGTAATAAATACGGCGACATAGTTGTTTTTGCTGATCACGGATAGCAAGAAATACGATTGTCGGGTGGTTTGTAATTTTTCTAATGTTGACTTGGAACTGTAATATATAAAGAACGGATTTATATGTACTTAAAATTCACGAAAAAGCGCTTAAAAACGTCATAAAATCCCTAAATAAATCATTAAAAATATTTGAAAGAACTGTAAAGGTAGAGGGGTTTAAAATGTTCCCGTCTATTATTTCTGATTTATTAAAAATAATTTGTTCACATTAAAAAACCGATTATTACAAAATAATTTTCTTCAAATATATTTGTACGTGTTATAAAAATATAAAAATACTTGGTGTTAATTATTTTGTCAATGTTAGAAAATTGTATTTAATAGGGTTAGAATTGTTAGAGTGGGGACTTTAAAACCCTTTTACCACTTTTGCTTTTTTAAATATTTTTAAGCGCTTCTTTGAAGATTCAAGCGCTCTTTTGAGAATTTTAAGTACATATAAATCCATTCTCTAGTAATGTAGAATACATTTTTATTTTTAAAAATTTGATGACTATGAGGTATCGTACTTTTCATTTTTATATTTACAGATAAAAACGAATTTATGATAATAATAGTCACGATCCCACAAATTATAATCATAATATCTACTTGGGTATTACTTAGTTACTATCTATCTATTGTTAAAATTGAATAGATATTTTGAATAAAAGTTTATAACTAATAGGTAGTTTTTGTGTACTTCTTTGTTTAGGTTACTTGTTTTTTAAATTTATACATTTTTAATGGTAAATAATACAGTAACTATGTACAAATTTAAATTTAAGTGATCATTGAGTCTGAATTATCACGATTAGAATTCTATAAATGCTACAACGCTACAGGTTTTGAAATACATTAATAGATAATATTTCATATTTGCATTCAGTTTCATTAGTTATTTTAATTTTGAATATCTGAATAATGAATTTGAAATAAAGGTAATCGTAATATCGAAATAAAGGTCGAATAGGTAATCGTATGAATTATATATAAATTTTCTTTTTACCCAATACATGTGTGTGGTGTTTTGAATTTGAAATAAGTAAGTATAATTTGATATCTCCAGAATAATCCCCTAGTATTTAACATCAACAGTCTTTATTTAGATACAAAATGACAAACACCTGGTTTAATCATTATTACTATGACAATAACAACTATAAACAAAATACAAAATATTAACTTAAGTTAAAAAGTTAGTTTAATGTTTACATTAAATTTTAACTCAACTTAGTTAATTTATACAGCAATTAGATTTTAACGCGTATACTCTTTAATTATTTTTTAACTAACTTAATTGAATTCACATTATTCATTACCTTACCCAACCATGTTATTTTGTGTATGTGTACAATTACCAGTATTGGTTACTGTCGAATAGTTTATACTATCGATAGTTTTCAACAGATTGGATGAACTACCGAATGTTTCATTCAAATAGTTTTTTCAAAAACCAAATAATTCCACTAGATATTCAAATAGCTTTTGAATTATCGAACAATTCGAAAGTAATTATTGGGTAGTGCCCAACGCTAATATACTCGGTGAATATTATAACATAAGTGATTTACACGACGACGGTGACAGCATTTACTCAATCGATTAGGTAAAAAAAAAAATAAATCACCGGACTTACCGTTGTAATGTTCGATAACCGATTTTTTTAAACGAACGACGACTCTATAAGATAATATAATTTGTAACGATACGTAATATTTTTACACATACAATTTTTCGGCGTACAATATCGCACTGCAGCGGTGCAGGAAAAGTAAAAAAATATGAGGAAAAAACGTTTTCCAACAACAAAAATCACGCGGTATATTTTTGATTAATAGCTCGTAAATCATATCCACGTTATTTGTATAAAAAACCAGTAGACCGCATAATACCGTGGTTCGCGTTTTTACAGATTCTATTCGGGTTCGGCCCAAGCCTGTAAAACGTATAACGTAGTTGGTTTTATGAATTTTACCAAACATAATTCATACTTCTTGGTTCACGGTAATGCTCCGAAAAAGTTCGCGTCCTGAGTGTAAAACCACCGTGGTTATAGATAAAATATTAACATAGAGGAAATGAAAAATCTTGACCCACCCGTCAGTCCAATCCTGTTAGAATGCTTCGGGGAAGTTATGTGTAAGTTCATCTAAGTCCTAGTCGATGAAAAATCACGACTGGTCGCGTATTTATTAAGTACCGCTTGGGTGGAACTCGGAGAAGGTCTGCAAATACGTTACCGGGTCCCGTCATTTCCGCAAGTATAATTGTAATCGTGTTGCAGGTTACACATAAAATAGTATTTGTACAATATTTTATTACAGTAATGATTTATTAAAACGACAAATAAAAAAAAAAACATTCGTTAACAATATTTGTACACAGGTCGTTGAACATTCATGTTTCAATCAGTTTGACCGTGAAATACATAAACATATTATATTTTTTTTTGATTATTGTTGCGAAAATTGTTTGGAATCGTATATTATTCTAAAATTTTACGTTGCTCTTATTTTTCCACCCTTATATGTTCCGGAGGGGAGGGGGGTGTGAGACTATTATTATATTTTGAATTTAAAATGACTATCTATAATTGAAAAATTGTATAAACAGACGAAGTTTTAATTTAAAAAAAAAAAAAACAAAAACACGAGGATACATTTAAACTAAACTTGTACACGTACTTAAAAACTAAACTCAATATATACTCACTAATTGGTATACAAGCCACGAATATGATTTTTGTTTTATCTCTGTTCACCGATTATCTACAAAGATTTCGAGTAAATATGATTTTCGTTTATTCTAGTTATTATTACCCCGGATATTATTTTCAGTACAAATACCTAATGTGTTAATCAGTCACTATTTGACGTAATAACCGTGCTATGTGTTAGGTGTTATGTTGTACGATAAAAAAAATATATATATATAAAACGAAAAAAAAAAAAAGAAATTCAGAAACTTGTTGAGCATTTGTAGGATTTGAACTTAGACCTACCTATTTCCTACCAACTCTAAACTCTATATCCCACATATGCGTCACATTAGCAGATATTATCCGTTGTGCCAAAAAAAAAAAAAAAAATATGTAATATCATACAACACTAATGATTTATTTGAAATTCTAAAATGTATAACAATTTTTTAACGCCTAGATTAGATTGTGTGACATGTCATTTGGTTTCCATCGAAACTTTCTAGATCTAATGATTGAAGTCCCGTAGTTTTCCAAAAAACAACCGACCAGACTTAAGAAATCCATAAGTAAAAAAAAAAAAAATGGTCATAACTTAACATGGTCTCAGAAAGTAGTTTTACAGAACGTGGTTTTCTGGAGAATAATATCGATAATATTACTTTTTACCGACTATTCTAAATTCCACGTGGTTTCGCATTAACTAATCGAGAGTTATTTCCGACTAGGACACTGGATGAAACAGTATGAGAATATTCGAGGTTAGGTTCGATAATTATTTTGTTAATTATCAGCAGTGTCAGGATTATCCCGATAAAATTGTCTAATATATATTCTAGATAAATATAAATTATCTTGTACCACTTATCTTTTGTATCACCTTGGTTATTATTTTTAGTAAATACACACATAATAGATGATATCATGTCATCACTTCTTAATAGTATTTTTTTTTTTTTTTATGATATAACGTTTGTGCCACACCGTGCAATGCGCATAGAATATGAAATGTATCGTTGATGCTCTTATACTAAGTACATCTTGGACGAAACACGTACATTAGTAATTTATAAATACGTCATAATATTATATTTTATACTAAACAAATTGACTTTTATGTTTAAAAAAAAAAAGCTTTGATTTGGATCGTTTACAGTTAAATAAAAATGTATTAGTCATTTAATTTAATTTATAGTGGCGTTGATTTGACAACAGTTCATTTTCGTTTTTAAACACATCGGAGTCATAAAGACATTATTTGGTGTTAAAACAAATATTTAAAGAGTCCAGTAATCGTTCATACCGAGCGTTAAAAAATTTAAACCCAAACAGTGTTTTAATTAACCACAGACTAGTCTCAGTTCAAAAACGACGGTCAAATGTGAATAACTCTGACGCTTTTAGTGGTTAACTTAATCTCAGATTTCTACGCGCGCAGGCCGATACTTATAGGCAATACAAAACGGTATTGTCCATGAATTATCTCGTCGTTATCATTGCTAGGCAACTGGAAATCTATTATCTTTTATATCCATTTCGTCTAGTTAAATTGTCTTTATCTTTTATCCATACGAAAATGTCGGTTGTCCCCGACACTGCTTGTCAGCGGGAGCCCCGCCCATTTCTATCGATATCATTTCTCCGTCCGAAAAACAACACCGGCCAGACGAACGAAACGCCGCGGAGACGCGACGTCGCGACCACGAAATTCGAAAACCGAACGTTCCGAGACCGGCGAAAATGCCGAAAAGTATGTAAAAAAAAAAAAAAAAATTAAAAAAAAATATATCGTATTTTATACGGCGCGGCGACGACAACGGCGGCGTCGTCTAGAGGCTGATTAGCTTTCTCCTCGTCGCAACCGTCGAAATCGAAAACGCAGTTATTTAATCGCCGACTTATAATAATTACGGGCCCCGAGCGATGCACTCGTTTGGTTGAATTATTATTATTATTATACACGTATACATATACGCGTACGTGTATTATCGCGCCGTTCGAAAAACTTGACCGTTTTATTTTTCTCCGATTCTCGAGGTCGTCGCCGGCGCAAAAAACGCGTACCCAGCATAACGCGACCTCGTACGCGATATCGCGTGTACCGCTATCGTCACAGCTATACATTATTGTCGTATTATTGGGTATCCTATGATATCTTGTACGCCAATATCTAGTTTTTTTTTTTTTTTCTTTCGTGTCAAGATCGCGGATCGTTTTCCACGGCGAAATACCCCGGCGGCGTTTAAACGCGGGGGGAGGGGGGAAAGAGAAAAAAACGGTACAATATCGAAAAATCCCGCGCTGTCCGGATTGTGCATTATGTACGCATAACGATGTTCGGTGCGACGCGATCGTTTTCAGGCGGCTTCGGGAGCCGAACGCTTCAGTCGTCCGTAATCTGCGGATCGGAAAAAACGGCGACGGTCCGCGTACAATACGGATTGACGCCGCGGTACATTTTATCGCACAAAACATGTAAATATTAGTCATTGCGGTAAAGACGAAACCAAAAAAAAATCTCAATCTCAATCCGGATCCGCTCAGCACCGTGTAATAGGACCGGGACCGAAACTCGCGGTGTACCTACCGGAGAGACGGAATCGGTTCGCGGTCATGCGTAATTTTTTTGTTAAAATACGGAGTCGAATCGCCCACCCGTTCCGCGGAACGAAGGACTAGAGTTATGGATCCTCGTTGCCAACAAACAGGGGACACTTTACGTTCCTCAGACAAAAACAAACACGCGTCACGTTCGCGCGCCCCGTTTTGTTTCTTTCGAATTTTAACGCGCCTAACATTATTATTATTATTATCCCGGCGCACGGACGGTCCGGACTTCGCGCGGATTTCGCATTCACCGCGGCGCGACGGTACCCGCAGCGGGGCGTTTCTGGAGTCCGTCCGCGTTTACACGAACGATTCGCGGGCCGTCGGCATAACCGCGAGAAATCGTTTAGCGGTCGTCCGACACAACGACCAGATCGTACGTGGGGTCGTCCGACGCGAAAATGCGAACTGATTTCGACGAGCACCGCGGGCGTCTGCCGTCCGGTTTTTTTCGGGAGAACGGACGGCCGTGCGACCCGCTCGCGCCGAGGTCGCTCGCGCGCGCAGTTCGGACCGGACGGTCACCGCCGGGAACGCGCGCGTCTCGGGCACGCCGCGGACGATATTTTTAATAGAATAATTTTTTTTTTTTTTTTCACCTTTTCAATCGATACCGTCCGAACGCCGCGCCGCTGTCGTAACCGTCCGCCCGCACAACGTTGGCGTCCGCGCGCATATTTACGGGCATACCCGAAATGCCGGCGGCCGTCGTCGCGTAACGTGCGCGCGACGGTTTTAGGTTATGTTGTCGAATCTGGTTCGCGGCCGTTGCGTAAGCCCGCATTGCAACGCGCGAGATCGGTCTGGGGGTTTTTTTTTTTTTTGCTCTCCGTTTTCTGTCCGAGACCCGCGTACACTTACCCGCCGGCACGCGTTATTGTAACGCGCGAACGCGTTCTCGTCGTCGCCGATGACGGACGCGTTGATAGTAACGCGCGCGACCGAGATCAACGTAGAAAAAAAAAACGTTAAACCGCAACGCTGCGCGGCCGCGAACGTGCGTTTTCGCGGCGGCCCCGGACCGGTTTCGCGGCGAGACGAAAACCGAGACGAAACGCTACCGTCGCCAATATCGTCGTCGTCGTCGTCTTCGTACCCGCGCGCGAATAATAAAACTGTTATAGGTTTTTTTCCTCCGACATTACGTCGTTCGCGTGCGCGCGGTCCCTCGGGGGGCAGTCTCCTTTCCCGCCGCCGGAATAAACCAAAAAAAAAAAAAAAAAAAAATAAATATACGCGCGCCAATAATAAACGAGGCGAAAACGCGATTTCTGCGGTGTCCGCTCGGCGTGTAATACGTGTAGATGCATCGGTTTATACGACTACGGGACGCACGGAAACGCGCATTTCGTATTGCATTATGTTGGTCAAGCCTACGCGCAGAGCCGTTATTAGCCCCCCCCCCTCTCTCTCTATATCTCTATATCTCTCTCTCTCTATATATATGCATACGCGATATAATATATTTCGTTTTTTTATTTATTGCAATGACGACGTGCTCGCAAAAGATAATAAAAACAAAACAATAATACTATATGTATATATTTGTATGTATAAAAAAAAAAAATACATAATACATAATAATCAAGAAGTATACATAATTTGTATAGAACGGTGACAATGACAATGGAAGTATTACACGCACACACACACGCGCGCGCGCAAAAAAAAAAAATATATGTTTTTAAAAAAATACAAATTTACACACATTAATAAAATACAATTAATACAATAATATTATATACGTCGAAAAGTATAAAATATAATATATACAATACAAAAAAAAAAAAAATATATTAAGCGATAAAGAACTAGGAAGAACGTACGATTATATTTTTGCGATATCGTGTCCGACGATATATTTTCGTTGATTTCTGTCGTTTTGCCGTTGTTAAAAATACGAACACGACAATATTATATGATTACTATTTTTTGATCGTTCGACCGTTGAGTTTTTCGCTTGACGCCGTCCGTTACGAATCGGAAAAAAAAAACGTATTCATACGGAGGCGTCGCGCGACATTGGAAAATTTTCGATCGGATAGTTTCCCCGACCGCGAGATCGCGTAAATAATAATACAATCGGCGAGTTTCTTGGCGCGTTTTTCGCCGGATTATATTATTTTCGCGTGATACGCGTCGCGGCACGGGGAAACAATGCCGAGCGGTTTTTGTTTGTTTTGCATTTTATTTTTTATCGATGACCGAGAATGACGGGAGAAGAAAACGGACGGCGTAACGGGGAAAACCGTTAGTATTTAGCGGGAGCCGCTGGCGCTCCGGCGGCCGGTGTCTTGGATACGTTAGCGAAAAATCCGTTGTCCCAGTCGGCGTAGTACGTGACCGTTCTGATGGAACCGTCGGGCTCGACAAGGCTGTACTCTCCTTTCACCACCTCGCCGTCTCGTTCTTCTTTTTGGCTCTTCTTGTCGCCGGTGTACGAATCGTCTACGCTGTACTCGTAGGCGTACCTCGGGTTTTCGTCCTGTCGTGTGCAAACAAAAACGACGAATGTTACGTGCGAATACAATGGTTGGGTTAGGAACATTGTGCTGGGTCACGGGATTTTTGCGACATCCTAACGAGACGGTTAGTTTGCGGGCGAAAAGCCGAGCGGGAAAACGCGCGCGGTTGTCCTACGCTCGTGCGCCGCTATAGACGCGCCGGAACAACCGTTGTTCGCGGTTATGCGCGTCATTCGCGTTACGCGTTTCTTTTCTACGATTGCCCAATGATAATGTAAAATTTAATTTTTCGCCCGAATACTATTACGACAGTTATTCGTTATGATACTTACGTAATTTTCCAAATGCGTGTTGACGACGTTCTTGGTCGATTTGGGCTCCGACACGTAGCTAGCGTAGGTCTTGGCCGGCGCGTACGACGGGGCGGCTGGCGAGTACGCGGGGGCGGCCGGGGCGTATGCGGGTGCGGCGGGCGCGTATGCCGGTGCGGCGGGGGCGTATGCCGGGGCTGCGGGGGCGTATGCCGGGGCTGCGGGCTGGTAAGCCGGACCGGACGAGTAGCTCAGAGCCGCTGGAGCGTATGACGGAGACGGGTAGCTCGGTTCGGCGGAGTATTCGGGAGCCGGACCGTAGGAAGCGGCCGGCGCAGGGTACACCGCGATCGGAGACGACGAGTATGATTTTTTCGGCGCGGTGTACGCGGCCGGTGCTGCGGTCGAGTACGACGGTTTGGCGTAGGACGACGGGGCTTTGGTTGCGTATTCGATATCCTCTGCACACTTAGCCGGTGACACAGCCACGTAGCTCGACGGGGTCGAGTAAGCTATGGTCTTGGATTCGGAGCTCTTGTGGCTGCTGCCGCTCGAGTACGAGTTGTAGCTCGGCGACTGGTATTTGGGGGCTGGGGCGGGAGCAGAGTACTTGGGCGGAGAAGCGTAGACGGGTTCGGGAACAGCGTAACTCGGGGCTGGGGTAGAATAGCTGGGTGCCGAGTATTTCGGGGCGGCTGGGGACGCGTACGCGGGTTCGGGAACAGCGTAACTGGGAGCGGGTTTGGAGAAGCTGGACGACGAGTAGCTGGACGCGGAGTAGCTTGGCGCCGAGTATTTCGGGGCGGCCGGTGATGCGTACGTGGGTTCGGGAACGGCGTAGCTCGGGGCCGGGGTAGAATAGCTGGATGCCGAGTATTTCGGGGCGGCTGGGGATGCGTACGCGGGTTCGGGAACAGCGTAACTGGGGGCGGGTTTGGAGAAGCTGGATGAAGAATAACTAGACGAAGAGTAACTGGGTGCCGAGTATTTTGGTTGAGAGTAGCTGGCAGGTGCCGGAGAGTAAGACGGACTTGGTGCGGCGTAGCTCGACGAGGCAGCACTTGAGTAACTGGCAGACGAGTATGCGGGAGCCGGAGAGTAGGCGGGTTTTTGTGCGTAAGAAGCTGGTGCTGGTGAGTACGATGGGGCAGAAGTGGTGGCGTATTGGTGTTCAGCTGGATCTTCACATTTTGGCGTAGTTACCGAATATGGTGCAGCCGGTTTGTATTCAGCTTTGTAACTGTGTGGCGTATATTCGGTGGTGCTGGACACATACTCTACTGGAGCCTCGTATTTCGGTGTGGTGTAGACGACCGGTTTGTACGACTGGGCAGAGTAGGCGGCCTTTGCGGGTTTGTAGTTGGTGTTATAGCTCGGCGAATTGTATTTCGGCGTGCTCGGTGACGCGTAGCTCGGATCGGGAACTGCGTAGCTCTGGGCGGAGTAGCTCGGGGCGGAGTAGCTCGGGGCGGAGTAGCTAGGAGCGGAGTAGCTCGGGGCGGAATAGCTCGGAGCGGAGTAGCTTGGAGCGGCCGGGGCTGCGTACACGGGTTCGGGGACGGCGTAGCTCGGGGCCGGGGTAGAGTAGCTCGGTGCCGAGTATTTCGGAGCGGCTGGGGACGCGTACACGGGTTCGGGAACGGCGTAACTGGGGGCGGGTTTGGAGAAGCTGGAAGACGAATAGCTCGACGATGAGTAACTCGCAGCGGGTGCGCTTGGAGCCGAGTAGCTCGCGGCTGAGTAGCTGGGCGATTCGTAACTGGCTGGTTTGGAGTAAGCTGGTTTGGGCGTCGAGGAATAAGCGACTACCGCGGATTCAGACTTTTGGGGTCCGTATTGTGGTGGATGAGAACATCCGTCGTCGTGCTGGTGGCTTTCTGCTTCGTACTGGCCACTGCAGCTGCCGACGATCAACAACAACGTAATCGCCAAAACCTTTAGAACAGAAAATAAAAACAAAATGTTTGATCGAGACCGTGTATACGATAGGTACCGGTGTAAATGTCCGACGACATCGGGGGGGAAAAAAAAAAAAAAAAAAAAACTTGCGACACGAAGTGACGAGGGAGCGAGAAAACGAAAAAACTTTTTGTTTCCGAAACGACAACAGTGTAATAATAATAACGTCTGTTTCACGTACCTTAGCTTCCATGGCGGCGACCGACGTTCGGACGATGAAGTCGAGTAGAATTGAAAACAAAACGGACGATCAATAATATAAACAATAATCACTGCAGGTACACGGCGGATTGATCGTGTTTTGAACACCGGACTTATATAAATACGACGGAACGCGTTGCGCACGATTCGATGCGGTTCGTTAGACGGACACCAATCACCAGGTGCAAGCCCGCGCGCAAGACTTTATACGCGGCGCGTCCCACTTCTGTCGCCGGGAAAAAAAATAATAACCGCGCCGACCGTTACGGTTATCCCCTACCAACCGCCGCCCGCGTCCCGTGGCCGGCGATCGGTATCGCCTCGTCACCGGTCCCGCGGTGCCCGCGGCGGTTTTTCGGTCCGAAACGGTTTGGGTGTGGCCGGCCGCCCGGCGAGGGGGCCGGTTATGCGCTGGCGGTACGTAACGACGTATACGCGCGTTGCCCCCTAGCCGGTCAACGTCCACGTCGCGCCCGAGATAGCCGTTTCGCGTCGTCGTCGTCGTTACCGCGATTATTATGGCCATCGTTCTCGCCGCCGCCGCCGCCGCGTCGATAATCGTTACCATATTACGTAGGTACACATCGTCTGTTTTAGACTCCCGAGCGAACCGGGGCGATGTACCGGTTGGGCGCTGCGGATAAGGTTTTTTTTTTTTTGTCCGTTTCGTTTCCTGTCGCGTTCGCAAACGAATATTGTCCGCCGCGGAAATATCGCCTCGGACGAAACTTTACGCGGGAACTTTGCCGCGGCGCTTTTGACCGTCGGCCGCGGGCACACGGCGCGACGGCCGTTTTCGGATGGATTTTTCCCGCTTGAAATCGTTTTTTTCGTTCGCGGCGGTACGCCCTCCCGACAGGTGGCGTCATAGCGCAATATCAGATATTTTTATTATTTTTTTTTTCAGTGAGAACCGCATTGGTTTCACCAGCATTGCGTTATTACGGCGCGCTCGCGATTTTTTCTTCGAGCGAGGCTCCGCGGGAGCTCACGCGTAGTGCATTTCGTCTGTAGCCGATGGGATCGAAGCGATCGTTTTCCCCGTATTTTCCCGGTAACGAGTGAAAACCGAGAGAGACGGAAAGTATTTGTGAAAAATATTTTTATTTTTTTTTAAATTTATTTATAGAGCTATGTGAGACGTATACTTGACCCCGGTCATAACGAATTCTTCGCTCCGTAACACTTTTAAGAGAGCGAAACAAAATTTTCGGTTTAAAAGTTTATTAATAATACAAAAAAAAAAAAAGAAACGCTGTAGTAAAACCAATAGACTTTCTGACAATCTAAAAGACTAATGTTTAGATAAACGGTTTGCGTATATATTGTCAATGTTTTACTCATCTCGGTAATAATCTTCAGTAAATAACGCAGATTTTTTTTCCCTTTTGTCCGTAACTTTGTCCATATTTTGGAATTGTACGCTTCATAAATCTCCGTATCTCGCTCGACAACTTAAAACGGTATCCGAAAAACGTTCCGCATATTCACATTAACATCAAAATCAACAGCAAAACATTGGACGTGCCGGACGGAGGTGCGAACGTTGACCGGTTTTCAACGTCGCCCGTAACACGTACTTACGTCCGATCGTCAGCGACGCGTTTACGCAAGGGCATCGCGGACATTTGCTCGCGGGCCCGCGAACCGTGCGACGTTTTTACTGTTGTTATTGTTATTATTTTTTTTTTTTTTTAATATTTTACCAATCGTATCGGATTTTTTTCCTAAGCTAACGTTTGGATGGGCGAACAGACGATAAGGGGCCCCAGAAACGCGGTACCGTATCGGGCCCCGTAAAAACAACGGTGAACCGGGACCGGCCAACCGCGACGCGTACAGCACGCCCCTCCGGGGGCCGCGGAAACTCGCGCTGTTGCGGGCCGTCGGCGATCCGGGAAAAACCGCCGACGGTCTCGACGGCCGCGGATTTCCACGGCGCGGGCAACAAAACAGTTTTCTGCGCGCGACGTCGCGGTGTCAATACCGCGTGCCGCATGGGCAAGTACGTCGGTCGGTCGGTCGGTCGGTCCGGTGACGTCTCGAGCGGCCGGCCGCGTTCATTAGCGACGGGCGCACGTAAAATTTGGAGAAAAAAAAAAACCCGATCCCGGAGGAGGCGCGCTCGGTTACGAGCCGACGGTCAGACGGCGTAATGGACGACAGGGAGGAGAGAGAGGGAGAGTGAAAAAAAAAAATACGTTAACAATTCAGTCAACGCCGTCGCGGCCGCAGACGCGGTGCGTACCGGTTTTTTTTTTTTCCCCGGCCGTTTTCGTTTTCTGTCCGAGTGCATTTTATCGCGTCGAAGTATTACGAGCGCCCGTCACGGTGACGTCGTTTCGTCCGCCGCAAAAGCGGCCGGTCCGAAATGCTAAAAAACGCCGATACGAGAAAACAAAAAAAAAAAACAAAACCGTTTCGTTGTTATTAGAGGTACCACCACTCTCGTACAACTGCGGCCGCGATCTGGAGGAGGGGGGCGTCCGAATTAAATTGCGACCGGTCGCGAGGTTTTTCGCGGATATTTATTCCGCCGCAATCGTGATAACGAACGAAAAACGCGGAGGCGTGCTCACCGTGAAAACGAAAAAAAATAAAAAAAAATAATAGTAATAATAATAAAACAGAAACCGAGCTGTCGTCGTCGTCCTTTCCGTTTCATGATTTCTAAACGTAAGTTTAGAACGCCCTGTACTGTCCGTCCGTCCGTGTAGCAATTGCTACGGCACGCGTGGTCACGGTTCGTCGATTTGGCTGACGGCGAATATTATTATAATTCGTAAAACTTTTATCGCGATCACATTGCCAATTTCGCATTCCGAGCGGAGCGAGCAACGTATTGGTTTTACAAGGATGTTTATTTTACTCTTTTTTTTTTTTACGCGAACACTTTTTTTCTACCAGAATGCTCACTCCGATTATCAAGTGTACAGTAACGTTTCTGCGAGGAAATTTTCTCGGGGTGCGGTACTTTAAGGGCGTCATTTTATAAAATTCTCGTTAATGTTCGAGATAATGAGAAAAACCTGGTCCTTTGTGTTAAAAAATATTGAAAGATTAACGTCGGCAACCGCTTTTATTTATTTTTCGTTATTATTATTTTAATATTTTTTTTTTTTTTTTTAACAATCATTGTTGTCGTGAAAACGCAAATTGTTGTAATCATTTTACCACAATATGACATATATATTGTTGACAAAGCAACACTATCAACTGAACTCCGCTCAGAATCGTTTTTTCGTTAGCAATGGTTTATCGTTGCTTACAGATATACATTAAATTCCCGTCTGTATCCCACCTTTCCCAACTATCCAATCTACAACAGTGGCTGCACCCACGTGCGAAGTACGTCCGTCCTTTTCTAAATGTAAATTCGTAACTTTATTGCCAGTCCTACTAATTTCACAAATGCGAAAGTTTGTTCGGACATTTGTTACCACTTCTCGCCAACAAACTAACGAACGGATTGAGCTGAAACTTTGCATAGACACAGTTCTAGACTAGGAATACATTTTCTAGTTTCTCTACTCCAATACTGCCCCACCTCTAATTCCGCCACTGAAAGACGGTTCACGCAGATTTAACGGTATTTTCTGTACGAAAATCGAATTTTTTTTTTTTTAGTGATATATTGCGGTTATCGTATGGAAGAGAGAAACAATTGAAAAAAATAGCCGAACAAAACAATAAAAATTATTACTTTTGGCACAGGTAACGACGGACGGGACTACTGGTTTAGGTATAAATTCGTAACATTATTATTATTATTATTGTAAAATATTATCAGTGTTTGATAATGTACCGTGTGACCGTATGTGTGGCAACACCGGTAACGTACGACTTAAATTTCGGTACCTATAGGCCGCGTTTTGGGCGTCACATATACATCATTTTTCATAGAAAAACGCCTCGAATTTCGTTGCTTTTTAACAAAATAAAATTGCGATTTTAACGGGGGGCATCGAACAGTTTGTATCTGTCATTCGGAGAAATCTACTTATTTAAAGTAACGCGATACATTTCTCAGACGGGACATTAACATACGAGTAATAACCGAGAATATGTTCACTACTCGGAGTGTCCCAATAGTAGACTCTCCAATTAAATGGCTTTCGCTTTATTAAAAATATTTCGATTTAATTATAAGTGTATTAATATAATACAATTATATTATTGTAAGAGTTGTATGTGGGTACTGTATTTTATAATTTTGACAAGTATCCTTTTTAAGTCCAATTAAAAAAAAAAAAAAAAAACCGAATTTTGTACCGCCCTAATACACTTATAAAAAATGGTAACAATAATATCGAAGAGAATTCTTTTTTTAATTTTTTTAATTTTATTAGAAATGAACCGGTAGTTGTAGTTCATTGCAAATGGTGATTTCCAACCAACGATTATTATCATTATCCACTTAAATTAGAGCTCCCTATTGCACGTGTACACGCTTTCACGTATTCACGTGGAATTAACACTCGAATCCATACAGCCGTATATATCTACTTAGAAAATACGAGTAACACGTATGTCCACGTATTTCACTTATAATATAAGTACTACAATATATATAAATATATGTATATACTTATAAATTACAAGTATTAAATATAAACTAATACTTTTTAGATTCGGCGCGTAGTGAGAGGGATCCGTTGGTTTTACCATGATGTGTTTTTTGTATTTTGTATTTATTTTTTTTCACGAGGCTATGCGCAACTTTTCTACCAGAAATAATGTTCCAATAGAAAAACAACGAAAGACCTTTTTTCGTCGAACTTTTTATCTAGTTGATAAGTACTAAAATCACATTTTGATTTTACGTGCAGATTTTTTTTAATGATTAATAGAACAAAACTCTTTTCTTTTTTTTAAAAAAGCCATTTTTGCTTTTAGTTTCTAAAATTTAAACTTTTCTATCTTTTTCTGTTGTATTATATTATACAATACACGTTCCAGTCTGTTTCCACCTACTGTGCAAGTTTCATCATGGTTTCTATCGTACACTATCGACGCGGTCTTCCCCGTAGCCTCATTGCTTTTGTTTCTTCGTTTATAATTATCTTCATCAGTCGCCAAACACAGTGGCGTCATTTAGATTTAGCGAGATTTGGTCATTTGCGTGTTTACAATTCAATATTAAAATAATTTGGCCCGGCGTTATAAATTGTTTGGCTCGAATGATGCGTATAGTGGCTCGCGCATTACTGGTCCATATATTTTACTTTTAAATTAATATTTTGTTTTTCTTTTGGACTCAAATCGAAAACACGATTGAAACATTGCGTATAGATATTAACGACCGTGATTACCAAGTTCTCTCTCTAATCTTGATCGTTTGTGCACGCAACTTTATTAGCTTTTACCTAATGTCTTATTGAATGGTTTAATGATGTGTTTGAAAATACGTGGATTATTTTATTTTTGTTGTGTTGAAAATTCTAGACAGGGTTTGTAACTAGTGTAATCACATGCGTATGAAAAAAAAAAAAAAAAATTTAAATGACGTCATTCGTTAAACACGTCCAGTCTATTCCAGTTTCGTGCACCTAATTGGATGGACCACGATTTACCTTTTTTTAAACCGCATTTCATTGATTAGCCGATCTTAATTTTGCATCTTTGCGCTTCGGCGTTGTACATCACGCCATTGATATTACTTGTAACTTCTTCTCAAATCTTAAAATCCGTTTTATTCATCACTTTTCGTCGTGGTCCACGTGATACATCACGCGTAAGTAGAGCGCTGGCTAGTAATTCGTACTAGTCGGTGTTAACAAAAATAGTTACCAGAATACACGTGTTGTAATGATTTCTCGGAGAATTTAAAAAAAAAAAAAAACAACAACGTCCTGTCCCGTCGTCTCCAAACGAAAACATTCGATTTACGTAAGTCCGTACGCGCATGAGCATATATACCGCATACTGCGGGTCGCTATTAAATCCGTTCGAAACAATTGCATATGGAATTATAGTTTTCATTGTTGTTTCGACTCGACACGTTCGCCGAGTGGGGGGGGGGGGGAGGGGCTGGTTCCCGACTTTCGTTCGCACGTCCATAAACAATAATAATAATAATAATAATAACAGTAATCATATTTCGCTCCGCGGAAAAAAAAAAAAAAGAGTGGGCGACACTCGGACGACCGCGACGACGGCGGAGTCCCCGGGCCGCGAGAGAGTTCGATTTTTCGCCTCGTTAAGAAATATTAAAAATACAAATTCCCGGGCGTTGCGTAACGTTTTCCGAGACGCACGAGCTCGAAAGAATTCCGTCTGAAATATTATTATTATTATTATTGATATTGTTGTTATTATTATTATTATTGTTGTTGTTGTTGTTGTTGTTATTACTGTCGGCGTGTGTCCGAAGGCGCGCGATTTATTATCTCCGCCGCCGCCGCCGCCGCCGTTATTATCGTTTCGTCCGGTGGCCGTCGTCGCCGAGAGTCGCGCGCGATGGTTTTCGCCGATAACCCCCCCCGAACGCGCTGTCGTCGAGATGACAATACGCGATAGCCGCGCAACAACAATAACTGTAATAATATTGTAATGTTATTGTTTTGTTATCGTCCTTCCCACGTCCTCTCCCCAGCCGTCCCGCCGCCGCCGCCTCGCGGTTCGGCCAAATCGTTTTTAAAACGGCCCAAAGCGATCCGGGGGGGAGGGGGGGGTGGGCGAGAGAGAGGGGAGAGAAACCGCGAGCGTATAGAAGTCGTACCGTTTATAGGAATTTCCGTTCGGCCGTGACGCGTGTCCGGGGAAAAACCGTGTATCGCGGTAGGAATTCGCGCGAAACCGACCGCCCGGGTACACCGAATCGAACACCGCCGCGTACGTTGTCCCGTTCGTGTGCGACGGATTACTTCGGATAGTGCGCGCGCGCAAACGTCCGCGTTCTACGGTGGCGATACACGAGAATAATAAGGCGACGCGACGTTTCCGCCTTCACCCGGGGTGTCGATAACTGCGAAAACGGCGGACGGTACTGCGGTTCTATCGCGGCCCGTCCCGTTTCGCCGCTCCTTCCCGGCTTCGCGTATCGACGCACTACGCCCCGCACGGATTAACGCGCGGGCGAGACCGTCACGTGCCTGCAATACTTTGACAGTGGCGCGGGAATCGTTCCGTTCGTTTTACGTCCGCGGCCGTACCCCTCAGTAGAACGTTTTGGGTTGAGCGCGTTATTTAAAACGTTATCGATAATGCAATTTTGTGCGGTGCGTTCAAATCATTCGACAATTGTGTACGGCAAAGTTTCAAAAACGACGCGCCCCCCGCGGTCACGGCCCGGCTCGATTCGGTCCTGCGCGCCTTCATAAGCGCGTACCGATGTCACGCTCGTAATGCATTTGATTCGATCGAGCGTAACCGGTGACGGGTATCGCTCAGCGTAATAAGCGAACGCGCGCGCTTTTAAAAGAATAATATTTTATGTCCGCGCGCCATTCCGCTTATCTAAAGTGCGTTTGGACACGTATCGACCGCAGTAATATAGACGCCAATGATACGTACCCGTATTATGAGACACGAAAATAAACCCATTAGTTAGGTTTGGCGCCGGTCACGTTATTAAACGAACGCGAAAACGTCGGCAGGCACGGACGGTTGTCGCGCATGTGTATGAAAACTGAAAAAAAAAAACAAAAAAAAAAACGTTCAACTCGTATTGTAAGTACGGGTCTTTTGACGCCTACTGCAATCGTGTCTTTCGGTCGTCACGCCGTCGTGTTATTCGTCTCAGGGCGGATCGCGTTCCTTCGGGCTTCGGCCGAACCCGTGCCGCCGCCGGTAGTACCGGCAAAAATGTGTCTGAAAAAACGTCTTTATCGATCGAACGAGTCACGCGATCTATCCGGGTCCAGCCGCTATTAAAATACCCGACCTACCGCATAGGCGTTATGATATAGTTATACTGTTGTTAAACTTGGTGTAAAAACGCGAGGTTCAAAAAAAAAAAAATAGCAAAAAAACGATTACCTCGCGCCTTTATTTTTATCAGTAGCTAAGGGTGTTTTTAGACCGTTCTTTTGGTATTTTAAAGAACTGACTGTGTATTCGCTTGTTTACCAATCGTACGATTTATATTTTATGTTCCACTTATAAGTAGCGAACGGATTAATATGCAATTAAAATTCACAAAAAAAAAAATGCTTAAAAACATTATAAAAAGTTCCTGAAAAAAGCACTAAAAAATTATTTAAAAAGCAAAAACCGTAGAGAGATTTAAATGTCCACTCATCAAATGACTTCAATGTAATGTTTTAACACTTCGATAATGATTGACACGAAGTAATTTTTTTAATGATACGTACAATTTATTATAAAAAATTCACTGTTAATTATTATTATAATTGTATGATATAATATATATTTTTCGAACCATTAAAGTAAACATTTAGGAAAAAAACAATTTTTAGTACTAAAAATGAGATTTAATAAGTTAGAGCGTTAGATGGGAGATTTTTAAACTTCTCTGCCGTTTTCGATTTTTAAGTGCTTTCTAAATTATTTGTTTGACGTTTTTTTTTTTTAAGAGCTAATAAACTCGTTCCCAAGTCATAAGTATTAGAATTTCATTTGATTATTTCAAGTTTTCGTTATTATTTTATGCTCTCGATGCCGTAACTTTGAAATCCGGATCCAAGAAAGCAAAATATGTTTCGATTCGACACTCTCGAAGGATAATTAAAAAAAAAAAAAAATAAATAAACATTTGTACGGACACTTGCAGAATTCTGTATATTGTTGTAAGTTCGTGTTGTCCGTATTCGTAGAGTCGATTTTGAAACGGCTACCTACCACTCTACGTAAAATATGCTTGTGTATAGAACAATAATATTACACGTTAAAGTAGTTTTAATGTTATGTGAACGTTTCTTACATAACAAAATATTATAAGTTAAATGACTACATAATATCGTATTCTAATATAACGTTTAACTTTCATAATCACCCCCGTAAAGTTGCTCTGGATATTATGTGCCACTCTACGTAATCAAACAATAAAGTAGACTGGCGTATCCTATGCAGTGTTGTATAAAGATAAACATTTAAATATCTCGATAAACATGGGAGATAATTGCTGGAATAATAACCAAGACGTAGACAAAATATGCATAACAATTTAACTATCTAGACAAAAATAGAACACCGGCGACTTTTTATCTAGATAAATGAAAAAAAAAAAAAAAAATTTCGGTCATTACCTGAAAGTAGCTAAAAGTAAAAGTGTACCAGATCCGGTACATTTCGATGTATCAAAAAGTTTGAGGCGCGGTTGATTACGAAGTTTAATAATGTATTTATTTAAATCAAATGTGATTTTTTTTTTTTTTTTTTTATCACGGACCAGCAATTTTCTCGGAGGATTTTAAGCAAATTTAATTTGTTTTTTTTTTTTTTTTAAACATTGTAGAATTGTTTAAACTTTATTTTAAAACAATTTTAATATTGTACTCCTCACTTCATATACCTTTAATAGGTACCTTTCATATACCTACTTATGTTTTTCTACAAGAACCCCCTCTCTTTTTGAACACAGATTCGAATAGAGAATATGATGCTAGGCGTTTTCATATGCATAACACTAATATAAGATTTATTTTTTAAGAGTTATTACCATTTAAAGTTTAGACAGTAGGAGTACAGAAGGTTTATAAGTAAATGGTTTTAAAATAAAGTTTAAACGATTGCACAATGTTTAAAAAGAAATCAAATAAACTTAAAATTCTTCGAGAAAACTGCTGGTTCATGATAAAAAAAAAATCGCCCTGTATATACATAAATTACGTGTGAAATGATAATTTTTTGTCCACAGGTAATCTCCGAAACTACTGAATTCATCGACTTGCTTATTTTACAAAAAAAGAAAAAATATAGAGTACACCGTGGAGCCAGTTTTAATACGCCAAAAAAATGTTTAATTCTCAGGATAAGCCATGCTGGACAGCTGTTAAGTTAATATAAACTAAACACTTTACTTATTATTTAAGATTACAAAAAGATTTATTTCGATAAATTTACCTAGATTATTCAATTATAAATTTTAGATAACTTATTTCTCATTTATATATATATATATATAAGATAATAGATACAAATATACTTACATAGATCTGTACAATTTTTTACGAGCGCTTTCAATTTTTTTGTTTTAGAAAAAAAAAAAAAACAATATTGTTCTTAAAAAATGTATTTTCCTAGCTTTTCCAAAAATTAAAAATGTCAGTACATTTTTACATATTTAAGAAGCTTTAAGCCGTTTGGCTCCTACTATGCGGTAGTTATACGATTATGCGGTACAGTCGCGGTTTATGTGATTTAAAGGAAATCTCTCAATACCAAACGGGGAATAATTGCGCGGTTATGTCCGCAGCACTTGTAATATCATTGCAGTATGTATTTACAATAATAACAGCCGAGAGCTACCGCAACTTTAATTGCATATGTAACCGACCGACCAACAACAACGTCGGTGATGTTATATAATATCGTATGAGATAATTATAGGTAAATACAGTGCGATTTTTTTTTTTTTTTTCGATATTTTAATGGCCATAAGTACCTATCAAAATATTTAGAAAAAACGTATTCTCTTTCGAGTATGCGCGTTGAGAGAGGGGAGAAAGGCTTTTTGGAAGTTTGAAATTCGATGTTACGTAGTTAAAGAACTGCGGGCAATATTTTTTGAACAATGTATCGTAAATGAGATCAATAATATATCGTTTACTCGAAAACTCCGTAGGTATACATTACTGTAATCTCTAGATTGCCGGATAAACGAACCGCACTAATCGCTGTAATAATTTATGATCGCACTCGTCGATTGTCGAATAGGATACACAATAGCGTTTCGTCTCTTTAGCCCTGTATTATCCACACTAAACAAATAAAATATTATAATCGAGGACAACACTGTCAATTAAGAATCCGATACTCGTTTCATTTCGATACTTGTAACCATTAGCACTCAATTCTCGTTAATTTTAAAAACCTAAATGAAAACGATTATAATATTGCTTGAGATTTTAAGCGGAACGAGGAACGCATTGGTTTTACTACTGTGCGCTTTTTCGTGTCCGTAAAAAAAACTTTTCTACCAAGAAACGTTATTTTCTTGTATCAGTTTTGATCCGTTTGGTACTTTGAAAGGTCATTTGTTTGATATTCCTCGTAGTTTACGTAATAAATCGGAAAAAAAAAAAACTGAAAATTGTTATTGATACATGGGTTACCTTTGGAACAAGGAAATATACGACGAAAAGTACACTGTTTAGAATTGTTTTTCACGAGCAATGATTTATCGCCGTGCACAGACATAAATTCAATTGCCCTATATTATATCATCCTTTCCAATTTCCCTCCAGTACCAGTGGCACATCAGCGGTATCGGCAATTTTACCGTTTAAAATGTATACGTGGTTGTCATAATACGCTATTACAAATAATCGATTATTAATCGTTTTTAATTTTAACATGATATTATAACGTGGAAATTAGCTAGATTTCGATAATCGATAATGTCACAATGATCAATATTCATAATGCCGATGGTGCCGTATCGCCCGTCCCTATAATTGTAATAATATTTTATTAGCAGGTACCTATCTCTATGGATACGCAATTATCAAAATATAAGACGGATCCCTCTATATATGGACTGTGGCGTTGCAGTGTTGTGTATACGCGCTCGGGACGCAACACGTGTGCACCGAAAACGTCGGCGGACGCCGACGGACTGGCGATCGTGTATAATATTATGCGGTTTCGACACGATATTATTATTTTTTATACGTGCGTCTAGAGTCTGAAGAGAGAGAGAGAGAGAGAGAGATTATAGATCGTCGAGAGCGTATTTTTCGCCGATTCCAATAATAATAATGCAGCGCGTTCGGCGGCGGCGTGTACAGGTACAATAATAGTAATAATAATATACCTATAAGACTTATTTAAACCCGTTTTTCGATCGCAATAAATAACGGCGATCGTGATATTATTTATTCCGAAAAGAATGATAAAAAAAAAAAAAAAAAAAAATTGTGTAATTAACCGACGACGGTGACGACTATACGACGATATACCGAGTTGAATAACGGCCAAACGAGTTCGCCGCGATTTGCACGTATCTATACATATATACCTTCGTATATTATGCTCTGGAAAACTTATGATAATATATTACAACAAAATAACAACAAACCCATACGAGCGTATTAAAATTGTTTTTTTTTTTTTTTTTCGTTCTTTCTGTCTTTCTATTGCCGCTGCCGCATCACGCCCAACAGGTACTGGTTCTGCGCACCGGCAGCGCACTTACGGACCCTATCCGAGTTCGGACCGATACGATAATAATAACAATAATAATAATGTGTAGGTAGACGTCCGAACCGTCGTGGTTTTTCGTCGGCCACAGGACTTAAGTTTTAGGTTTTCATTCGGCGTCTGCAGGCTAAACTGAAATGGTGGACAAGTATACAGTCGGAGCCCTATGGTCAGTATATTTGTATCAGGGACGGATTTAAAACAAAGTGCGGAGGGCGAAACGTTCACCATTGAACTATATAATTTGAGAATGTTTCGTAAAAAAAAAAAAAAAAAATGTATGAATTCTTCAATTAAAAATACGGGGAAGAGAGAAGAATGCCTTGCGAGTTGTGGGGCCGCTATATCTCGAGTGCCGGATGAACGCGCCCTGTCTGCACTTGCGTTAATCCGAGCCTGTTCACTCTTATAAGACACTTCAACTTCCTCGGAAAGTTTGCAACAGGTTCAGACAAACGGATGTGTCAAGATTTTTTATTTCCCTTATGTTGCCTTATCTAAACCCGTGGTGGTTTTGCGTTGAATCGGTATAGTAGTATAGAATTTCGGGAACACGCTTACAGGACACGTGGCTTCCCTGGTACAGTATCGTGTTTGGACTAAAAAGTTGGCTACCTAATGATTAAAGAAACTCGGAAAACCAACTCGATTATGTACATTTCGGTTTGGTCCGAACTCTGATGAGGTTCTGTAAATGTGCGTACGGGCACGAGTCTCCAAATTCCGATCTCGACCGTTGAACAAACATACTATTATGAAATAATTGTTGAAAACCTACGCACGATAAACATTACCGCTAGTATTATCGCTTGGATCCCGCTGCCTTATAAAAGGTGCACTGTCCGTTAAAAATTGTTTAGAGAGCTACAGTTGCAGTTATATATTATGTGCACTATACGGAGAAAATAGTCACGAGAAGGGGTCCATCGAAATACATCGAGTTTTTAATAAACGCGATTTTAAAATAATTAATTTGCCGACAAATTGGGCCACGTTAGGAAAAAAAAATTAGTTTTTTTTATTTGAGTTACATTTTTACCGTTTTATTTATAGTCTAAAATTGTTGTGGTTATTGCGTTTTTCGATCGGAATTTCGTCGAACCGCGTCTATTAATTCACCGACTGTTATTCTCTAGTTCAGAAAATACGAGAATAATATTACAATATTATGTTCTCTTTCGGAAATGGTCAAAAATTAGTAGCCGTCTTGTTTTCGGACGCAGTAGCACGTAGATAGGTAGCCGAGAAAAATATTATTGCGCTCGAAATAATAAAAAAAAATAAAAAAAAAAAGACGAACATACTTCAAACGATGGGTGGGCCACTGTAGTAGGTGAGAAGTTGGGAAGGTAGGGTACAGAAGGTAATTTAATTTATACCGGTACGCAGTGATAACCCTTCGCTAACGAAAAACGATTCGGCGTGACGTTTATTTCATACATGTACTTACATTTTCCCATTTCCCACCTATTTTCTCGGGTTTCCTCAATTATTATGAAAATCGCTTGAACAATTAAAACATAACCTAATGTACCACCCATTGTTATTGTATTCGAAATATTAGTTGTTGGTGACATTATATTTTAACAAAAACGAACTTTTTCAACTTGTTTCATTTTTGTGCGCAACTCGAGTGTATTTTTTCATCACAATCCGATCCGTCGTACTCTGCAACGGGCGTTTCAAAAATATTAACATCCGTTCTATATGATAATAGGCGTGTGAAACCGTAGTGCAAACTCGGAACGAGTCTACGTGCGAAACGGACAGCGTTTGACATTTCGTCGGTTATTTTCGTAGAGTGCCGCGGAATTAACGTTAGACTGTGACATTTTGGTCCCGCGCAGAGTAATCGGTATAGCGGCAAAAAAATGTTTTACTGTATTAGAGCGTTCGACCTGTTGATTACTTTTAAATATTATGATAACGTGTCGAGGACGTTGACCATAACATTCTTATTGTTGTAAGTCTCGGGTAAAAACGACACTTATAGCGACGCGTTTTAGATCTATAGAAAACCGCGCGTTATTCGATTTATATCTCACGCTGTTGTAAAATCTAGCCCGGTTTATCTATCGATTTAACAGTGATATAGTACTGTGAGATGGGGGGGGGGGGAATAAATAAATTCCGAATGTCATGTCTGCAGTGGTCTGCATATACATTGTGATATAACGATTCCATTGTAAGAAGGTTTCAAGTCTATACATACAAAATTGTGTAGATTATGTAAAAAAATAAAATTAAAATGAGGAGGGTCAGAATTTTCAATGCCCTCCCTTTCCCGTGTATACCGTATATGGTCATGTATATTTTTCTGTTAACGTTTATTTCCTTAATTGAATTAATCTTGATCCCTCCCCTGGCTACAATATTGGTCAATTATACTTAACCTTTGACACTGTCTATCGATGTCGTTATGGTTTGTCTTTGTCTGGCATGAAAATATGTCATCATAAATATAAAATATGAAAAATCAAAATGATAAAAATTTGAGCGTCGACTTAATAATAATCAGTCGTGGATTTCAAAAAAAAAAAAAAAAAAAAAAAAAATGTGAAATCTCCGTCGATATTCTCGAATGGATCGTATTTTGTTTTTTTCATTTAAGTACACGACGGATTACGAAATCGTTACCTATCGTAACCTGCG